GCAACGTTAACAAGATGAAATCAGGCTCTTGTTTGAAAAAAAAAAACAATAGAACCCTGACTTTTCTGTGAAGGACACTTTGTGGTTACAATGAAAGTGAGTCAACGGAAATCAGTCATGGCACACTGTCACCACAGTAAAGAAACAGCTAGCTAAAAGTGCAGCCAAGCCACACACACTGGGCAAGGAGAATACACTCAAGTGACAGCTGCAAGCACTTAGTCAGCCGCCAAGAACAAAGAAGGGGAGGAAAAACTCTTCAGCCCAATTTGGCAGCATGAGACAACACAACAAGGCTTTTCAGTATTTTTCAATAAGAAATCAGTCATGTCTTGAGTTGTGGATGTCAGGTCAGATCTTTCTGTGCTGATAGGCAGCCACAACAAGCACCTCAACTCTGAACCGGTCCAGATTCTGATGAAACCTTAAAGGGATATTTCAGATGCTTGGAGGTTGTATTCTTTGGAAATGTTATAAAAGAATGATATATGACCTGAACACTATTTAATTATTCACGTTTTGGAAACTAATTTAATTCTGATTGGATTGACAAGCTAAGGGCTAGTCCAAGTAGATCCAAGTGGATTGCAGCCATCTTGAAACAGGTCTGATCCTGGAAAAAAATGTGATTCCTGCAAAAAATGTGATTCCTGATTCTTTGCAAGTGCAAAGAGCAAAAGCAGCAACCATTTCTAACATTTGAGGTGCAGCCTAGAGCACTAACGTTCAAATGGAATATTGTAGTTTTTCTGAAATAACCATGAATTTAATGATTACTGTGTACATTTTGTGAAATTAATTGCTTTAACACATCAGCAATCCACTTTAGTTTTCAGTTCAATCAGAAATAAACATTTTGGGGCAGCAGTAAATAAGGAGGTAGAGCGAGTTATCCAGTAATCGGAGGATTGTAGGATCGATCACGGCTCCTGCTGAGAGTGCTGCTGTTGTGTCCTTAAGGAACTTAACCCGCCTTGCCTGCTGCTGGTGGTCGGAGGAACTGGCAGCGCCAGTGTTCGGCAGCCTTGTTTCCATCAGCGCACCCAGCTCTGGCTACACCAGTCTATGAACGAGTGAATGACTGATTGTGTTGTGGAGCACTTCGGTGGCGCTATACAAATACAGACCATTTACATTTACCATTTTTTTAAACTGAGGTTGTTGTTGTTGTTATGAGCTATTTACAACAGGTAAACAGGTAACAGATTTTGTTCCACAGAAACACACTTCAAAAGAGCTATGCCACCACTTTGAGGTGAAGAAAGACAGCTGCAGCTTTAACATGTGTTAAACAAGTTTTTGAAACTGCAGTTCAGCACAGGAACCAAATTAACAGAATGCTCCTGAGCAGAGCAGCCGTATGCCATGTAAGGCTATAAAAAGCAGAGCTGGAAGAGGGGAAAGGATGGACAGAGGTGTTTTGAATTACTAATCATATGAACTCAAGAGCTAAAGCAATTCTCTGCTGAACAGCTGAAAAAACTAAACTTTAACCTGCAGGAGGCTTTGTGTGTTTGTTACTCCTTTGGCTCATTGGTCACAGCAGAAGCTTTAACCTCTCAGTCAAACCGAACACAATCCCGTGCCGTTGCTGTGCATCAAAGCAGATAAAGGGTGAGAAAGCGGTTAGAACGATCCCTGCAAAAAAGGAAAAAGGACATATGAGCCCAGAGCGGGTGGGAGACGGGCTGGATGGCAGCTGCCTGGCCATCAACACTCACCTGCACTCAGCCTTGACACATGGAGACACAGAACAGGCCCCGATCAGAGCGGTTTTACAAAGCTCCACTCTCACGCAGGATTTACTCGTGTTCCTCACTAACTGACTATAATTGTCAGGGATTGTTATGCTTACCGCTAAAAGAGAGCAGAAAAGCGTGTAATAGGTTGTGGTTTTAAGGACAGCTGCGGCTGTGATTGAGTCACTTGTTTCGGCTTGCCCTTCAAATCAGCAATTATTCAGCTGATGTGCTGCAGCTTTGGAGGCAATGGAAACTATCATACCTCAGATGCCTCTCACAGCCAAGTGTGGTGTGCAACTGGATTGAGTTACGCTTTCATCGCACCTGTTTAAACCCGTGCAATTTTCACTGCCTGGTTCAGAACAGCGTGCTAATCACAGAGCCACAAAGGGGTCATGTACCTGCTGCTCAGTTCAAGTTCAACAACTCAAAATGGTAAACATAGAGCAGTAATCATTTCAGCCATAGATTTGGCCTGCACAATGTTAATGTGTGTTTGGTGTTTTAATTAAGAGTGGGGCAGTGCACGTTAATCAGTTTACCGCAACAGGTCAAGACAAGTCAACAAGATTTTGGTCAATCACCCAAAGCCTTTTATTTAACCCAAATTTTACAATTCATCTACAAGAACCAACTTCCTAGTGCGCCATTACAGTTTTTGACTGTTTGCTTTTCAAGATAGTTGGAGAGAGCTTGTTTAGAAGCCTACATTTTAGGTTTACTTAAAAGGGAGTGATGAGCTAATGGCTAGGTTGGACTGGCCAAAAACCAAAGTTTTTATTTTTTTATCTTTAGACAACATAAAGTGGAGGTTCATCAAGAAATGTATAATACTTGTTTGTTTGTTTTTTTATTTATAATTGGTCTCTCTGAGTTTCACGTGCATGCTGAACATAAATATCTTTTAAAAGTATTTTACCTGCATCGCCGGCATTAGCCACCCAAAGAAGTAATCCAAAAGGGTTTTGGATTACCATGACCTGGATGACTGAGAGCCTTCACCAACATATCGCCCAAAGAAGACAGACGAGGAAATGCTCAGGTCAGAAAAAGCTACACAGATCTACGAAAGAGCAAATTATTTGCATTCATGGACTCACCCACAATGGCTCCCAACGTGCTAATTTAGCAGCCATTAGAGCAGAGCAAAGTTAAAAGCTAACCCTTAGCATGAGTACCTCCACAAAATGGCGGAACAGGTTTGAGTTTGTGTTATTTGGGGAGAAAAAACATCAACATTGTGTTTTTTACCCAAATAAGAGAGCGAATTAAGGCAGCTGAAGAGTCATGTTGCTTTTAACCAAGCAGAGGCGAGATGTTTGCATATTATGAATATTGAGTAAATCTTCCAACCCTTCTGATTTCTGTCCCCCACTTCTCCAGCTAACTTCTGCTTCCTGAAACAGGAGCACCAGAGCTTTTTTCCAACAGAGCAAAGACAACTACTCACAAGAAATTCATTTCTGCAGCAGATTTATTAAAATAAAGTTTACGCCCACTTTAAATTTTCAATTCGTAAAAAGATTTTCATCAAAATGTTTACACATTCAGTTTCGCATTACAAATAAACTTAGCACTTGTTCATGCAAGGATCGAGGTCTTGCGGCAATATTTTATTTCTGCAGAAATAATACTAGTAGGTAATAAAAGACAGGTTGTGATATAAAAGTTCAGAAAATAAAATTTCCCTGAACTGGGGTAAAATTAAAGAGACTGCAGTTGCTTTAAGTCATAAGCAAACTAGTCTTGGCTGCCTTCGGACTAGCCATTAGCTCATAAATCCTGTCAAAATAACTCCAAACAGAGGCCATTCAGGAAGCTATCCACAACATTCCAGCATGTTTCAGAACACCTGATTTAATGGTGGAATTACATGTTCAGCATGTCACCAAGCTCTGCAATCTCTTAACTGATTAAAACAAAGAGTTCTGAATCAGAAAACCCTCTAAAACATGCTGATAAGACCAGAATTGGACAACACTCATGTTAAAAGACCAAAATAACAATATTGCATAAAAGGCAAAAACGTACACAGTACCTTTAATTATTAATGGGCCTTATCTACAATATAGACTGATGTGAAAATAATTTCATCCCAACTTTGCCAAAGGCTGCTTAGGACCTCTTCATCAGTCATTCAAGCGAAAAGTCAATAAAACGCTGCAATTAGGCCCGCTCTTTTAAAAATCTGAAGCAGTCTAATTGACTGTGTGTTCAAGTAGAACATCAAGATTCCCTCCAGCAAGTTTAATAACATTGACAAGAACCATAACACACAAACACACTAATCTTTAAGCTCTGAAATGCTAAATGCTCTATTCTTACAGATAAATGGAGCACATCCATTTATTTCCCTCAAGTGTGTTTTAACTGCTGATCCGAAGTTTTATTATATCTTTATAAAACGCAATACTTGGTTGTGGGCTTGCAGCGAGGAGCTGAGTGTGAAGTGGTGCAGCACATCAGAGCCAAGTTCCCCCCCCAAACCCCACAATATCGCATAGGAGTTTACTGGCCGCTGGTTGTTGGGCTCTTGACCCACTTCAAGAGGCTCCATGTTAGTCACTCTCCAGTGCTTTCCAGCTGAAACATAGCCAGACTGGTGGTAGATGAGATTTCAGCTGTCTCCTCAAAGCTTGGATGACAGTAACATCAGCTGGTCAGGACTCCAGTAGGGCTGGTCGATGAGAGAATGGATGCTCAACCTTCATAAAGCTGATTCCTTTTCTGCAGATGTGTGTGGTGGATGTGGCCATAGCTACAATTGTTTCTCCAATGCAACTCAAACAATTTAGTAGAACCTACTTGAATGTTTTAAAATAATCTGTAAGGAAATTAATTTTTTTTCAAGTGACAAAGCCAGCACCAAATTGCCTTTAAGTGAATTATTACTCCAATATGTGATCACTTTTGCTCAAATGTGATAAGATCCCATTTTCAGATAAAATTCCAACAAAAACACCAAACTAAGAATCAACATAAGCTTTTGTCAGACCTACAAACCAGCCCATCGAAACACAAGGTCCAATTTAACATTGGTTCTTTATGCCAGGTGACTCATTTTTCTCAAAAAAAAAAAAAAAAACACAAAAAGGCAATTCAGCTGAATGACTGGCCCCAATTATTTAACTCCTTTAGAGCTTTAATTGCATATTAAACTTAATTTTAAAGCAACCATTTAAACATTAAAAAAAAGCTTTTATTTGTAGCATGAAGCTTACACTTCTTTGCTCATAAATACAAAAGGAATGTTGCTGCTCAGGTCCCACATGAAGATTTATTAATGTCCTGTACTGCCATCTAGTGTTTCCGGAGAAAAATGATGACGTTATAAACTTACACTTTAATCTTTCACACAGAGACGCCAATAAAGGAATTTTTCCTGAGTTTACAGTGAAGACATTTCAAACACTACTAGAAGAATATAACTTATCAAGAAAACAAACTTAGAAAATAAACAAGCATATTCATGTGCCATCTTTTACACTGAAGGGTAACAAAAGCACTTCATACAACATCAAGAACACAAAACCGATTTTTTTTACAAAACCTTTGGTGACCTATGAATAAATCTTTTGCATAAAACATGAAAAACTGTTTAAAGACAAACAAAGCATTCAGACAATTGCACAGCAGCCAGGTGGGCATGGAGATTTCACACGGTTACCATCAGCAGCAACTTTTAGGGTTTTCTGCGCCTGAAACAAAACAAAATCAGGGAATCAAACGTCAGTCGTGCTGTACAGATCTGAATTAACCCCTTCATGCATAACAGTCGCTACAGTGGACAGCTACTCAAAATTTTTTTTTTTTTTTTTGCAAATAAACACAGCTATTGATTACTTTATTGCACCCATTGGACTCTAATAGTTCAAGCCATGTTCAGAATGCACGCTGTCCACCATGTAATAAACTATTTGTAAATTAAATGTTAAAATTTTCTTGTTGAAATTCATTTATTCATACCTAAAGTTGAATGAAAAATTTGTTTAAAAAAAATCATGGTCGAAGATTTCATAATTCATGCATGAAAGGTTTAAAGAGTGTTTTCAGACACGTTGCTGAATGTGGAACGCTTACTTGGACATTCCATGATGCTCATATCCAGGTGCCATTTTTGATCCGGCCTTCATTTCCAAAGCCACGGAGCACTGCAGAGGAAGAGAAAAACAAGTTTAGAAGACCCTAATGAGCCATTGGCCTCAGCTTTAACATTTCTTTTTGTCGTTGTTCTCATTACACTTCTTATACAGTTTGTATAACCCAACACATTTTGTCATTAGAGAACAAAACAATCCTAAATTACTTTTGGGATTTTCAGAACAAAACTCGATGCATATCTAAAATAGAATTTTGGCAGAAGCTGCATTAAAACACATCTTCAAAACCGTTCTAGTGAAGGTCTTACCCTCGTCTCCACGTCAGTCCAAGAGCCATCCTTTTGATCTCCGCTGGCTGCAGCACCTTCAGAAGATTTCCTTTTTCGACTTCAGAGACAAAAGTAATATTCAGTCATCGTCAGCTGGAGGACGGCAGTTCATCTGAAGCCGCTACACATCCAATTTGTCAAAAACTTTAATATTCAGAAAAACTTTGTTACCTTGTGTTTGTGGTGAGCTGCTGTTTGAGAGTCTCGATGTCTGTGAACTGAACAGCTTGTCCTCCTCCTCTGGTTTTAATCACATCTCCCTGAAAAATACATCAGTTAAAGAAAGAATCAAGATTAGAAATATAAAAAATAAAGTTGCAGGGGCAACAATTAACAGATGATTTTAGCAATTTGTTGCACCTTTTGTAATTTCAAACCAAAAACAAAAGGGGATGTAATGTGCCTCAATCAGTTATTAAAGTAATAAATAAAAGTTCACATCACCTTAATGAGTTTGGTCTGTATCTCTCCATCGGAGGCCACCTCCTGGTGAGTCAGCACATATTTGTCACACTTGGACAGGGCCTTCTCGTTAGGAGCTGACACCTGGATGGCGTTGGGGATGACGGGCTGAAGGACGGTGCCCAAGTCCAAGCTGGATGATGGTTTGTGATCCACCCATTTCTCCCCACCAGCAGAACGGGAACGGCGGTGCAGCGGACGCACTGGTGTTGTTGTCTGCCCAGATAAGGAAAATCATTCAAAGCAAGGAGGAAAAAATTATTTCACAGAAGTCTGGTGTGATAATAACAGAGTAGTTATAGTAGTCTGTTTCAGGAAATCTGTCAATCTCAGGCTGCGGTGTGCAGAAAACTCACTGACCCTGTAGCTTCTTTCTGCTAGGTCTATACCATGAAGGGAGGGGGATGGGACATCCTCCTGAATACCACAGCACCCTCTTCTGCTTTTAGCCTGGCTCAGTGCAGGGCCTTCTGGAGGCTGGGCTCTGGGAGCCCTCGGGGCCGGAGACTGGGGTGGTGTGGGGGCCCTCGGGGCAGGAGACTGGGGTGGTGTGGGGGCCCTCGAGGCAGGAGACTGGGGTGGTGTGGGGGCCCTCGAGGCCTGCAAAGCCTGACTGCTGTCTGAAGCTTCGCACTCATCACAAGAACACATAGAGCTAGCCGCTGACAAAGAACTCCTGGTGCTAGGTGAGGGGCATGAAGATCTTGGGTTCATCTCAAACTCCTCAACTCTAAAAGCACTGACTGCCTGAGACCCTGGCACTGGAATGTCGCGAAGACACTCAGTGAAGCTCTGGGGAATAAAATGAAAATGCACATTTAGCCATGGTTCAAAAATAAAAAATGCATTAACTAGGGGTGCAACGGTACAGGTAGCCCACGGTACGGTCCGTACCTCGGTACTTAGGCCACGGTCCACGGGACGGTTCGGTACATGTTTGTGCAGAAGGAGACAGCGTTTATTCTAAAACATGCATTTTATTTTTCTTCAGAGCGAAAACAGAATGTCACAATTGTAAGGACATCAGTATATGAAATAAGTTAACATTCTCTGCATTGAACACTAATACCCTCTTTCAATTATCACTTGTATGCAATACAAAATATATAAAAAATTACAAAATGTAAACAAAGACACTTGAAAATATTCTAATGGTTCCCAACCATGATACGTGATACATGAGGTAAGCAATGCAAAAGTAAAAGTGCATTTTGCGTTTTAACAAACAGGAGTTAGCTTGTGCTGTAACATCACAGTATGGAATAAATGAACCAAGTGCTTGGTTGGCTGTGGTGAAAAAAGGTGACAACTTTCCTCACTTTCCCAAGGAGGCGGGACACACCGTTGATTGACACAACCCTCTTTGCAGCGAGATTCACAGTGTGAGCAAAACAGCTAATCTGGGGTCCCAGCTCAACAGTTTCATTAACTGCATTAACAATGTTTGGAGCATTATCTGTGGCGACGGGTATAGTTTTGTTTGGCCGCTCCAGCTTCCACTCGGTGACTGCATTTTTATCTCTTCTGCTAAATGCGCACTTGTGTGGCTTTCATAGAGGGGGCGAGTCTGCAGCACGGCGCTTCATCTCCCAGTCCAGCATGTAGTGAGCCGTCACAGTCATGTAGCTCTGCGTTGCCTGAGAAGTCCAACTATCAGTTGTCAGTGCGAGGCTTTCTGCCTTAGCCAAATCACTCTCGATGGCGTTGCGTGTTTTGTCGTAAAGACCAGGGATGACGACCTGACTAAAATGTGTGCGACTGGACACAGAATAACGTCGGTCGAGCGTCTTCATTAAATGTTGAAAACCAAATTTAAAGATTTAAAAGAGCCTGGTGCCTCTTCAAACTCTTTCCTTTCAACTCCACTGCAGCTCGCCATTTCCTCGTGTCTCTTCGTTCTCAGCCAGCCGCCTAACTGTAGTAAAAGTTTGTGAGTGAGGACGCGGATGCACAATGGTGATTGGACATTAACTTGGGGGTGGGCCTTTCATCTACCTGGACCGGCAAACGCGCATGGTGCCAAGCATGAAATAAAAGAGCAGCGCAAAATCAATGGGAGTACCGAAGTCCCGCGGGACAGGAGGGCGGATTGTCCCGTGCAGGGCGTACCGAACGGTCCGGTATTTTACTGCATACCGTTGCATCCCTAGCATTAACAGAGATTGGAACACAGAACCACCAGCTAAGTTTCACTTTAGAGGGGTGACACATTTTTGGCCAAGAAGTGAATCAGTAAAACATCAAACAGGTTGTGTTATGATAGTTAGTTATTAAAACTAAAAACCAAACATACTGGAAGAACTGGGGGTGAAATAGATCTCTTTGCGGGGCGGCGTTCCTCTCTGGAAGGTATCTGAGGCCGAGGCTGACGTGGAGGAGGATCAGGACGACCAGGGGTCTTACTCTCAGTCACAATGGCCTTGAGTTGCTTCAGCTTTTCATCTTTAACCCAGAGCTTGTTTTCCATCTCCAGACGCATCGCATTAACACGTCTCTCCTGCACAAGAACACAAATGTTTAACCAGTCAGATTACTACCGAGTGTAAAGTCTGATGCATCAAAACCAACAACAATGAAAAGGAACTCACACATTCTTTCTCCCACTTGTGCTGCGTGTCCGAGACCATGCCATGCATGTGCTGCTCCATGCGTCTCCTCTCAGAGAGTTCCCTCTGCAGACGCTGACCTGTGGATTCCAGCTCCTGCTTCATGGTCCGCTTGTCATCCTCATATATTTTAGTCGTTTTCTGCAAATAATCCATCTGGAACGGGTACACGTAAGATAATTAGAAAGCTGAACACGTCTACAAATCAGTTCCATTATAAAAACTATAATGATCATCTCCAACCTTATGTTCTTGATTCTTGTTCTTCTTCTCTAAACGTTCAATCTCTGCCTTGTTGCTCTGGATGACTTTGTCTTTCTCCAAGAGCCTGCCATTTTGCTCCTGAATCAAGTGGTCTTTGGACGTGAGATTAGAGTCCAGTTCCTGTATCAGGATCGACATCATGTTGGCTGAAATCAGACAAATAAGACAGAAAGATGAACAAAGAAAAGAAACATCAAGTAACCTAATCAGTGAGAGCCGAACGAGCAGACACCTGCTTTGTTGTATTCCTCGATCATATCATGCCTGATCCTCTCCCTCTTCTGCAGAGCTTCAATGAGACGAGGCAGGGTTATGTCATCATGAGGGTCCATCAGCTCAGAGGTTGGTAGAGGGGGTAGCACCAGGTTGCTTAATGCAGAAATCCCATCTAAAAAAAATAAATAAAAACACAAACTTTACAGCCATCTGATCTTTTAACACAGCTGTCACTAAAACTATTTAAGTGGAATTGACAGACTGTTTCTTACCTTTGTCTCTCGGGCCTCCACACTCTAACTTGTGAGACAGCTCCTCTTTGAAAGCCTGGTTTCTATAGCGACGGCCTGGTGTGAAGCCACAGATCGGCCTGTCCACAGGACGAGCCACTTGCACCTCCTGGGTCACCTCTGCAAACCGCATCACTAGCTGCACAAATGGAAAATCCACCTCACGAACAGCAGAATTCAACTTCACCGTGTGAACAAAGCAATCGTGTCAGATCAACTTACCAAAGTTTCCTCGTAGTCATCCGCCTTTGGGTTCACACAAACAACCATCCGGACCTTTCCTTCTCCATCAAAGTAGTTTTTAAACAAGTGGGTTACTTTGGAGTCTCTGTAGGGGACCATCTGTAACACAGCCTTACATTATCTACCGTTTATCTGAATGTAAGTGATGCTTCGTTTTAGTCTGGCAGCACACACCTTATTAGTGCCACACATTTGGTTCTCTCTGAGAATTTCGATACAGGTCCGGAGATTCAGTAAAGACTGATTAATGTTTCCTGCAGGATAAATTGTTGTTAGATCAAAGAAAAACCAGTTAGAAAAATCTGAATCATGTTTGAGAACAAACCTGCTTCACGTATCCGTGTTCCTTCTGCCCCCGTCCTGCCGGTGCGCTCACTTCCTGCCAAGTCTACCAGGCACAGCTGACTAACGCTCACCTGGTTCTTATCCTGACAACCAAAGAGAAAAATACACTTTATTGACCCAGCTGGGATTTTAAAATGTGGGCTGAACTCATTCTGGACTCGTTCCATCTGACCTGCAGAATGTTGTCTCCATCTGCATCTAGAGGCACCTGGGCCAGTTTGATAATGAAGACGCTGTGAGAGCGGCTTGACTCTCTGTTCAGTCGAGTGTTTGCAACCTTCCTCTTCTTTTGACCTGTGGGGGAAAAAAAGAAAATGAACCAGAGAACATGATGTGCACTTTAACCTCTTCCAAACAAATTTATCAGCACAAAATTCTAAAATTTAAACCACATTTGATCTGCTCAGAGACAAAAACAACGGTCATTTCCTGGACAGAGCTGACCCAGAGATCAGCAATTCCAGGTCAGTTGTATTAAAATCATCATTGCAGTGTTTTTAAAGCAAAATGAATCTGAATAGAAAAGTCACCTCTCCAGAACACTTGAAAAGCTTCCTCAGCAGATTTTACTTCCACCTCCATACAGCCGGCCACGTACATAGTGCGATTCTGATCCTCTCTGAGGACTTTAGACTGAGGTGGTCTGCAACAACAACAAACATGTCACGCTCTGAAATGGAATCAATAAAGCATGGATTACAGATGTGCAGATGCGGGATAGGGATTGGGTTTCGCATCATTCCAGCTAATTAATATACATTTTTATTGGTATCCTGCTCTGTTTTTAGGTAGAATATTCTGTGAAAATGTCTCCAGCATTGGAGAGGTTCCATTTACTTTCTGAACGGTAGTTTTCATGTGCAAAAAAGAGCAACTCAACTACACATAGCCACTAGTCTGATTAATGAGTATTCACTGGTCACATACATGAACTCAGTGTTCTGGCGTACTGGTGTGCCTCCACCATTCCACCTAGTGAAAAGAAAAGACAAATTTTCTCTTCCATCTACTGCAGAAAATATGAACGGCTAGGAATGACACACAAAGTGTAAAGAAACCAATCATTACATGATCATATGCACATGCATACAATCAAATTACGGGTGGAAAACCTACTTTGGCTTGACTGTATCTTCTTGGGTCTCCTCCAAGAGATCGTAGATGTAGTTGTTATAAACTTCTATGTAGGAGATGAAGACGCTGTAGCTGCTGTCCTCATCCACAACTTCTGCTTTACAGGTCTCCTCTGAGTTGATCATGTCACCAATTTCAGGATCTATCCTTGGTCTAAAAACAGAAATAGAAAAATTATGCCTATATGTAGCACTGAGATGTCTCAACTAAACAGATTATTACCTGGTGGAAGGCGCTTTAGGAACAGATATGTTGTTGTCCCTTCTTTGCCGCTCCAACAAAGCGTCGACTTCACACTGAAGATCCATGCAGTTTTTATCATCCGTCTTAAAAACCTGAGCAGAATGGATTTAATTAGGCTAGGATTTTACCAAATATTAGGGTGTGCACATTTGGAGCATAAAACTATTTCCTGAACTGCTCTCTTACATATCTTTTGGCCTGGTAGGGACCAATACTGTTGAAAATCATGTCGAGAGAGCGAGGCAGAAGTCCACCCTGACCAGGACAACCAGTCATGGTGAATGTTTTTCCGCTTCCTGTCACTCCATAGGTAAAGAGTAGACCTGCAACACACACAGCTAATCAGCTGCAAACACTCAACAGAAAACCAGCCAATCTTAAATTCTTAAGAAGCTGTAGGAGAAAATGTGTGACTAGAAAATGCACTAATTTATTCAACGCACAAATTAACTAGTTGCATATGATTTAATGTTTGCTAAGCTATATATTAAAAATATAAAGTTTCTTTCTGGAATTTGCACCCTTACCATTTTTACCATGAATAAGGTCATCAACAAGAGGTTTGGCCACATGCTCAAAAAGCTCCATCTGTGAAACAGAAACTCCAAAAACCTTTTTGAAGGAGTACTGCATCTGAAAAGACAAACGGATGTATTAACACAGATCAGAAGATTAATTATGCTTCAAACATTTGATATGCCCCAAAAAATCTCAGGTTAACACAAACATATTTACAGTGTGTTATTTAGGAAAGATAGCATAAATAAGTTTAATTTTGTAAAGAGGCCATAGCTTCTTGTCTACTAAATGAATCAATGAGCTGAGACAAATGGTTAGGACATCAAAAAGGTGATTATTAATGTCCAACACTGGAACTGCTTGGTGGTATATGAGAGCACAAGCACTCAAGAAGGAAAACACTGAAAAGCACTTTTAAAAGCTGTATGATGTGTGTGACTTGAAGCTAGAATTGGGAAATTTAAGAGACCTCCTTGCATTAAAAACCTGCAGAAAATATGGATAGTTCAGAAGTACTTGTGTTCATTTAATCGTATACCTCTTTGTACTCTCCATTGCGGTTAACTTTGAAACCCTCGGGTGGATGTAGCTGGGCGGTGGTGCTGCTGATCACTTCTATGCAACACTCCTCGTCCTCCGTACTCAGAGGCCGCACACGTAAGTATACCTGGGTAACATTAAACCAAAATAAGGTGATTCGTGGTCAAACGCATTCCCTGCTCAACGAGCATCTCTCATAAATATGGCAGTTTCTGTGCTGTAGTTTGGTGTTGTTTAGCTAGCATGTTAACCAACGTCGGACACTCACTCCAACTGGGTCTTTCTGGACGTTGGGAAGCCTTTTCGGATGAAGTTTTCGAGTTTTACATTTTCTAAATGAGACAAAAGTTAAGGAAAATGCAACATTTAATCCAGCTGTTGGTATTTGTGATTTATGACAACAACGATAACTGGTTAACAAAGCAACTAGCCTAGCCCCAGCTACGCACTAGAATGGAAAGGTTCATTAGCTGATAATGCAAATAATTAGCTTATCACTTAGCGAAAACATTATAGAGACGCATAAGAAAGTCTGAACACGATGGGTGGGAATGAAAGGAAAGTACTTACACATGCCTGTTCATCGTGTTCAATTGGTTTGGGTTCACCGTTTTCCGTTTATGCGATTTTGAATCTTCCGCTCACACCAGACAGCTTTTATTTTTTTTCCAACCATGTCGAAAACAACCAATAGGAGCTCATAGACATTATCACGTGTTTTTGATTACCCCTCCTCTTTCTTTGATAAACCTTTGTTGAGAAATCATATTAGAACAAGGCGAGTTTCATAAAAGATAATTAGAACGGAAAAAGTAACACAAACGACAGTCTATGAAAAAAATAAAAACAGCCAGCATAAACAGGAAGTAATGCCATTTTAAATATTACTTTTAATTCTTAAATACAATTATTGACTTATTAGTAATTAGTTTTTTTTATTGTTTCAATGAAATAACGCTTTCTGGAATCAATTATTTCACTTAAAATGTGGAAAATGGAAATGATTTAAGAAAACAGCACTTACTAATTAAAAATTGAGTCAAAAGGATTACATTGTTACCACGGTTTGATTCTTCATGTCCTGTCAGACAACAATCCTTTATCAGATCAAAAGTTGAAAGCTGAATAGATTCTCACACAACAAGAACTTTTGAAAATCTTTCCAAGAAACATTTTTGACATTGCAAAGAAAAAAGGTGTTCTACTATTTTGATATCTGGGTGAACTGATATTTATGTTGACTTGCTTTTGCAGAAAGTCGTTACAAGGGATAACTGCATACATATTTTTAAACTGAATTATTTTATTTCCTGTGAGAAAAAGAGAAAGATATCTGGATCAGATTTTCTCAAAGGAAATGTCATCATAATTTTAGAATGTTTTCTCCTCAGGGTTAATGGACATTGAAGCCAGAGTGGCCTAATTCTTATGAATTTATTGTAACATTTTTTGTATACAAAGTCATTTTGTTTATAAATATAAACATTGGTTTATATTTATATTTGTTATAAATATAAATGAGTTGGTTATTTTGGAGTAACTGCATGTATTTTCACATATTTAATTATTACAATTACAGCTAGATGAATTGCCACACTAGGTTTAGAACATTTTAATGTATATTTTCAATCAATGCTTCTGAATATTTTAATAACAAATAAATAAATGTGGCCTGAAACATGCACAACCTATTTTATCTGTGCTTATGTTTGTCAAATTGGCATAAAATAATTTTATTACAAGCCTTAAAACCTGTGATAGTGTCATTAAAATAAATCTACGATACACAAATGAATCATTAGTACAGCTAGAGCAGAAACTATATTTAAGAATGTAACATTAAATAAACACAATACAAAAGAACATTTTCGATAACTTAAGGTGACGTCACTTTGTAGTCCAACGACGACGACTCTAAACATGGCTAACGATCGTGATGTGTTTTATCCACAGTGCCACCTGCAGCCATCCAGTGGTAACGCACCCATCTTACAAAACATTTGCAGCCATTATAGTCACGTTTACAGCTGCTTATGCAAACGCCGAAGTTCCTGGTGCTGGCCTCTCTTGTAGCGTTCACCAGCGACCAGGTAAGCGGCAGCAATGAAAACTGTTTAGGCAAATCGAGGATTCGTTGTCGAGGCGATTCGTGTCTTTCATACTGTGTTGTACGCTCGATTCAACGAGGAAGACATGAAAAACAAGCCCGCCAACAAGTCGGACGCATGCGAATCAAAAAGTAAGAAGAAACGAGCTGCAAAAGACTCTGATCCAGCTGTTTGTAAAACACCACGAGACAGAAAGGATGGAGAAACATCTGATCCAGGTGTGCAGCTCTGATGATGGGACAGCTTCATTTCATTCACGCTGTCTGTACCTGAAATGTTCTGGCTTTGACAGACGAATGTGATTATATCTCACAGGGCCTCCTTGTAAGTTTTCAAGAGTCCACAGGAGGAACGGGCACCATGCGAGCATCCTGCATTATATTTACAAAAGCACCCTGGGCCAAAGCCTACACTCTCAGATGAGACAAGTAAGACATGAAGCTCAGCTTGCATCAACTCAGTTCAGGTTGTGTTCATTATGCGTGGTAAACCTCCATTTTATATAGTTTTTATGTTATTTTAGAGTGTTAAATCAGTAATTTTGTCCAATAAAACAAATATCTTCATTGAGCAATCATGGAATTTTATTCTCAGAGAGTCGAGCATGAATTGATGTACATGCCCCAAAACCAGGGCACCACCAGGTTTCTCTTTGTTCCTGGGAAGTAAAAAAGTGTATTAAAGCAATAAGAACTATAAGATAATACAATCCAGAGTAAAAATGCTGAGTGCTTCCGGTTCTTCACGCACTCTAAGGTGCATGTGTGACACATCCCCATCCCCGGTGAGGGTCTTGGTTCTTTATCTGCAGAACAGGTTCCTATATTCTGACTGATAATTAATCCAGAAGTGAATCAGAGGAGCACCAGACGTGTTTGAGCATGTATCGGTTTGTCTTGATGGAGAGAGTATGTGGTGAAAAGGTGCTCCTCGTCTCTTGCAGTGTCTCCAGGAGCCCTTCCTTCGCTCCCTGTCCTCCTACCACTTCCACGGCGCCAGCAGTCCGTTCGATCGCAGAATCACCTGTCTGGAGTGGCACCCCACCCATCCCACCACGCTGGCTGCAGCCTCTAAAGGTGGAGACATTTTCTTGTGGGACTTCAACAACCCCACGAGAAAAAGCTTTATTCAAGGGGTGAGTGTGTGCGTCGGATTGGTTTTCACCCCCATTCAGCACTGCAGCAGCTTTGGGGCTTATTAGATTGTTACGGGTGATTTCCAGGTTGTGTATGTCAGACGAGCACGAAGACACTGTTGTTGGTTTTCTGCTCAGATGGGGCCTGGAGACTCAGTTACAGACATGAAGTTTAACCAGTTAAACCCCTCTCAGCTGTTCACCTCATCCATGGGGGGTACGACAGCCCTGCGAGAGTTCAGTGGGACGACACTTACAGTTTTTGCCAGAACAGATGCACTGAAGTAAGACTTTAGAGCTCCTTATGTCTGTAAAGGTCAGAGGTCAGGCCTGTTCAGTCTAGCATCAGTCTTCTCGTCCGGTTGCCTCAGACTGAAGTGGTGGCTTCCACTTTACTGGCTTGGATCTGTGTGTGTGTGGACAGAATGGAGCGGGAGACTCTCTGGGAGGGATGAAGTTCTGTCCCATGGACTCGTCCAAGGTCTACGTGGCTTCTGGAGAGGGAACGCTGACCCTAAAGAGCTTTGAGGGGCACAAACCCACTTTGCTGTCCAGAACTCAGGACTGTGCTCACGAGCACCACAATGTCTGGTGAGAAAACCGCATAGAAGACTGATGCTAGGCAGACTCGTTTCGTCGCTTTTCTTCAAATTGGTAAAGAAGAAAATCGTTCAAAGCTAATCTGATTTAAACATCTTATTATAAAAGACATTTAGTTCACATTTGTTGTTGTAGATGTTTACAGATGTGATTGAGTGATGTTCAGGACTTAATGTCTTTAGCGTCATAGTTGAATATCTAAACGTTTCTTTATTAAAAGGTTATTTTAGAGCTTTTTGAACACATAATGAATGAAGAAAACTTGACTTGTTCATTGTGTTTCACAGCTTTTGGTACTGCTGTGTTGACGTGTCTGTGAGTCGGCAGATGCTCGTTACCGGTGATAACACAGGGCAGCTCTTACTTGTCGGACTGGATGGTCAAAAGGTAATTTATTTATTTAAATGCAATCTCTACCAATTCTTTATAGATTAGAGGTTTAAGATTTTAAATGTCTGGATTTTATTTATTTTGTCATAACTGCCCCGAAAATGTAAGCGTGGTCTTTAATAATTTTGCTTTAAAAATGAAACGGATCTGCTTGAAAGCAGCAGATAGAGAATCAGCAGATTTGCTAAGGCAGAGGTCATGAACAGTCTTGTTTTAGAGAAGGAAAAAATGCTGGAGCACCATTTCCAGGAACTAGAAGTGAGCCACATCACAGCTGAGTTTCAGACGGCAGGTTTTGAAGTCTTATTTCCTAATATTTGGACATCTCAGCTCTGACTGGCTAACAGTAACATGACAATTGACCCTTTGCACCGATGTCACCTAATCACGTGGGTCCACCATGCTGGACGGCAAAAGCATTTAAACAGTGAGCGACACGATTAGTAAACAAAGGGAAAAGTAGAGCCTGAAATTGTTTTTGCGATCAAAACAAAAACAAAACTCCTCCAGCATTCCTTCAACTAGTTCATGCCCAGTTCAGTTATCAGAAGAAGTAACTCATCTAGCCGGGGCTCACAGAGAGCGGTATGTTAGCTAGCTTACCAGCGTTAGCTTATGTTCTCTCTGTTCACCGATGTAAACATGTTGTTGACTTTGCCTAAATTCACCCCGCTGGATTTATAACTTTGTTATAAACAGCGTTTCACTTTACACCAAAGCTGATTTTTAAAAAGTCCGGATCCCTACCAGCTTCTGTTGCTGGTGGTGTTACCGGGTTCAGCTGCTGCTCTCACACCAGAATGAGAAAATCTCTGAACGCCGACGCTCATAAATAAATAACGTCATTTTAACACACGTAATCAGTACATCGGAGCTTTAATATTATTAATAATTATCTCGCTTTACACTACAGTGGACGGCGTGCATCCTCCGTGGTGAAATACCCATCCATCAGGATTATAATAACTAGTATAAACACATCACATTTATCCCTGTCCCTGTCTTCCTCGTGAAATAACGTTAATCTTACCCGGTGAAAACATGTTCGCTGCAAATCTGAGGGCTGCTAGTCCACTTGATTGGTCGCTGCAGTTCATCTCCGTCCTCAGTCTCCATCAAAGTTATTAAAAAACAAAATGAGTTGAGTTTACATCCTTGTCTGTTAGTGCAGCCAACCACGCAGCAAGCTAAAACTATTTTACTGTCAAATCAACTAAATAAAAGTGATAAAAGGCTACAAACTGGCTTGTTTTGACTAGCTTCACTGGAGTTTCAATGGGTGTAAACGGCCTTTTTGCCATCCATCATGGCGAAGGGGGCGGTCACATGAGTGGCGTGACGTCACGTGCAAAGGGTCAATACCACTGGCTCTGCATCATTGATGTTTTATCTCCAAAAATAACACAAGCCTGGAGGAGTTCTGCTGTGTTGTGGAGTTACTAATGCTAATGGTTAGCTTCTACTAGCCAAGGCGTTCTCTGCTGTTAGCTGGACACTAAACCAACAACGGCCTTCCCCGCCATTAGTCAAGATGGGTGAGTCCATTAATGTTAAATGATAAATGACCCGCACTTGTCTAGCGCCTCTCAGAGTAAGGACTCCAAAGCGCTTTACAGTGACAGTGTGGTGTAGATCTGTCAGGATTTGAAAACCCTAAAGTTTCACCGTCTATTTCCTGTCAGAAGCTAATGCAGGAGACTATTTTCATGTTCAGCCTGCATGAAAAACTCAGAGTGATGATTATAATCAGAAATAATCATTAAAAAATGTTTTTCAGTGAATGAACCACATTAACCTCAAGAATTGAGCTAAAAATAAGTTTAAAGAATTAAAAAGGGGCTTTCTTCTGACACCAATTTTTAATAAACCAAAATAGAATGAGGAGCTCAGGATTCAACTTCTGTCAGACACGGTGGAGGCGAGGTGTTGGTATGGGCGCCTGTGTTTTCATTGATCAGTAGTTATAGATGATGGGACTGACAGATGTTGAAATGAACCCCTCAGAACCTCAGATGTTCTTAAAGGCTTGTTAACGTTCTATTTTTGATCATTTGCACAAGAAAAAAAGAGGCTCAGATGTTGTCTATTTAAATTTAAATTAGTGATGCACTGATGTGAAATATTTGGGCCGATATCGATATCCGATATTGAGATCACCGTTGTGGCCGATAACCGATATTTGCCGGTACCGATATACTGACATTAATGCTTCTAAAATCAGCAGATTTTGTATAGAATGAAAATTATTAAAGCTGAATTAACATTATTATGCACACACAACACACACATTTACATTTCTGAGATGATTTCATTCACTGTCACATGACTAAACAATCACACATCACCCCCCTCACCCTCTGAAACAGGCAAACAAATGGAGACGAGATGGAAAAAATATTGGTTGTTAATATCGGCCCGGTTTTATTTATCGAACCGATAAGTTAAAAAATGACTCATCGGCTGACATTAATGCCATATATTGTCCGTCCGTAATTGAAACAATTACATGCCGGAACAGATTTTTTTAATGCAAACATTCAGGTGATGACTTGATTGTCATTTTTGTTCAGATTTTCAGTGACAAGCTGCACAAAGCCAAAGTGACCCATGCCGAGTTTAACCCCCGCTGTGACTGGTTTCTGGCGACGGCCTCCATCGACCACACGGTGAAGCTGTGGGACCTCAGGAACATCAGAGACAAGAAAAGCTTCCTCCATGAGTTACCTCATGAGAGAGGAGTCAACTCGGGTCAGAACCGCATTTTTTTTTTCCTCAGCTTTTAGTTAAAACTTTCTTTCAATAAGGTCAAACATACAAATATACAAAAGTAAAATATATGTAAATAATGTTTATAGCACATATGTCAGACACAAGGCCCACGGGCCAGATGCGGCCCGCGGAGCATTTTTATGTGGCCCGCGAGATAAATATCAAAAATATATTAAAACTGGCCCTCTGGCCGATTTTACCGCAAAGACTTCAACTCCCATGATGCTTTGCGGCGTCAGCGCGGAGCCGACGCGCCCCCTCCTTTGTGTTTTTTTCCAGTGTCTGCTGCCGGGTCTCTGCAGCTCCGCTGTCTCGGACAAACACACTCCTCTCACTCAGCGCCAAGTTCACTCAGCTATTTTCTGACGTTGAAGCCCAGAAACGGAGATTCTAGCCGTTCAGTAATGTGTTCACGACTGAAAGAGAAAGTTTTCCAACTAACTTCCAGACAGAGCTGATATAACTCCAGCGAACAGCGACACGCTCAAACCAGCATGCTCTGTGGCTGCTGTCGTGTTTCCTCCCCGACACACAACAACGTGGTCAAACTGCTCAGACATGTTCATCAGCACAAACCTATGTGAGCACCTGTTGTCATCTAATGTTGTCATTATTACGATGAAGATGAACAAAACAACAGGAGTCTCCTCCTCAGCTCAGCTCAACCCCATGATGCAGGTATCTGGCTGGAACAGGTGAGCATCACAGTGAACCAGTGGAGCAAAAAGAGCTTTAAATATGTTGGTTTTATGCTCTTTTTTCTGCTCCAAAACATGAAAGTTAACAGGTGAGATATTGCATTTTCATTTAAGATAAAATTATGTCTTTATTTTGTTGTTGGCCCGTAAGAAAAGATTTAACCTACAGTAAACAGGAAGTGGAAAGGCTGCAGATAGATGAATAGAATAGAAAATCCCTTTATTGTTCCTCAGTGGGGAAAGCTAGACGTCACAGCAGCGATGACACTTATTACAGGAGAAAAAAGGGAGAATAAATAATAAGAAAAATGAATAAACAAGAAAACATAAATCCTGAATACATTTTAAAAATGCTGATTATACCACAAGTAATGAATACCACTGATGCCTTTTATTTAAAACTGACTTGCTCGTGTGTAATTTGGTTATTCCACATTCAGCGTTAATGCAGAAATAAGTTTGTTTCCTAATTTAAAGGTTCAAAATTGCATACATGTTGATAAATAAAATGTGCAAATTTGCCGTCACTTTTTCAAAAATATTAAGTTTGGCCCTCAGCTCCGTCCCAGAGTTTCATTTCGGCCCCGTGTGAGTTTGAGTTTGACACCCCTGGTTTATAGGATCAAAACGGAATGCTGGGAGGAAATGATCAGCTCTCTGCATCCAGATATTTTAGGAACCTGGAATGACTTCATCTGAGTATTTGCACAAATCGTACATCATTTATTTATTTAAATTAGTTGCCCAAGATGTTATGCTTACTTTTAACTTGTTTTCCCGTTTCAAGGGAAATGTAATAAACAAAATTTAAAAAAAAAATTGATTAAAAATCCTAAAATTTGATCTGGGACTGCTGGCAAACATAAAACAAAACTTAAAAGAAAAAACTATTTGCTCAAAGATAACGTTTTAAAAATAAATAAAAATCTCAAAGAATATTAGTCATCTCATCTTTTGGACACAAACCTTGACCCGCATCTTGAATAAATGTCTTGACTGCAGCCTATTTCAACCCGCTGGACTGCTCGAAGCTGCTCACCACAGATCAACACGACCAGATTCGTGTTTACTCTTCCTGTGACTTTTCCAAGCCCCAACACATCATCCAGCACCCACACAGGCAGTTTCAGCACCTCACACCCATCAAGGTTTGTGTCTGAGTCCTCCTGCGAGTTCTGGTGAAACGTCCAGAATAGTTCTAGACTTCTGTATGATTGATGAGTCGAGGCGTGATGTTTTGAACGTGTGTTTCTGTCCCACTAGTGTGGAAAGACTCCTTTGGATGCTAATGTGACATCACAATTAATTAAATTGAGAGAATAGTGGTCCATTTGTTCTGTAGGCCACGTGGCATCCCATGTATGACCTGATTGTGGCCGGACGCTACCCTGATGACCGGATCTGCACCGGGGATCTGAGGAGCGTCGACATCTTTGACTCCAACAGTGGGGATCTTGTGTTCCAGCTTTACGATTCCACTGCCTCCGGGATTAAATCTGTGAGTGTTCATTAAAAGATGGACACGTTAAAGGCTGCTGTTACTAAGCTTGTGTGTGTGTGTGTGTGTGTGTGTGTGTGTGTGGGTGTGGGTGTGGGGTGTTCTCACAGGTCAATAAATTCAGTCCGATGGGTGACGTGATCGGATCTGGTATGGGTGAGTTATCGGACGCTCTTCATTTAACCCAAATTGAAGCTTTTAATTTTTTAAAGAAGTTCAACTGTTTTCTGCGCTTTTATTTTGTAAAGGTGTAACCCTGCTGGTCTGGGACCACGATGAGTCACTGGTCAGCGGTCGGCACAAACAGCACGAAGAAACTCCGTCCTCAGTTGAAAGGTCGAGGGCTCCGAGGAGGAGTCAGCCGCGCTCCAGCAGAGACCGAAAAGGTTCGGCTGCTGACACAAAACTCAAGAAGAAACTGGCTTCTCTGGAAGAAGCCGAGACCAAAAGCAGGACTGGGAGCACGAAACAAAAACTAGCTCAGGCTAGAAAGAAGTGAACTGTTTATCTAAAGTCTTTGTAAATGTCATTGTTAGTGTTTAACATCAGGGACTGTCTGCGTGTTTGGTATATTGAATCTTTGATGAACCAGTTTAAAGTTCTACGTTTTCACAGTTTTTATACTATAGAACAATAAAACTATATAAGTCTTTCCTTAAAACAGTTTCTGGTGTTTACACACTTCTCATGGGCATGGATGACATAAACATGGGCCTTTTTAACTGCTTTCAATCAATATTGTCAGTATCTAGTCGAATCCATAAATATTGGGACGTCGACGGTTCTAAAACGTTTGGCTCTACTCCCCCACAATGGACTTGAAATAAAATAAACACAAAGTGCTTTAGCTGCAAACTGTCAGCTTTCATTTGAGGGTATTTACATTCAAACCATGTGAACGGTAGCCTGGCAAACGATCCTATGTGTGAGGACATATACAAACTTTGCAAAACAAGAATTTGGTTTAGTTCACTAGGCTATGTGAACAGTGTTGGAATAATGTTTTCATGTGTGCCTCACACGGGGCCGAAAGTAATGTGGCAAAATAACCATAAGTCTACCTTCACTTTTTAATACTTGGTTGAAAATCCTTAGCAATGAACTACAGCCTGAAGTCTGGAACACGTAGACATCACCAGCTGGGTTTCATCCCTGGTGATGCTCTGACAGAACAAGGAACTAGTTGAATAGTATTTTGACTGTGAGGAAGACAGAAAATCCACAATCCTTTCACACTTGTGCATTTTATTCTTGTTTTTGCAATCGTTTAAGTGTTGACGAGGAAACTTCCACGTAGCTCAAACACTGTGATGTTAGCCAGCTGGAGGAGCACTCCCCCCCAAGCCTCCTGCTTCTCCTTGCTCCCCTGAACCTGAGCCTGGTGAGCTGAGTACACCATGCTCAGAATAAGACTCTCAAACTGATCCTGTGTCAGATGCTTCTTCGGATGATTCTGTAGAGTGTGCACCATCAGCTCCATGGCATTTGGAGTTTTTGGAATGCCATCATTGATGTGAGACAGGAATTCTTTCCCTTTCCTCATTGATGACATCTCCTCGTCCAGAAGGAATATGTTGTCCTGGTCTGTCGCCACCCCACCAAGCAAAAACTGTAATCAGGATGAGGAAAAACATTTAGTACAGGTGGAAATGAAGCACGTTTTTGAAAGTCTTCAAATCAGCTTTAAAATATCAAAGTACCTCAAACATCAGGTTTGCGTCAGAAAGAGCGGAAGCAGTTTCAGAAGTTGGATGAATGCCTGCTGCAGCATCTACAGACATGAAGAATTTTTACAAAATAAAAGTAGTTACTGCAGATACAATGTCTGCTTCTCCCATTTTGAATGAAAAATATTGCAAGAGCGTGCAACAACATCTGTGTGAATCACATGTTGGCAGTCTTTTTTGTGTAACTTACCTCTCAGCACTCGATCAAACCAAAGCCACGAAAGAATCAAGAGCCATAGTTTTAGATGTGAGTTCATTCTTCTCTGGATCGGGACAGACGGATGCACCTCTCATACTTTCACTCTTCTGCAGATGGAATTCCACACATTTTTTCCGGCTTGGAAAAAGGCACCAAAAGCCAGTTGGCTGCTTTGCACAGAAGAATCAGTAGTTCCGGGGATACCTAAACTTTGCAGCTAAGTATTTGCAGCAGAATTAACTAAGGAAATAATTAATATTACATTTATTCATTATTTTGCATTTGTTTAATATTTAATGGAAAATACTATTTTAAATATGCAGAATTTTGGAGGATTTATTTGTGTTTTCATCTGTGAATGAAATCTTTAGGTTGTCGTGCTAAAATGTTACTGTGTCCTTTTTGTAAATCAAAAGTAATCAGAATACTTATACATAGTCTCATTTAGAGTGCAAATAATTTAAATTAGGTAATGATTTGTCTTGTGACGCAAGGTTCAGTTCATTTGTTTAGTCCTCTGTTTTTTGTCTTCACAAAGCAGCAAATCATTTCAGTGACACGCCTGGGTTGCTGGCAGATCATGTTTAATTACACAGCTTTATATTGATTTGTAGAATGTATAACATTCTCAAAAATAAGCTCTTCGGGGATTTAAAAAATAGGGTGTACAATCCCGGTTAATTTCTGGGGTAAAATTCTCCCTAGCATGACTGTATGATCTTAGAAAATCAACAAATTTTGAGTTTTCGAAACAGAACCCATAAAAAATCCTCAAAGTCCTGGAAAAAAAAGTCACTGCAGTCGAAATACTAAATAAAACCTGCAGTAACAAGTTTTCACCACATAGTGGCGGTAACTTGTTTTCACTCAATAAACTTTACGTTTACTTCCGGTTATCATCTGTTTTTTTGTCTGCATGTTCCGATAGCGAGTCCTAAGGTAACATACCCACATGTTTGCTTTATTTCACAACTATGGTTACTTTTGCACTAAAGTGAACGGCAAATAGCTAAATGCAGTGGGCGCTAACATTAAATCAACACGAGCGCAGCTAGTTTAGCAAAGCTAATCCAACGTCTGACTGTGCTGTAATATTAATCTTTCGGATACATTCTGGTGCGGTGTGTTTAGTTGCTGCACATTTCTCTCCTGACAGCGTTTTTACGTAACAACCGAGGTAAAAAGCAGATTTTCATTTATGATGTATTCATTTATCACCAAATGTTCTTGGTAATACTTAACTATTTGTTTCTTTCGTCTGCTAAAAGTACCAGACACAAGAACAGTTTCTTTCCTTCAGCCATTTCTCTCCTGAATCTGTAGATTATTTTACCATCCTTTTATTATAGTTTTTAATACTTATTCAGTATGCTTATGGATATGTGTGTGTGCGCGTGTGCGTGCGTGCGTGCGTGTGTGTGTGTGGGTATGTATATATGTATATATGTGTGTGTGTAAATGAACATGTGTGTGGGTATACATGTTCTTATGTGTTTTAGGTATTTTTATTCTCATTTATTGTGGTTGTTGTGTGTTTTAGAGAGCGAACATCTACCGAAGACAAATTCCTTGTAAATGTACTTTTACTTGGCCAATAAATCTGAATCTGAATCTGAAGTGTTTATCTGTACTTTCTGCACACGTTATGCTTTTAGAAATAATACAGAAACTACGTGTCCACAGCTGACACACTGCCATTAAATTATGCATTTATATTTAAACAAAAACTGCGTTTTGTTTCAGTAAAGCAGCATTTACTAATTGTTGATCAGTTTCTCCTATGCACTTTAATCTGAGTGTAAATAAGCACACACACACAGTTGATTACTGTGGCTTTCATCAGGTTGAGGAGTAGAGATGGAGACCAGTGAAGATGGAGGGCTCAGCGTCGGGGGCTCTGTGGGAGAGGAGAACTACTTCCTTGGATACACGTTCACCGACCGCTCTCACTCAAGTCGTGTTGTGAAGAGCATCATGGACTTGTGTCTGGAGGATGGGCTGTTTGCTGATGTCACAATCACCGTAGATGGCAAAGAGTTTAATCTGCATCGCCTGGTGCTGTCGGCACAAAGCAGTTTCTTCCGCTCAATGTTTACTTCCAACCTCAAGGAGTCCCACAATCGCAGCATTGAGCTGAAGGATGTTGGCGCCACTGTCTTTCAGCTGCTGATTGACTACATCTACCACGGTACAATAAAACTAAGTGTGGAGGAGCTGCAGGACACGTATGAGATGGCTGACATGTACCAGCTGACTGCCCTGTTTGAGGAATGTTCCCGCTTCCTGTCACGGACAGTGGAAATCAAAAACTGTCTACAAGTGAGTTACTGTTTCTCATGGATGTAAGAATCGGTTTAGGCATCTGTAGACTGAGTTTTGCCTTTTTGGTTTTAGGTGATGTGGCTTGCAGACAGACACAGTGACCAGGAGCTGTACACGTCAGCCAAGCAGTGTGCAAAGATCCACCTTGCTCAGCTGCATCAGACTGAAGAGTATCTCAACCTGCCTCTGGGTCTGCTCTTAGACATCATCAAGGGTATTACAGCTTATCGGCTCACTGATATATGCAATATTAAAAAGTGTATCTGATTTAGATGACTAGATTTCAAATGTGTTTGTTTTTTAAAAATCTGGCGCGCTTTAATGTTCTAACTTCAGGAGTTTCTTTTAAACATGGCTATGCATCTTTTCTTGATTAAAAACAAGTAAATGATTCAGATTTTAATGCCAAGTATGACTGAGGATATACACCAGGTGTGTCCTTTTTTAATAATGAAGTGTAAATCATGTTATAAAATAACAAAAGAAAAAGTATTTTTTTTTCTCGGTCTAAATGCTTTTATGAGTTCAAATAAAAATAGCCCTGTGTTTGTTTTCAGATGGTGTTCCAAGCTCCCAGAATCCATCGGTGGCCATCGAATCGTGGATAAACCACAACAAGGTTGAGAGGGAGGAGTTCTCCAGCATCCTTAAAGAAAATCTTAAGGTGGTATTGCTTAATGCTGAGAACTTACTGAATTTAGAGGTTTAAAATTTTTCGGAAAAACTATGAAAACATTTCACCTTCAAAATAGCTGAGATCATTGTTAAGATTGTTGTTTTCTTCCCTTAAAGGAAATTGGTGAGAATGTCCACATCTACCTGATTGGTAAGGAGGAGACGAGGACTTACTCTCTTGCTGTCTCACTGCACTGTGATGAAGATGATGCGATCAGCGTGAGCGGCCAGAACAGTCTGTGCCATCAGATCACCGCCGCCTGTAAACACGGCAGCGACCTGTACGTAGTGGGGGGGTCCATCCCTCGTCGCATGTGGAAATGCAACATGCACACTATGGACTGGGAGCGCTGTGCGCCTCTGCCCAGAGACCGCCTCCACCACACCATGGTTTCTGTCTCCTCCCAGGATGCTATCTACTCTCTTGGAGGTAAGACGCTGCAGGACACGCTCTCCAACGCCATCATCTACTACACAGTGAAGGACAACATGTGGACAGAGACTAACCAGTTGGACACTGCTGTGTCCGGGGCAGCTGGTGTTAACCTGGGAGGCACCATCTACCTGCTCGGAGGGGAGGAGAACGACATGGATTTTTTTACAAAGCCGTCTCGCCTCATTCAGTGCTTTGACAGCTCATCTCAGAAGTGCCAGATCAAACCCTACATGCTGCCTTTCGCCGGCTGCATGCACGCCACCGTCCACATGGATGTGATCTTCATCGTGGGGGAAGGAGACTCCCTGGTGTGCTACAACCCTCTCCTGGAGAGCTTCACACGCCTGCGTTTCCCCGAGGTGTGGAGCTGTGTCCCGTCGCTGTGGAAGGTGGCCAGCTGTAATGGCTGCATATACGTCTTCAGAGACAAATGCAAGAAAGGTGACGCGAACACGTTGAAGTTTAACCCAGCCACATCTGTGGTTTCGGTTATTAGAGGGATAAAAATCCTCCTCACAAACTGGCAATTTGTCTTGGCCTAACCTCTGGGTTTTCACTCGCACTCTTGGTGAAACCGGTAACCAACGTTGTGGATTTCAATCCTTCCGTAAGGAAATTTAGCTGCGTCACTCATTCCCTCCAAGCAAGAACAGTTGGGTCCTGTCTGTTACTTGCTTCTGTTCCAGTGTGCCATAGTCGATCTCTGAGGAGTAAATCTGTGCTGATGCTGTGACCAGTGAGCTGTGGTTTCCTGTATGCTGCTCGTGTACCAACGTGCATGAACCACTTTAGTGTAAACACTATATGAAGCAGCCTTTGCTAGCCTGTGATCGTCTTGTTCAGATTTAAACAAGAAATGTGAGTCTGTGTCTGTAAACAAAATATCAAAGGACGTTTTGTAGTTTTTTAATTTTTACAATATTTTTATGTACGCTGTAAACGAGTTGTTCTGTGAAATGTTTAAATATATGTCTGTAGCTACAAACTGGTGTCTGATCTTTTGCACAAAATGGACTGTGTCACCATCCTTTAACAGTTGCTGTCTAAACCGATGGGACTTCCTGCTTCCGTTCCTGTGGTTCAAACAGTTGGAGTTAAAGGGAGAGAAAGGCGCTACAGAGAAGCTGCTGATGTTCTGCAGGAGACCGTGCAGCTGAAACCTAAGCTCAGGAACATGGCAGACACTCTGAACTATTCTAAGCATCAGTTGCTGACACTGAGATGAGGATATGAGGGGTGGGGGAGGCGTCTCCATAAGGACTACGGATTCTTTATTATCATAGGAACTTACTGTACAGTCACTATGAGCCCGGTCTGTAGTGCAAACCGTTTTTGTGCCTCCTTGCAGCTTCTTACAGGAGATCCTGGTTGTTGTTGATGCTCCAGAGATTTGTGATGTTAAAATTTGAATCCCGAGGTCGATCAGTCAGGATTGTTCCGTGTGAAGGTGAATTGCTAGGAGCCGTAGTGACCTTGGGACGGTTTGCTGAGGGCAGAACATAAATTCCTGAAGGGGCACATGGTCCAGAGTGACAAGGCCATCTGCTGCCGCCGCAGCAGGAGGAAGGTGTAGGGGGGTCGGATGTGGGGTGCTAAGAATTCCTTTGGCTGGGGTGTGGAGGGAGTAGATATTCTGGGACACTACTGCTAGTACCCGGCTGGGATGTGCGTTTCTTTGCTGTTTTTCAAACGGAAATTGAGTGGAGATTGTTTTTGTGCTCTGGATGGTGAGCCAGGAATGTTGCACGTGTGACCAGGGATGATACTTTCCTGTTGTTTCAGCCCTCCACATAATGGTCTTGGTGTGTCGCCGATCTACTTGCTTGGATTTAGTTTCTTCTACGTCTCAGCATTCGGAGCTGATAGAGCCGGATCTGATAGGTTTCCTGGCACCGACCTTTCCCCGGGGGAACATCGTCAAGGGATCTTTGGAGTTGCACCGTCCATGGAAAGGATCTACTTTCTTCCTGCCTCAGTGAAACTGCATGGCTTAAACGAATGAATATTTTTATGAGGCGCCTTGCACCAGAGATGGGCCAGGACCAAACCAAGCAGCAGATTGAGAAAGGCCTGAAGTTGTATCAGTCCAATCAGACGGACAAAGCCCTGCATGTGTGGACTAAAGTGCTGGAAAAGACTTCAGATCCTGGAGGGAAGTTTCGAGTGTTGGGGTGCCTGATCACTGCTCACTCAGAAATGGGAAAGTACAAAGATATGCTCAAGGTAAACCTCTAAATCGCTGACACCGAAGCAAATACCATCCTCACTGGTATAATCCTTTACAGAAACAAGCTAAATCATGTACGTTGAGTTGTGTGTGCGATTGTAAGCCCACACTCCAGAACGATGCCAAATGTTTAATCCCTTCATGTGTCAACACATCACCTCAGGACCGATTCAGTTCTGCTGGAGAAGCATGTTAATGTTTCCGCTGCAATCACTGAATTTAAAGAAGTCAAAGGTTACCTTATCTTCTATTTAAAGACAAATTGAGCAGCGTGGGTTAATTTGTGGCTTCCACACAATGCAGAGTAAATAAGTGTCCTGCAACCTTAGAGTCCGTGTTGGATGTATTGTTGACATAATCACAGACCCTCAAACACCACCCACTCCCACAAGTGCGATTTTAATGGAGACTTTTAAAAAAAAAAGTGAAACTGCATCAATTCCTGTATCCATTGCTTGCATGTCTCCTTTATTTGTCACCACTTTCCTCTTCAGTACGCCCTTGATCAGATTGACACAGCCAGAGAAATGGAGGACCCAGACTACCTGACTGAAGGTTACCTGAACTTGGCGCGGAGCAACGAGAAGCTGTGTGACTTCCAGAAAACCGTCTCCTACTGTAAAACCTGCTTAAACATGCAGGGCACCACCGTGAGCCTGCAGCTCAACGGGCAAGTGTGTCTCAGCATGGGCAATGCCTACCTGGGCCTCAGCGTCTTCCAGAAAGCTCTTGAGAGCTACGAGAAGGCCCTACGCTACGCGCACAACAATGACGACAAGATGTTGGAGTGCAGAGTCTGCTGCAGTCTAGGGAACATCTACATCCAGCTTAAGGTACTGCAGATGACCAAACATACTGACTGGCTTACTGCAGAGATTTGCTGTTATGCAATATTGTCGCAATTAGCCTCCTTGGCTCATGATCAGCTTCAATTTTTCCAGGTTATTTGCAGGTTTTAATAATAGCCCGGAACAACTGAGTGCAAATGTCATTAGAGGTAGGCTCGTATATGTTTGTTGGTGCTGTAAACTAAGTAAGCTGGCTGGTGGGGGTCTATGTTGTACCCTTGGCATGGGAGATTTGTAAACATAATCCCCTCGCTTCCCAGGTTTGGTTTCAGTGACATTGTGATGAAGCAACATTCAAATAATACATGTTTTAAGTAATGAAGAGACACACGTGGCAATGTACTCAGTTACTGAATGTGTTTTGTTCTTGTAGATTATGCAAAGTGCTCTATTTCTCTTTGAAAGTAGCTCCACTCTAATTGTTCACGTCTACCATCAGGACTATGAGAAAGCCCTGTTCTTCCCCTGCAAAGCAGCTGAGCTTGTCAGTGACTATGGCCAAAGTTGGAGTCTGAAGTATCGAGCCATGAGCCAGTACCACATGTCTGTGGCCTACAGGAAGCTGGAGCGCCTGCCCGACGCTATGGAGTGCTGTGAGGTATTGTCCTAAAAGGCGTCACGACTCTCCTCTGAGTCGAACGTACACATGACTCGAGGAATCTCACAGTTGTGGTTTCTCTCACTGACGTGCCATTCTGGTGCCAGTGCTGCAGATTCAGTAGACGCCGGGTTGCCGACAGGTGCAAGCGCCATATGGGCTGTTTGTACAAGTCCTAAGACCTCGACAAAAATATGCTCAGAGGCGCGGGTTTCAAGTGTTAATGAAAAGGGTGGCTTAAGTCTTAACCCTGTTCTAATTATGTACGAAGGGCGAAAAATAGCTTGATGTCATTGCCTTGGAGTGTAAAAGTAGAGCAACAAGAGAGCAGGAGGCATTTCAGATTTATTACATTTGCCAAACAGATTACACATCTCGCCATATTCCCAATACCAGAGTACAGGAGGGGTCTGGAAGGTGACTCCTCACATTCTCTACTGCTTCTGCCCTTGAATATACACTCATATGGAAGCACACATCTGTGTTATTGTAGTTTTAGAAGGATGTGTTGTAGGTTGGAAGAGTGACCCGTCCCAAACTCTTTGTGTTTTGTTTCGACAGGAATCTATGAAGATCGCTCTGCAGCATGGCGACCGACCGCTACAAGCCCTGTGCTTACAAAACTTTGCAGACATACACCGCTACAGACACGATGTTGATGTAAGGCGACACTGCTTCCATAGAAGTGCAAACTTCTTTTTCCAACTAGTTACTAAGATTAAACCTTGCATTTTTAATTCACAAGTACTTAATATTGCATTTTTCTTTTCATGCTTTTAGAAAGCGTTCCCTCGTTATGAGTCCTCCCTTTGTATAATGACTGAGATTGGAAACCGTCTCGGACAAGCACACGTCTATCTGGGAGTTGCAAAGTGTTGGCTTCTGCAGAAAGAATTTGACAAGGTCCGTACACTTCTGTGTTTTATTTACAACAACATAAATGTTTAGTTGGACTCCAAAACAAGAACTTACAACTTGCTTCTGATTGATTTGCAGGCTCTCGAGTCTTTGCAGCGAGCGCAGGAACTTGCAGATGGGATGGGAAACAAGGTAACTCAATCTTTTTGACTGATCAGTTAATCAATTAAAAATTAAAGGAATAAAACATTACTCATAGCCAGTCATCCCAGATGTTTTAAGATAATTTATGTTAAAGAGCAAGTCACCCCCAAATCAGCTTTTTTTCCCTGATAAACTATATAAATACGTGTCTAATCGTGCTGCAGACACGTGTAGTCAATAGTTTTGCACTTTAGTGCATTTTAGTTAAAATTTTAATTTTCTGTCTAAAACTGCCAGTGTTGTGCCGTTGTCAGGTAAAAACTCTGCACTGCATTTGAATTTAAATCTGCCATCACTATTGGCTAAGAGGTACCCTAGAACGTTAGCTGGTACCATGTGATGTCACATTGTCGTTGTGAGCCTGTGTGTGTGTGCATTTGTTAGCGGCTCCGCCCTCTTGGTCTGCTAGGCAACAGTATTTGTTGCATTTTTCAAACAGGAAGTGGGAGTTGAGTAAGAATCTGGTAGGGGGTGACTTGCTCTTTAACCAATATTTACAGCCGTTTTGCTCAAATTTTGTTAGTAACATCATGTGCAGCCACAAGAAATATCACTTAATCTCACATCATTTGTTTGCAATTTGAGTATGTGTTGGGAATTACTCTTAACTACATCTCCACCAAGTTTTATCTCAATTTTTGTAGAATTGACAGACATTTATGTGTTTGTTTTGGTCAATCGGCTATCGTGCCAAAACAGGGTCTACTTCAATTGCTTGGTTCATGATGAAAGTCGCTAACACACCCACACTGACAGGCAAAAACATCCTCACCCACAGATCACCCTTCATCAATGGGTGATAATTACTAGCTAATGAGTTAAATAAACTGTAGCAGTAAAGACTGTCTTATGTTGATGTGTTTTCCCGTGCATAAGCTGTGCACCCTGAAGGTTCACTGCCTGCGTGAGGGCATCTACCGAAACCTTAAGCAGCAGGAGGACCTCAGGGAGGAAGTGGTGAAGTTCCTGCAGTGTGTCGAGGAGCTGGAGCTTTACTGCGGCATGTGTGGGGAGTCCATTGGGGACAGGAACCAAAAGCTGCAGGCATTACCCTGTTCCCACATCTTTCATCTCAGGTGTTTATTCTTAGCATTTCTGAAATGACAAATACATCTCTGGTTTGCAGAAGAATGCATTTAGAAACTCAAATAGAAGTAGCTTCTGTGGTACAGATTAAAATATGGTTTAAGGTTAAGTTTTGAAAGGTTCTTTTTTTTTTTACGTATGTTTCCAGGTGTCTGCAGACAAATGGGACAAAGGGCTGTCCAAAGTGTTTCAAATCCTCCATTAAGCCTGGATTTGTGTGATTGCCAGCCTGGGTCAGCGTGTTGGATCTGCAGACTCTGCATGATACCTTGCAGGCTGCTGACTGATGGGGAAATCAGCAGGCAGCCTCAGGATGAGCGCTTCGGGATGCCGACCTGAACCCGGTGCATCCTGGATCAGGGCTGACTGACGCAGATGAAGGCATCTTGTTTCATTTAGACATCAGTCTGACACTGTCGGTGGAGATGATGTGAAACTATGAGTGTAAACCTTTCAGAGCTGAAACTCTGCATCGTTTCTGGTGACTACCCATCTGATGCTCCCTTTACACAGAAAACGGACATTTCTGACCTACTTTCTGTGTCTGTTGTGATTAATTTATCTTTGGGAGAATAATTTTGAGATGTCTCAAAAACCTCAGTCCCATGACTTGTTTTTTCTTCATCAGATGGCGGAGTTTAATGGATTTCCGTTACTGTAGTCATGTACATACATTTCTCAAGTTACTTTTGAAAAGATGAATTATTTGAAATCTGTTGTAAAACTAGACTCTCTTCACCACTGAGAAACTAGGATGTCTTCGCACATCATCAGGCTCATGCAGCTGTTTTAATTGAAATAATTTAGGAAGCAGGATAGACTCTCATTAGACCTTTGACCAATCACGTCACTTTTTGAAGGGAGATGCAGTTTCTTTGTTTTCTTGTAATTATTTTTTATATCACTGGTTGTATTTTATCTAACAGCATCAAGAGTCGTGGATAATCTGTGGGAGGAAAGCTAAGAAAGAAATGTGTGCTTTTTTTTATATCCGTGCGTTGCCAGACAACAACATAGAAATTATACATCAATTTACTTATTTGTGTAATATTTCTTTAGTCAATGAGTTTTACCATATTCCATTTTTAAAAAATGAAGTTTTGCCGACTCGGCTTGTGGTGAAGTCAGATGGTGAAACCCTCGTGTTCAAGAATTTTCTAGCTTTTAAATCAGCTTCAGGGTTCATGCTAACATCTGAGTGTGTGTGTTTACTCAAGTTCAAGCTTGCGCCTACCCCCCCTCTAAAACTAAGAATTTTTAACTGACAGTATCTCCGACAGCTGAATCTACCTCTGTTTTTGCCTCCAAGCCTTTATAGGAAAACACAGTGACGTCACAATGTTGAAATTCATGTGATGTTTTTCTAGAAGTTATAATTAGTGACTTAAATACATTTAGTCAATGTTCCTGTCTCATATGGAAACATGTCTTGTTGGAAAATAAAAGTCACCTGAAGTGAATGTGTTTAGTGACGTTTTCCTTTTAATTATTAAACAGAAGCTTTACGTTTTACTCATCGACATATGGTTTGACTCGATGTGTTTGTTTTATTTCCAGGATGAAGTAGGTGGAACATCTAACCTGTTTCACTAGTTTGTCTGCATTTAAGCCACAAGGCGGTGCTTCTTTCACCTGACAGGTAAAAAGAAAGTGGTTTTATGTCGGACTGCAGCTGGCTGTCACTTTACGGAGACTCTTCCAACATGCTGACAAGGAAGCCCATCTCTGATGACGACTTGTTGTGCCCGCAGTGCTCCGGCATTTACTGCCTTCCTGTTGTTTTAATATGTGGCCACAATATTTGCAAGGTTTGCTTGTACAGGTTCTGGGAAGTGAGGAGGTGTCGGAACTGTCCTGTGTGTGGCATCGAGTCTTCCACTGGAGTGCCTCCTCTCAATCTGGCTCTTCAGAAACGCATTGATGTTTTTAAAGTCCATGCGCCCATCGAGGAGTCAGACGAGTGCCTTCTTCACAACGAGAAACTGAAGGTGTTTTGTAACGACGACGAGGTACCCATCTGTCTTGTCTGCCAAATATCTAAGCAGCACTCGGTTCACCAGTGCTGTACAGTGGAGGAAGCAGTCTTGACCAAAAAGGTGAAGTACAAACAAAGGCTAGAAAGATAGAAGCAAACGAAAAGGATCAAGTTCAATTTGAGTGCAAAACGTTTTGTGAAAACCGTTAAATATTGAATAGAGGTTTTGTTTACATGTAAATGTCAGAATATTTATGACAAACATTCATCACAAAAACATGCACGGTGTTTTCAGAAGTTTTTGAAGTACATTTTATTCTTTTATAAATTAAAAAGGGGGGGGGGGGGGGGGAATGAAAAAGCCACAACAGCTATGAAGAAGCTACAATGATGTTCAGCTGAGCTGTGGTGCCCTGATGGACGGGGCCATCAGCGTGAACACCGTTGCTAAACATTTAAACATTTTCTCTCTCCTGATAATAACATTTTACATGACATTGAACGCGCTACTACTAGTTTACCCTTTAATTATAGATTCACTAGGATAAATACAATAAAGTTTATCTTTCACCAAATAGAATATTTACTAAGAAATTACAATGTAACCATAGAAACATTACTTGGTGTGTGTGTGTGTGTGTGCGCCTGCTCTGTCTTCTCGATCCCCAGTGAGTCGTGGAGGATGGATGCTTATACTGAGCCAGGATTCTCTGGAGGTTTCTTCCTGTTAAAAGGGAGTTTTCCTCTCCACTGTTGCTGCATGCTTGCTTAGTATGAGGATTGCTGTGACTGACACTAGTCAATGACTTGATGCAATTTGCTGGATTCCTTACATAGGAAACTTTTTTTCTGATTGGCTTAATGAACTGACCTGTATTGGAATGTTTTATTATGTGAAGTGCCTTGAGACGACTCTTGTCGTGATTTGGCGCTATATAAATAAACTTGAATTGAATTGAACGACTCACTAAAATGTTACTCATGACATCATTTTAACTCGTGATTCTCATTTAAGGCTGAGATTTCTGACATACTTGACTCCTTAAGGAAAAAAGTCAAAAATATGAATAGGACAAAGCAGCAATGGGAGGAAACCAAAAATTACCTGAAGGTAAATTAAAAATGTTCAAGTTTTTTTTTCTCCAAAATAACTGTCACATTTCCTTAAATGATGTACTTAATCAACATTCCAGACTCAAAGCTCTCAGGTGGAGACGCAGATCAAACAGGAGTTTCAGAAACTTCAAAAGTTCCTCCAGGATGAAGAGAACATGAGGCTGAGGGCACTCAAGCAGGAAGAGGAGACAAAGGCCAAAGTCATCAGCAAGAAGATTGAAAACTTAGAAGAGCAGATAAGACTCCTCTCCTTCACCATCACCGATGTTGACAAAGCCCTCACTCTGAATGACTTACCATTCTTAAAGGTACGCTCGAAACCAGAATCCATATTTTATGGGTTTCCTTCTTTAAATACATTAAAATTAAATGTTCTTAATGTACTTTGTGAGTAGCAGATTGTAAAAATACCAAAATGCACTTGAATGGCTAATTATATGGAACACCACACACTAGCTGGGAAAGTACATCAGCTTTTGAAACATGCACACAAACTAGCAGGACAAGTAACTCAGCCAACAATAACATAACTGGGAAATACTGTAATGACTCACTGGGAGAAATTAGCATGTTTTTGTAATAAACTTAAACATTTAGATTCAATCATATTACTGAAACAGAAAAGCAGCAAAGACGAATGGTTATGGACATTTGATCAGGTTTGCCACTTCCTGTCAGTTCAGCATGGAGGTGGAGGTATAATGGCATAGGGGAAATAGAATTGTTCTATGTCATGATGACTGTGTGAAAATGTGATAAAAAACTAGCTTCCTTGAAAAAATGAGAAACATCCATCCTCAAAAATGCAGAAAGACCTCCCATGAACTTTTTACTATTAAAATAATACAAATTGTACAAAATATACATAAAATATTTTTAAGAATCATTTGACTATTTTTGGATTCATGATTACCGGGTTCTTGTTGTTTAGAGCTGATGGGTACCCGGTCTATCGGAAGATTTTGGAGCTTAAGGAATATGCCATGCTTTGAACCCTCGGGCTCAGATGTTGCATGAGATTAATTGCAAGCTGGATGCTTTGAGCAACAATCTGGCAGTGTTTTCGTGACACGCACACTGAATGAATACCAACTTACAGAAATTTTCAGCTCAGTTTGTTGGAAATTAACCCATTAATGCAGCTGTTTGGTTGCCCTTGAGACCAGGCAGAATTTTTTTTAACCTTTGGCCTGTTCTAAAACATGAAATGTTATCTCAATTTGGCTCCCCTATGCTCGGCCCTGAGGGCTAAAGAATTCAAAATTCCTTCCTGATGTGACTTAGAGGATTGGATGCTTTGATCCTAAACCGTAGGTAGTAACACTTAAAGAGACCATAGCAGAGGCTTGTTCACAAGTTAACAATAATTTTATTGACAAGACACATCGAAAATTACAGATAAGATTTACTAAAAACAGATAGGGATAAAAGGAGTAGACTAAAACTCTAAAGCAGGGGTGTCAAACTCAAGTTCACACTGAGCCGAAATGAAAATCTGGGACGAAGTCGAGGGCCAAACTTAATATTTTTTGAAAAAGTGACGGCAAATTAGCACATTTTCTTTATCGACATATATGCAATTTGAACCTTTTAATTTGGAAACAAACTTATTTTTGCATTAACACTGAATGTGGAATAACCAAATTATACACGAGCAAGTCAGTTTTAAATAAAAGGCATCAGTGGTATTCATTACTTGTGGTAAATTCAGCATTTTTAAAATCAATTCAGGATTTATGTTTTCTTGTTGTTTATTCATTTTTCTTATTTTTTATTCTCCTTTTTTCTCCTGTTATAAGTGTCATCGCTGCTGTGACATCTAGCTTTCCCCACTGAGGAACAATAAAGGGATTTTCTATTCTATTCATCTATCTGCAGCCTTTCCACTTCCTGTGTAGGTTAAATCTTTTCTCACGGACCAACAACAAAATAAATATATAATTTTATCTTAAATGAAAATGCAATATCTCACCTGTTAACTTTCATGTTTTGGAGCAGAAAAAGAGCATAAAACCAAAATATTTAAAGCTCAGTTTGCTCCACTGATTTACTGTGTTGCTCACCTGTTCCACCTGCATCATGGGGTTGAGCTCTGAGCTGAGGAGGAGACTCCTGTTGTTTTGTTCATCTTCATCATAATAATGTCAACATTAGATGACAACAGGTGCTCACATAGGTTTGTGCTGCTGAACATGTCTGAGCAGCTTGATCACGTTGTTGTGTGTCGGGGAGGAAAAATAAAAACTACAGCAGCCACAGAGTCATGCTGGCTTGAGCGTGTCGCTGCTCGCTGGAGTTATATCAGCTCTGTCTGGAAGTTAGTTGGAAAACTTTCTCTTTCAGTCGTGAACACATTACTGAGCGGTCAAAATCTCCATTTCTGGGTTTCAACGTTGGCAAATAGCTGAGTAAACTCAGCGCTGAGTGAGAGGAGTGTTTAGTTTGTCCGAGACAGCGGAGCTGCAGACACCGGCAGCAGACTCTGGAAAAAACACAAAGGAGGGCGCTAATGCCGCAAAGCATCATAGGAGTTGTAGTCTTTGCGGTAAAATCGGCCAGCAGGTTAGTTTTAATATATTTTTGATATTTATCTCGCGGGCCAAATAAAAATGCTCCGCGGGCCATCTGGCCCGTGGGCCTTGTGTCCGACACATGCGCTCTAAAGAGAGAGAGGAGGGAGGAGCTACGACAGTGCTGGCCCTGGAAATACACAAACACACACAACGCCAGCCAACTATTATTTAAAAGTACAACCCACTGTAGGGAACCAACACAAAAGACAATATAAAGGAAAACACCCGGTGCGCCCTTTAATGAGCAAGTCACCCCCAAATCAACTTTTTTTCCTGATAAACTATATAAATGTGTGTCTAATCGTGCTGCAGACACGTGTAGTCACTAGTTTAGCACTTAAGTGCATTTTAGTTAAAATTTTATTTTCTGCCTAAAGCTGTCAGTGTTGTGCCGTTGTCAGGTAAAAACTCTGCACTATATTTGAATTTAAATCTGCCATCGCTATTGGCTAAGAATGTTAGCTGGTACCATATGATGTCACAATGTCATTGTGAGCCTATGTGTGTGTTTGTTAGCGGCTCCGCCCTCTCGGTCTGCTAGGCAACAGCATTTGTTGCATTTTTCAAACAGGAAGTGGGAGTAGAGTAAGAATCTGATAGGGGGTGACTTGCTCTTTAACTAAAGCTCATAAACACGCCCCCAGAAGTGAGTAAAACCCTCGACAAACCCCTACATCGGATACTCTAAATGAAGTTAACTACCCTCCCAGAGACAGCAATGTCATCAAGCTAACTACTAGCTTCATGGGATAGTTTTCCTTCCCCCTTCCCCTGAAGAAGACTACTAGTAAGATAGAAACGAAAGAATAAATAGTAATAAAGGAACTGGAAAACAGTAGCAAGCTAAGATCTCATCGGCATTCAGCTCGCCAAAGTACATTCCTTGTTTGTTCAACCTTCAGTCCTGCTCACGCACAGTCTTAGCTGCACCCACGTCTGCACACAAGGAGAGGCATTCGGCTTTCTGCAGCTGGAGCCCAACCGCCCCAATTATAGCGGCCTCGTAATGAAACACCTGGCTCGGCGGCACTGCACGTCTTACCAGAATTACTTCCAGGAACTTAAGTGACCCGGTTACACTGACATGGGACTGTGAAATCCTGAGATCAGCCTGAGTGATCTGGCTGAAAGGTCACTGACCCACTACAAACTCAACGCTCTCCTCATGCCTCGTTTCTCACTCACACCCCTCAGCAGCGGAGGTTGGATAGCTGCGAACCCTCTCGGTTGCAAAAAGAATCCCAGCCACCACACCCACGACTTGTGGATTTATGTTGTGATTGTCTGAATATGTGCTTTTATGTTTATGTTTTTCCTGAACCCCAGCTCTGGCTCTGTCGGGAACAGGGTTGGGGGACCCTTCCCTCCCCCTATCTCACCTTTCTCTTTATTCTTTCCCACCTGCATGAGTGCAGTGAAGTGGCTGCTCTCATAGCCTGCCTGAACCTGTTTCGTCTATGTGTTCATGTGTGTGCTCTTGGTCGGGTTGTGCTGTTAAGTCAAATTGCGTTGTACCAGGATGCTGGTTCAATGACAATAAAGCTGATTCTGATTGAGTAAAAGTGTAACAGCAAATAAGTTGAGTCTTTTCTGGTGTTTGCTCTTTACTATGAATCACTAATCTGGAGAAGAACAATCAATTGCTCTGTGGCCACACCTTAAAGAGTCCAAATCCAACCTAACTAGCCTGCTTCATGTGTGACTTTCACATGTCAGCTAGTTTTTGCAAAGTAACTTTAAATACAAATTTACATTTATGTTCTTAAAAAAATGATTGAAAAATGCAAAAATTGTTCACGTGAAGGTATAGTTTAGATCTTTTGAAGCAGGTTTCTGTAAAAGGTCTCATTGATTGAGTTCAGTTTAGAGAAATAGAGATCAGTTCTGATAAAAAGACAAGTTAGCATTCAGTCACAACTGAGCCAATTAGAAAGTGTATTAAAACAATTCCAATTATAAAACTGTCATGTTTATGCAAATGGTCTTTTCTGATCATTACATTGTTATAAATTTCATATCTCATAGATATTCTGGTAGAAATATAGTTTCAGACAAAAAGAGCAAAAGCAGCAAACTACTGCTAAGCTCAGGTTTTTCCAGGCAAGATACTATATGAATTGTTCAGAACTATGAAACCAATTTAAAAATACTGAATGGTTGATTTGATTTCAAGTCACAGTAACAGGAAGTATTACTTTTGCAGATGTATATGATGATAGTTTAAGTGAGACCGTAACTGTAGTGACTATCAAGTCCCACTTTTAGTCACCCTCGGGTGCGGGTGGAGGCAATGACTCGCTTCAACAATATTGTCCAGGCAGAAAGCGGGTTTGGGTTTATTGTCCTATTTATTGAATATGTTGACAACCACAAGCTGGGTCCACAATGGCTATTTCTTGTCCAGGTTTATGTAAATGATGAAAATTATAACGGCAAATTAGATGTGGCATATGAAACCAAACGAAGCGGTAAAAACCGTGTGACCTCCCGTCACCCAGAAAACGCCAATGCACTGCCACCTCAACACCTTTATAGGCTCCGCAGTGCCACCAGTGGTCAAAGGAAATACAAACCATAGTGCAATAAACTGAAATGTACATAAAACATTATCAAAATAAACGTAGACCATAATATAATCTAAACCAAAACAATAATGGCTCCTACACACCGGCCCCAATTGTGTAGACAGCACAATTAAATAACAAAATAAGGAGCCAAAAAATGTCCCAAGTAGTCCCATGCAGGATCTTCTCTCCATGTTATACAGCTGCTTGAAGAAGGCAGATCTTCGAGATGGGCCTCTCCAGCTGTCCGGTCTTCGTTTTCAGCTGAACTGCTCTAACAAGTCCATTTTTGTCAGGATAAGTGTTGATTATTCTTCCAAGTTTTTTTTTGTGGGCATTTCTTGAAGCCATGAAGTCCATTGCTGTGACATTGTCTGGGAGACAGGCTCATCCCAAGACATTTTTCTCCTGCACATTTCCTGCAGCAATAACTTTGGTAACAAAGTGAATGGTGCCAGGAAACCCAGTGGATCATAAATGGAACTGACCATTGAGAGAATGCCACGTCTGGTGTGAGGTCTTTCTTCCATCACTAGTTGAAAGATAAAAGTGTCACTCTCTGCACACCAGCTTAGGCCAAGAGCCTTTTCTACAGGCAGACTATCCCGTTCCAGATGTAGTTGTCTTGTTGAACTGGAACGTGTCTGTTCAGGAATGGACGATAGCACAGCACGACTTGTGCTTGTCCACTTTGAAAGCTCAAATCCTCCTTTAGAACACAATTCAGTAAGATCTTCTGCCAGCATTACTGCAGTTTCTTCCATGGCAACAGATTTTAGACAATCATCCACATAAAAGTCATTATAGACAGTGTCAGTCACTTCTTTATGATAACATTCAATGCTGTCCGTAGCAGTTTGCCTCAGAGCATAATTGGCGCAATTCACACAATAATGGCTCCTACAGTAACCTTCAAGGGACTTAATCCTAACCAGTAGTGGTCAAACATCAACCTCATGGTGGTGCTAAAGTAAGTTTTAGGGGAAAATGATAAAGGATTTGTCTTTTTAAATAGTCTTTAATCCATTTATTTTTTTTACCTTTCACTAATATTTAAGCACAATAAACCAGTTTTATCCTCCATTTCCAATAACTCTGCCTTAATGTGTTTTCCTGCATAACTGAAAAACTGTTTCTTTTTAAACACAGAAATGCAAGCAAATCAAGAGCAGGTAAGCACCAAACCGGACCCTGCAAACACCAGCACCATTCATTATCCCAAAGCAATGTTGTGACTTTTTTAAAATGTGTTACAGGGTCAAATGCAACATTCCAGAGCCAGAGACCATCAGAGACATTTTGATCAATTCTGCTAAGCATCTGGGATTACTTCCTTACGAAGTTTGGAAGAAGATGTTAAACACGATCAATTACAGTGGGTGATCAGATGAACGATTACAGGCTTCCTGTGAGGTTTAGATCATCCGTTTACTAAACTTCATGTTTTACAGCGTCTGTCATCCTGGATCCAAACACGGCCCACTCTAACCTGAAGCTGTCCCAAGGTTTGACCAGTGTGCAGTACAGCAGCAAGAAGCCTCTACCTGATAACCCCGAACGCTGCACCAGTCGAATGTGGGTGTTGGGCGCCAACGGTTTCATATCTGGGAAGCACAGCTGGACAGTAGACGTAGGCCAGGGCAAAGACTGGTACATTGGAGTGGCCAGAGAGTCCATCAAACGAAAGAGCGCGGTCTTCCTCAGTCCCACTGAGGGCTTCTGGGTGATTGGCCAGTGCAGCATTGACTCGCTCTGGGCACAGACCTCGCCTCGGACCAGGATCCATGTGAAGCAGAAGCCTGAGAAGATCACCATAGAGCTGGATTTCATAAAAGGAAAGGTCGTCTTCATCAATAGTGAAGATTCCTCAATGATCTACACGTTCAAAGAGAAATTCTCAGAGAGGATTTTCCCCTTCTTTGCTTTGGGGTTGGAGGACAGGCAAAACGCAAGCCCGCTAACAATCTGCCCAAAGTTTCTAAGGGTGGAAATAGAATAAACACACAGCTCTCACACGCTGCTGAAGCATCACACATAAAACAAAGCAGCACTTTGAATACAGAGGAGTATTTCTGCACAAACATTCAAGTTGTTTTATTATCACATTTAGTGAAATTACAGTTAATTTAGTTGCATTAACTCTCCTTGTTCTTTGGCTTCCTTTGTGTTGCCATGTCTTTTAGTTTAGAGTCCAGTTTTCTTTGCAGGTAGGCCTTCTTGTTGGGGTCCAAGGAGTTGTCTTTCTTTCCACTGCCAGCATAGAGAACGCCTTCTTTACTTATTCTCATCCGGGCGTGAGACTTGGCCTTCTCTCCACAGCCATGAACCTAAAAAGAGGTTAATAAACGAATCGTTTTTGTGAACAGATGGAATTCTACACATCTCCATTCAAGTGCTGTAATATTTTCTTGTTGACCCCAAACAGAAAGAGGAATAAGTTGTAGTAAAAGATGGTTTGGTGGGTCTCTTACCTCTGGTATGTGATGACTGAGACAATACTGCCTGTTGCAGAAGATGCAATGCTGTCCAAGCGTTAACACGGAGGCTTTACACTTCACAAAACTACAAACACTGTCCGCCTTCACCACTGTGCTGATCAGAGAGTCAAAGTCATCGTCTGGAGCAGCAGCAGCAGCGATGTCACAAGCTCCAGCTTTAGTTTTGTTCTTTCCTGCAAGGAACATGCTCATTCTGTTAACCTGCTGAAAATAAAGCACTTATAAGATTTGTTTAATGCTCACCTTTGGTCTTTTTTATGGGTCGTCCTTGACCGGCTGGAGGAACATGTTTCTGCTGAGCCTTCTCTTCCCTTCTCTGATGCTCTCTCTTCATTCTCTCCAGGTGTAAACCTTTCAGGTCTAATGAAGGTGGACTGGATGACTCATGTTCCAGACTAAGAACCGTTTCTTCCTCCTGGGTTTCTTCTTGAGCTTGTTGAACCTTCGCTGGCCTGGAGACGGTGATACACCTGTCGTTGCCCTCTCCTTTGCTCTCATGAACTAGAGCCAGCTCCTCTGCGATCTGGTGGACCAGCAGCCGGTCATGGGAGTTGAACGATGAGGGGAACTGTAAATTACTTAGACTGAGGTCCTTCATAAAGTTCTCCACTTGTTGCCTGATTTCAGCAGATCTTTTGTTGTTCTGTTGCTCTCTCAGTTCTGTTGAAGAGTGGGTCTTTGTGTGGTTTTGTGAACCAGCAGTATTGCCCTTAGAGCTGCCATCTGTGCCTTTTTTCTGACTCTCCTTCACTTTGTTTGAAGACTTCTCCTCTCTGACCTTTCGTCTGGCAGATGTGGAGGACGAAGCAGCAGAACAGTTCTTCGTGTCTTTTTGCTCACGAGTGTAATTCTGTGGCACGATATCTCGAAGGTATTCGAACGCGGTCCTCGTTTCGCCAAATTCAGTCATGTGACTTATGAGGGACTTCAGGAAAGCGTGATTCTGAACAGTTTGTGTGTCGCACACAACGGCGATGTGGCGCCGTGCTCGAGTAACAGCAACATTAATCCGTCTGTTCTCCGCTAAAAATCCAACCTCACCTAAAATTCAAGAAAAAGCATTTAGAGAAGAAAAATAAAACAATCAGCAGCTTAGAGACGTGGGCCAGTCAATAGGTTCGACCTTTTCTGTTGGACCGAACCAACGACAGCACCACAGCTTCTTTTTCTCTGCCTTGAAATCCATCCACAGACTTTATCTCCAGCTCTGGGTGTCGTGCTGAAAGTTTCTGACGCAGAAGGTCTACCTTTATAAAGAATAATAAATTAATAAATTAACTCCTTTTTTCTTTGTTTATGCTGAAGTTTTGTGTCTGAATTGCATTTTCAGATCTTTAGTTTAATAATAACCAGAAATAATCCTGACAACAAGCATTTAAAGAAAAACAAAACAACAAATTTATAAAGTCAATAATCATTCATTTGTCTTTGCTTACCTGTAGATTGTACGGAGCGATGACAGCAATATCCTTAGCTTTAACTCCAGCTTCCGTCAAGGCTTTAATGTGCAGTTCAACGATGTCGACCTCACCTGAGGAAGCAGTTATCACACTGATAAATCTCACTCAAGCTCAAGAAAAGCATATTTTATTTTATTTTATGTTAAATGTAAATAAAGACGTTTTAACCTTGGTTGCCTTTAGACTGCTCATCTGCAACCTCCATTTCAGCCAGACCACACCCTGCGGTGTCAATCAGAAGCAGCGGAGTGCAGGTTTCGTCCACACAAGCGACGCCTGGCAGATCTCTGGTGGAGCAGGGACATTTAGAACATTAGTGAGCTTAAGCAGGAATGCCAGTATTAGGCGTTTTCTACGACTTTGTGGATGCTCACTTTAATAAATGCTTCTCCACTGAGCTGTGAGCGGTTAGTCTTCCACTGTACATCTCTCTGGAGGCCCACTCCATGATGGCGCTGTTCATGCGGTACTGAACAGTCAGCATTCGGACTACTGAGTCTCCGTACATCTGGATGAGTCTCTCCATGAGACTCAAAGACAAGCCTTTAGATGCAGCTCTGTTGGCAAAAAATGTAAACAAATAAGCTTTGAATAAAGTATTTAGTTTAAAAAGGGGATTTAAAAAGAAACCAGATATAAGATGAGTTTGCGGTTACGTTTGAGACTTGATGGTTGGCGGTAGCTGCTTGTAGTCTCCAGCCAGGATGCACTTGGGTGCTCTGAGCAGAGCGATCCAGCAGCTGCTCTCCAGAGCCTGAGCACACTCGTCAATCACCACCCAATCAAAATGCTCAGCCGGCAGGAACTTCAGAGGACCGTCATCACAGGCTCCTGCACACACACAAACAAAAGCTCGCTAGTCGCCGCCCTCTTCGCTGCTACAACTGGACCAGATCCAGATCTTCTGGACTGACCAGTGTTGGTTGACAGCACGATGTCGGCGCCCTTCAGGATTTGGGTGATTGCTGTTGCCTCTCTGGTTTTCAGCTCTTTTCTCAGCTCTCCTATCTCACGTTTAAAGTTGACCCGCTCTCCTTTGTCAGGCTTCTTCATACCCATCTTGCAGAGGGAAACAATAAAATGTCACAAACTACTTGAAATAACTCACGAGTAAGATCTTAGGACTAAAAATCAGGATCCTCACAAATGCTTTGTCAATATCTTTACGGATGTCAGTGATGATGTTTGCGTTGTCGCCCTGAGCGAGGACGGCATCCAGCGAGTGTTTCTGGATAGATTCCAGCAGCCGAGCAGGGTGACCGAGTCTCAAGACTTTAGTCTTGCAGCGGGCTAACCTTTCCACTAAATTATCCACTGCAACATTTGAAGGGGCACAGCAGAGAACCTGTCCCATCACAAAATATCAGAAATCAAACGGATTTTGTTTAGAATCATTTGCTGCAGACATCTGCACACACACACACACTTCTTGTTTGTTAAAATAAATAAAACGCTTTGTACCTTTTGGCCTCGTTTAACTGCTTGCAGGATGATCTCCACCACCGTGGTGGTTTTGCCTGTGCCTGGAGGTCCATGAATCACAGCCAGTTCTCTCTGTGAGAGGGCAAAGGATACAGCTTCTCTCTGGGAATCGTCTAAGTTTGAGTTAAAAAACTCAACCTCATCTGATGAAAAACGAAAGTAAACCAGAAAAACACTAAAGAACTTTTTAGAAGCGGTGAAATAAAATATCACACGGTGCAGTTCATGAGGCTTTACTCACGCAGCTGTGAATTAGAGGACGGCTTTGTGTCCCCAAACAGAACGCTTATCAAACTGGCAGCTGGTCCGTTGTTGTATCCATTTAGTGCATTTAAGGCTCTAAAAGTACAAAACAAAGTGTCAAAACATGGTTCAGTGTTCAATCACACACTCATCTATGATCTTTTACTTTACAGATGGTACTTACCGCTTCATTCGCTTGTAGGTGACATCATTGACTAACCTCAAGAGGTTGTACAGAGCATCTCTGTCAAAACTGACACCATCCTTCAGATCATCAAAGGCCACACTTACAGATGCTTGTCCGACCTTCGTTACAATGCCTGTGGCTATCTGTGAGGCTGTTGAACATCCCGAGGTGTCATACAAGCCCACTATATCACCTGGAACAAAACAAGCACACATTAAAGTCAGTGAGACATGGAACTGAAGCCCCGCTAACGTTGATGTTAACTCCTCCATCTCACCTGGCCCAAAACTGTTGCTCGGAAGAGACGAGAAACCTAGATGCTTTCTTGGCTCTAAAACAACGACCGTGCGACCGTACAGGCCTGTGGACTGACTGCCAACCTGCAGCTTCAGAAGGCAAACGCCTTTGTTTTGAAGATCCTTCAAGGAAACGTTTTCCTGCCATATTCTGAAGGCAAAATGAGTCATTTAGAGATACAGCTAGGAGTAAAAGTAATTACTTTTGTTGCATACTATGGGTAAATAGAAGGTTAAGATGAATAACTCATCTTCTTTACACATATTGGTATTATACAGTGGGGCAAAAAAGTATTTAGTCAGCCACCGATTGTGCAAGTTCTCCCACTTAAAATGATGACAGAGGTCAGTTATTTACATCATAGGTACACTTCAACTGTGAGAGACAGAATGTGAAAAAAAAATCCATGAATTCACATGGCAGGATTTTTAAAGAATTTATTTGTAAATCAGGGTGGAAAATAAGTATTTGGTCACTTCAAACAAGGAAAATCTCTGGCTCTCACAGACCTGTAACGTCTTCTTTAAGAAGCTTTTCTGTCCTCCACTCGTTACCTGTATTAATGGCACCTGTTTGAACTCATTATCTGTATAAAAGACACCTGTCCACAGCCTCAAACAGTCAGACTCCAAACTCCACTATGGCCAAGACCAAAGAGCTTTCGAAGGACACCAGGAAAAGAATTGTAGACCTGCACCAGACTGGGAAGAGTGAATCTACAATAGGCAAGCAGCTTGGTGTGAAAAAAATCAACTGTGGGAGCAATTATCAGAAAATGGAAGACATACAAGACCACTGATAATCTCCCTCGATCTGGGGCTCCACGCAAGATCTCATCCCGTGGGGTCAAAATGATCATGAGAACGGTGAGCAAGAATCCCAGAACCACACGGGGGGACCTGGTGAATGACCTGCAGAGAGCTGGGACCACAGTAACAAAGGTCACCATCAGTAACACACTACAACGACAGGGAATCAAATCCTGCAGTGCCAGACGTGTTCCGCTGCTGAAGCCAGTGCATGTCCAGGCCCGTCTGAAGTTTGCCAGAGAGCACATGGATGATACAGCAGAGGATTGAGAGAATGTCATGTGGTCAGATGAAACCAAAGTAGAACTTTTTGGTATAAACTCAACTCGTCGTGTTTGGAGGAAGAAGAATACTGAGTTGCATCCCAAGAACACCATACCTACTGTGAAGCATGGGGGTGGGAACACTTTGGGGCTGTTTTTCTGCTAAGGGGACAGGACGACTGATCCGTGTTAAGGCCAGAATGAATGGGGCCATGTATCGTGAGATTCTGAGCCAAAACCTCCTTCCATCAGAGAGAGCTTTGAAGATGAAACGTGGCTGGGTCTTCCAACACGACAATGATCCCAAACACACCGCCCAGGCAACAAAGGAGTGGCTCCGTAAGAAGCATTTGAAAGTCCTGGAGTGGCCTAGCCAGTCTCCAGACCTCAACCCCATAGAAAATCTGTGGAGGGAGTTGAAAGTCCGTGTTGCTCGGCGACAGCCCCAAAACATCACTGCTCTCGAAGATCTGCATGGAGGAATGGGCCAAAATACCAGCTACTGTGTGTGCAAACCTGGTAAAAGACCTATTGTAATCGTTTGACCTCTGTTATTGCCAACAAAGGTTATGTTACAAAGTATTGAGTTGAATTTTTGTTATTGACCAAATATTTAATTTCCACCCTGATTTAAAAATAAATTCTTTAAAAATCCTGCTATGTGAATTCATGGATTTTTTTCACATTCTGTCTCACAGTTGAAGTGTACCTATGATGAAAATTACTGACCGCTGTCATTTTAAGTGGGAGAACTTGCACAATTGGTGGCTGACTAAATACTTTTTTGCCCCACTGTAGCTATGATTTTATTTATATACCCCAAAAATATTAAAAGAAGAAAAACTTTCTAGAGAAACAGATTTTCTTTGGTTTTCAAAATCTAAACACACAAGCTACAAAGAGGCAGAACTCTGAACATGTGGGGCTGCTTGACCACTGTGGGCTGCTGCAGAGATGAAATCCACAAGAAGGTGGAGGAGAGGGGAAAGGAGTACATTGATGAGCTCTCTGGAGAAACATGATGTTTCTAGAGCATATCCTACCTGGTTTCATCTATTTCTGCCTCTCGCTCTTCCTGCAGAAGCTCAAGAGTCTGGGACACAAATTTTTCCAGTGCCATCAGTGGGCTGGTTTATACACCTATAAATAAAACCAGATCATAAGGTGCAGAAAGGTCAGATTATACTGTGTTATGGAGTTTAACACACACACACACACTATGATATTTGATTATGCATGACCATTCTCACACAACCATAACTACTATATAATGTAAATATTGGTTTCAAGGATAAGTGGGTTTTGGGTTATTTCATTTTTACACAAAAACTTGTTTGAAGTTTGGACATGACATAAGCGTGCAGCTGCAAACGTTTATACAGTAAACGGTCAAATGAATGATGGTTTTATGTTGTCACGTTCTCACGTTTCAACACTCGTTCAGAAGCTAAGCTATGCTAAACACTTACAGAGTAGTCTTTGATGAACCAACATGACAATATGATGAAAACAGAAGTTAAATATACCACTAGTGAGTTGCTTTCATGTGCTTGTCTTGTTGACTTCCTCCTTCTCTGAATCAGCCATTCTTCTTCTTCTTCTCCCGTTTTTTTCTCTTCTTCTTCTTCTTGTATTCTTGGCGGTTGGCAAACAACTTAATGACGCATTACTACCACCAGCAGGTAAAGAGTATTAACCAGGGTATATTCTTATATGTCTATGATCAGGATACTAACATCTCCAGAAGAGAAAAAGAAAACTTATTAATACAAAATGAGTAAATAAATTAACACAGTTTCATTAATATCACTGCCCCCCATCGGCCGGGATAATTTAGCCCCACACAACCTTTATTTTGAAAAATCTCAAACTCGGAAGTTGTGCAGCTTTGTGTGACGCATTTCTAACACGTTGAGCTAAGTTTTCTATTCTGACAGCCACGTTTTCCTCCCGTTTGATTGAATTTTGTTAAACATGATTGCAGAATGAATTTAGCCCGAGCCGAACGTGACCGACCTGCCGCGTTAGTGTAAATCTGAACAGTATATGCTGGTTTTTAAGCTGCCACATCTCTCCCTCGGACCGGAAGGAAGGAAGGAAACACTGTCACTGCAACCCTGAAGACATCACATTTTAGTTCACCTGCTCATTTTCTCTGGCTTTGTTGAAAAATGAGGACCGTGTTATTGCTGCTGCTGCATGTGCTAATGTCCTGGTGGCTGCTGGTCAGTGCCACTCTCTCTAAATCAGATCCAAAGAAGTCGCATAAAGCTGAGTCTGCGGTGAGTGACAGCTGATCTGTAATCAGTTTGACCTGAAGGGTCCCTAAAAGCACCATGGCTCTGGAGTCATGTTTATTTACCTGTGCCTTTCTGTGTTTAGACGTCTCTAGCTGAATTGTCTGTGCTGGAAAGAGGCCTTGTTGTGTCAGATCTGCACTGGAAGGACATAGTGAAGGAGGAGAAGAGATACTGTTCCCACATCAAGAAGACGTTTCAAGGTCCTGTGCTTGGATATGTAACACCTGTGAGTTTCACATTCAGTCATTAATGCACCAAGCTCCATTTTTAAACGTGTGTGTGTCAACTTCTAATCAACTTTACAATCTATAAACGTTTCACTTGTAATAAGTATTTTTTCTATTGTAAAACAAAGCTCAAATACTTCCTACATTCATAATAAAGGTCAACTTTTCCATATAGTAACTGATCTTTAACTTATACAAACAAATTTTATTTTTTCATGTTGCAGTGGAATTCCCACGGCTACGACGTGGCTAAGATGTTTGGCTCCAAACTAACGTCAGTGTCTCCAGTGTGGCTTCAGCTCCGTCGACGAGCACCTGAAACATTTGATGTTACAGGACTCCATGACCACGACTCCAGTAGCTATTTCACTGACGAGCAGATCGGATGTTGTTTTAATGTTTTGCATGAATTAAACTCCTTTGGTCTTTTGTAGGTTGGGTGAAAGCTGTACGCAAGTCAAACAAGAAGGTTAGGATGGGTGAGTAAGTAGTCACGGCTCGGGGTGATCTGCTAAACTTGATCACCGATGATGTTTTGTGTCGTCCCCAGTGCCTCGGCTCTTGTTTGATGGCTGGTCCTACCATGACTATATGAGCGTACTGGGGAGTGAAGATGAAATTGAGGAGCTGGGAAGTGAGCTGGTGGATGTTGCAAAGGTCATTATGTTTTCTCTTTAACTCTGTTGAAACATTCTGGTGTTTGCTCATCTATCTGTGGCTTTTCAGACAGAAGGGTTTGATGGATTCACCTTGGAGCTTTGGAGCCAGCTTGGAGGAAACAAAAGAGAGTGAGTTCTTCTATTGAGACCAAAAAAAAGATTATTTTTGGTCTGAAATGAATCAAACATCTTGTTTCTACACACAGAGAGCTGGTGCATTTGGTGAAACACATATGCGAGGCTTTGAAATCTAAAAAGCTGGACTGCATTCTTGTTATTCCACCAGCTGTGACAAAGTAAATTATTTCACCTTTAGCATCTTTATTATGAGCCAAAATATGACTAATATATGTTAATGATTATTATCATGTGTACTCATCAGTACCGGTCAGCCGGGGATGTTTGGCAGAGAGGAGTTTGAAGAACTGGCCCCTGTCGTAGATGGATTCAGCCTCATGACTTACGACTATTCCAGTGGTCCCAAGTTAGTGCAAAGAGGAGAATTATTTGTTTTAAGTGGATTCAGGAACTCTGACAACCTTTTTTTTTTGTTTGAGCAGCCCAGGGCCGAGTGCTCCCCTGCCCTGGGTCAGAGAATGTGTTCTTCAGCTTTCTCCCAACACCCAATGGAGGCAAAAGATCCTGCTTGGACTTAATTTGTACGGTCTTGATTTCTCAAGTCATGGAGCCGAGCCCGTCCTGGGTGGAAGGTAAAATAGTTTTCGTTTATTTTCCTCATTAGGGTGTAAATGATACTGCAGATGAAAATCTGAGGCTTTAGACTCCTGACTGATCTGCGCCAACACTTCCGTTTGTAGACGCTTTGAGGGAATCGTTCGTTTGTTGCGTATTATTTGTTGTTGTTTGCCTACAGAACTGCATAGCTGCACATTCAGAGACCATTATTATGCAATAAAGCAGCAAATATGTGAGGGATGATAGAACTCTAAAGGAAGTTTAAAATACAGAAACCGTTTATTTTTAGTTCCTGTCAGCACACGGTGCTAGTTATCTTCAGCCAAACGCACTCAGTTCATCCAAGTGTTACAATTCTAAAGTTTCAAACACGAGAGATGAGCAGATTATAGAAATCTTTTAATTAAAACCTTTTTAAAAGTCTGTAAACTTTCAATTCAAAATAATTTTGATAGAATAAAAGAGAAACCTTGTAGAAAACCAAGAATAAGCAAAGATTAGTAACTGTGAAATGGTCTCAGATGTAATAAAACGCCCTCCGCTGTGGTTTCCTGTAGGTATGTGGACATTTTGCGGGAGCACAGGCCAAAACTTCTCTGGGATGAATATTCTACAGAACATTACTTCAGCTACAAAAGGTACAAACTTTGTAAAATACTTCAAAGGAAAAAGGAAACCAAGGCTCTTGTTTCAGAATTTTCTCACAAAACAAAAATCTTTTCCCTTTCCTTCATATTAGAAATAACGCAGTCAAGCATGTGGTGTACTATCCATCACTGAAGGTAAAGCAATTGTTTTTCCTTTCATATCCAATAGCAGTGTTATTCTAAAGATTTTTATTTTAATGTTTTTATTTTTACAGTCAATCTACCAGAGGGTCTCCTTGGCCTCTGAACTGGGAACAGGGATTTCGTTATGGGAACTGGGACAAGGACTGGACTATTTCTATGATCTCCTATAAAAGCGGGACTTCCTGGTACGGATTGTAAAAACAGCTAATGGATTTGTCTTAATAATCAGAGTTAATTCCCACTTTTGAACTCAAACATTTGGTTAATATTTAACTTTGTTTTGAGCATAATGAAGGTGTTGAGAAGATGGCTCTTAAAAGGTACTTAAAGCATACACGGGTACTTCAGTGGGTGTGTGTGTGTGTGTGGGGGGGGGTGGGGGGGGGTGGCTTAGTTTTAATGCTGTTGTTGTGATTTGAACAGTTGGAAGTGTAATTGCACATCTGCATTCATATATAATAAAAAGACGTTTTTTGTGTGTCTGGTGGAAAGCCAGTACAAGATGTCATCTCTGCTCTACTGATTGTTTTACCTTTTTTTTAAGTGTTGCAGAACATTTCACTGAGCATCTTCCATAGTTTGTTCTGGAGAAATGTTTAATGACATGGGTTTGATCACGGGATACATTTATTTGGCATTACAAAGCAGGATTAGATTATTCACAGCAAGAGATGTCGACTGCATATTCTGCCCAGTTATTAGGTGTCGGTCGATAACTACGTGGACAGCATCTTCTTGACTTGCTGAGAAGCAGAGATAATAAATGTTAGATGATTTGGGCAACAGTTATACATTCTTACGCGTCATGCACTGCAGGTTACCTCACCTGTATAAGATCCGCCGCTGTCTTTAACAAAATCTTCAACAATGAGAGGCAGGTTTGCAAAGTCAGGTGTTCGTACCAGTTCAAACACTGATGGCTTTGGAGAGAAATAGTTATGGAGTTCAGTAACGTATGCAAAAATGTCTAGAGATAATCTTTATGCTTTCTGTGATTTAACACTCACGCCTGTTAAGCTGTAGCCACTAAAAATCCACCTCTGCCCCTCTGTGGCACAGCATAGTGCTGCCACTCCCTGTCCCACAGCACACACTGGCTCTGCACAACAAGAAGGGTAATAAATGTGGTCATTATTCATGTTTTTACAAAACATATAAATGTGTCTTAAACTCACTTTGCTGAGAGATGAACTGTGTGAGAATGCGGTGCAGGGAGCCGCTGTGTGCCAGGTCATTCGGCGCCCCAGGGCAGTCTGGGACAAGCAGAGCCTGATACCTGGCACCTTTAAAAGGTCATCAAGATGTTTTGTTTAGTAAAAAAAATAATTACAGCTAGAGCAACAGATAAAATTAAACTAGTTATTCTCACCATCTATAGACTCAAGTTTGGCTGGTGTTGCGTAGGATTTTACATTGAAGTCTTGCACCCATCGAGCTGTGCTTTCGTCAACTCCAACAAAGTCTATCGTCTTCCCCTGTCATTCAAAAACCAAGCAGAAAAAAATGATGCATTGTGCAATTCTGAAAGTTAATGTGGTGACTTAGATCTATTAAAATAATAGACTCAATCTGCATGACCGTTCCCAGATGTCTGTGGCCTATTTAAAAATAATTTTTAACATTTACTCCTGATTTTAAAATGTTTTAAAAATATATCAAATAAAGCAAAATGACTTGAATCAGGACATTCATCTAAATTCTGTTGACGATAAATAGAAATATTGAGAAACGTTTTCTAAAGAAAACTGCTTTTCAGTAAATGTTGGACTTGAATAAATAAATAAAAGGAAGTTTTTTAAAACTTGTCTGAAAATATATATTTTTAAATAAATTTGATAATTATTTTAAATGGCAGAGATGATGTAAATTTATTATACAGGATATTTGATGAGGACCACAAAATGTGTCCAACATTTATGCATTTGTCCTTTAAATTATGAAAGATGGAAAGTCCTAAATATGTTTCGTGCTGACGTCATAGTTATTTTTTTTTATAATTAAAAACTAATCTCTTACCGCAGGTGTGGCGACTTGTAGGTTAAACGAAGTGCTGCAAAGACTGAAGCATTGAAGAAAAGATTTGGCTGAAACTCCTGTGTAAACGTAAACAAAAATACACATCCGGTAGCATCAAGCTAACATGCTACAGTTTGACCACACAGCTGTCCTAACACAGGCACATTAGAAACAGTCCAACCTAAACAACATATCATTATCAAAGCTACTTAGACTCACCTTGAGAAGAGGCACTCGCTACTATTAAACAAGTTGGTTTCGCCGACATTTCATTAATTTTCTGGTCTTAAAATGAACGAGAAAACACCGCTAGAAGGAGGTCCAGTCAGCTGACAACAACATCCGTTTTAATAATTTCACAATAAAAGTTCATAATTAAAGCAAACATTCATTTATTTTCATTTCGTCATTTTACTATTTTACTGATACTAAACGTACTACTAGTTTTAAAGATTACTCGTAGTAAATACTTTGTAGTTAGATAAAACATCCACAGTATTTTCATGTTATATTTGAGTGAAAATTTCTTTATTATAAAATGAAATAAGTGGAATTTTAAATGAAGAAAAAAACAGTGCTGCCCAGCAGCAATATGGCCTCTATAGTTGTTGAGTGTTGAAGCTTTAGTGTCATAGTTTGGACATAACTTGTACATCACAAATGTGGATAAAAGTTGGGTTTTACAACTTTCAAGCACACATTTCACAATATAGAATGTAATGTGATGTTATTGTTTCCCCAAAATCAGTATGGATCTTTTTTCAGGTTTCGATAAAGGCAGCAAGTAAACATCATCCCCACGAGCTGAAAGAAGATAAAAGATTTTTTGTTAGGTCCTTGTGTGCATTAAAACTAATCTTCATATTATTTTGTATTTTTACCTGCAGAAATGCAATCCCAACACCCACTGCCCCAAGAATATATAACTGACTCTGGATGAAGTCTTCTAATTTTGTGATGCATCCTCCCTGATGTGCGCAGAAAAGGGGACAAAATTAAAACTGTATTGCAACAGAATCCTCAGCAATTCAAAGCAGTAACTATCTTCTCCTACCTCCACCCTGTAGATGTTGGATGGATGGTTCCTGCTGCCACAGAGCTCACTGGGAGTTTTACAGCAGCTATCAGGAACAAGCCGACTATTCTTAGCTTCTTGGATCCACAGACTGTCTGTCCAGTCTGAATAGTTGTGACTCCCACAGCACTTAAACTTGAACAAACCAAAGAATAGGCAATATGAGAAATCTGAGTGTAAAATATTGGTTTAGTCATAACCTCTGACTTGCTTTAGCCCAATAAACAAACATCTCCTCACTTCCTGTTGCAGCTTGTCAACAGCCTGTGTGATGCTCTCCTCTCCTGGCTGTTGGTATTTCTGCTGCATAGTTTCCTTTAGGTTCTGTCTGAGCTCCTCATCAAGCTATGAGACAAGAGAAGCACTTTAGTGTAGGAAGAAAACAAATCAGACACTAACATCTACCCACGTCAATAAAAATAGCCTCTGGTCAAGTTTCCTTCCTCCCCTGTAACATTCCTGTCTACCTGAGCAATGAACTGAAAATATAAAGGTCACGGTTACTCTGATCTCAGCCTCTGGCTCACCAGGGTGGTTCAGTTGCTTGAATCACAAAGTGGATAAAAAAGCAAACCAATGAATATAAAACCGATGCAGAAACAGAAATAGAAACATGTGGTAGGAGATTACCTGGTAGCAGAAAGGGAAACACTGGAGCAAGGACAAAGGGAGGAGAAAAAGAGGTGTGAGAAGAATGGAAGAAGGGATAAATGAAGAACATGCACAGAGAGGCATGCAGAGAAAATCTGCCAACTCTGACGTTGAAGAACGTTAGAAAATAAATGATGGAATGTAAGGAATGGGGTTTGAAATCACAAGACGTTGAATGATTCATATTTAATTTTTAAGTTGCAGTGTTTATATTTAAAAATACCAAAAATATCATGAATTACATTTGATTGAAATAATGTGTTTTTAAATCCGTATGTATAAAACAAGAGACAAGGCTCCTCACCCCTTGGTAGTTAATGTAAGCCAGAACCCCGGCAACGATTTCCAGCAGGAAGACACACAGCAACAAAAACAAATACTGCCAGAAAAAGAAATGAAATTTGATAAAACACAAGTTAAGAAAAACATAGATTCAGTCATCTTTAGCTCAGTGTTTTCATGTATTTTCAGCTAAAACATGAATTAGAGCCTAAAAGTAAAATCAGCACTGAGTGTGTGCATACATGCACACGAAAGACTTCTGTGCCCCCCCCCCTCACACACACACACACACACACACACACACACACACACACACACACACACACACACACACACACACACACACACACACACACACACACACACACACACACACACACACACACACACACACACATGGGTCTGAGCAGCCGCATGTGATGCCCTTCATTCCTCAAGCATGAGCCGCACTCTAAATCTAAACTCTTAAAGACACACACCGCACGACTTTATCTGTTATATCTGACTGGCATTCCTGTCATATTGACTGTGTGTGTGTGTGTGTCTGTTTCTGTGTGAATGCTGTTAAACATGTTTCATTGAGGCAGAGCTACAAATACAGCAGCAAGTTTTTTTTTTTTTGCGTACCATGACCAAAAGGCTTCTCATCTCCTTCAAAGTGGCACAGCATCCGATTATCCCAGTCACAATCACGATGACTCCCGCAGATATTAGAATGTAGGCGGAGGCGGAGTAGAAGCTGGAGTTTAATAAACTGATGTAGTCGCTCTTTTCCACCAGAGTCCACACTCCCACTGCCAGCACAGCTCCTCCTGCCAGCTGATAAAACACACCACCATCAGCACAATTCAAACCAGATGCTCACATCACGAATGCACCAGAATATTCTGAGCAGTTGCAACATTACTCCTAAAACATGATCACAAAGTAAACAAGACAACAGTCTTCATAAAAATACTAATATACATATAACTACTGCAACTAAACTCTGACTGTGATTGTTTGTAACACAATCCTTGTCATTTTTATCAGGAAATTAAACAAAACTTGATCTTATGCAAGTTATTATCACATGTTTAACTGTTTATGATTACCTTTTATGTTGTTTTGTATTTAGTAATTTTACCTTTTTTTGTTAAACTTACCCAGAAAAATATGTTGAAGAGGAAAAGTAGATATTTCAGACAAATGATCCCACATGTGTTTGTTTTTCTACCGTGAGTTTCCATTCTGGAAAGCAAAACAATATTTTAACAATCTAAAACAGTTACAGACACAGATATTATGGATAAAGGGTTTTAATTGTGGTAAAGTAAAGAGAGGGAACACACTGAGGTCAAAATCCAGGTCACATCTCCCAACGCTCCTGCTTCTAACAGATTACTTTATCACCATGTAAAGTTACAACCTTACATATGAGCATCGTATCAGATTTAAAAATAGGTTTTTGTGGTTTTGTAATTTCCTCTTTCAGTCTAAATCTGTTTCACATTGGGTGCGAATACGTGTCTTCTTTGCTGTCCTCTTCAACTGCACAGCAGAGTGAAAATCCCAAATGTGTTTTAATTTCAAACTGGAATGAAGCTGATGTAACGGTGTGACGGAAAGCGCTCACAGATGAAATCAAATATGTTGTGGGGAAAACAGACTTAACGACTCGTGTCACGTGTCACCAAGCAGACAGATGTATGTTGCCCATCTCAGTGACAGATCCTTTCACTCTTTAGTGAAACTTTTATATACTTTAGCATGCTTTTAATTTGAAAAATGTACAAATAGGAGAAAATTGGAGGTCTGGGCTTTAAATATTCCTCCTAATAATTTATTTCTTGACTAAATTAAAAAAATTAAACAAAGAGGAAAAGAAGCAGACATTTAACAATAAACATTTAAGTTTAAAACAAATCTTATTTGACTAAATATGCAAATGTTACTGAAAAACAACCTTAATGCTTCTATTGAGAGTTAATAATAACCCTTTGTTTCATTGAAATCACTGCTCTCCCTTTTTTTTATGTGACCAAAGTACTCCCACCTGATCTTGGATGATGGAGCTCAGTTATCAGTAGATCCCGCCGTCTCTCCGCTGCTGTTGTTGAACTGAACAGAGTCAGGCTTTCAGCTGACATTCAGAGCCGAGAGCCTCCCACACAAGCGTCTAAATGTCTGTCCTCTTTTGGTCCAGCTCGCCCCCACCATCATCTACAGAGAACGTGTCTGCCCCCATCTGGCTTCACATTAACACTGGTTCTACCAGCACCAAAACAGTGCAGGAGATGTTTAAAAAGAGCCACAACAAATAGAGAGGAGTTAGTAAAAATATTCCATTTTATTTGAAAGAAATGAACTAAAAAGATGGTTTGGGAGGAACACATCTCTCCAATAATCTAATGTATGCTCGACGCTTTACTTAAAGAGCAACAGTTTCTCTCGGTGGTGTCCTCAGTCAACAAGAAAGCATCTTGGCACTGTTGATCATGCTTGGTGACCAGCATCCTAAAAAATAAAGAAAATACGTTTTATGAATCAGTCTCAGAAATAAATGATAATCTGAAATATTTTAGAAATGAAAGAAAATGATTCAACATCCCAGTTTTTCATTGTTAATTAGTGAAAATGTGACACATTGGTAAATTATTTTCTAAAATAATGAATTGGTCAATCAGGAGCAATTAAGATGATTAATTATTGATTTACGCCAGTTTTCCTGCCAACCATTAGTTGTTCTAGTGCTGTTTTTGTTTTTGATTTTCAATATAAATTTACTCAGACAGTTAAAGTGTTTAATGAAATGCTTTAAGGCCAACACCCGCGCTTTATTAGTGTGACAGAGTCATTCATACCCAGCAAGGTGAAGCATCAACTCTTCTATATTGTCTCCCGTTTTTGCGCTGCACTCATAAAATAAAGCCTGGAACTGCTGTGGACGCCACAAAGACAGAGGAAAGGAACATTTTTCATTCATTTATATTAGAATGTGTTATTTTCCACAGCAGTGGCTTTCTGTGAATCACTTCAGAACGTGGTTTGAATATTCAAATCCACCTCACCCCTGCTAGACTCTGACCCTCTGCTGTGGTCACGTCTCTGCTGTGATTGTCTGCTGAGTCCAGCTTATTTCCAGCCAGCACCAGTATAGTCCCTTCCCTCATCTTCTCCTGGGACACGGACACACACACACACACACACACACACACACACACACACACACACACACACACACACACACACACACACACACACACACACACACACACACACACACACACACACACACACACACACACACACACACACACACATTTCCAAACAATTATATCATCCAACTTTAAAATCACATGTAAATGAACACACGGTGCTATCATTTTCATTATAAAACTAGACTGATGTTTCAGATTTTTCTGAAACTTCCTGTCTGTGCATTCAAATGACAGTTTTGCATGTTTACTAGTTTACCCTGACTGAGTCCATCCATCCTCTCACTGCAGTAAAGGAGGCAGCCTGAGTTACGTCATACATGGCAAGGATACCATCAGCTTTTCTGTAGTATTGTTCTGTGATGCTCCGATACCTGACCGAAACAAAACAAGCATCAAAGATTGTTTTAAAAAAATAATCTGGTTAAATTATTGAGCTTAAAGTCAAGTATTGACTTCTCCTGTCCCGCAGTGTCCCATAGCTGCATGGTGACAGTGATGGAGTTCAGAATTACACTCTTCATTTGAAAATCTACTCCTAAAAAGAAAAGGAAAGGAAATACAATAATGTTACTTTTCACTTTGTATCGTACCCCCAATAATGGAAAAAAACAATAAAAGATCCTAAGTTTTAAATCAAAGCTTTGTTGTGGATTTTATTTACATTCATGCAGTGATGGATTATATGCAACCTGATATTGCACAAATATTCACAAATCTTTATACATTTTGACTCAAGTCTTTCCCAGGAATATTTATAACTTTTGCTCAGCAGTTCTGGATTTCCTGGATGCATGAAGGGGGAAAAAATTGTGACAAGGAGTAAAAACTGGCTAATTTCCTCAGATCAAGGAAGGTCAAATTTTCTAATTACTTCTCCAAGTTACAGTATAACTGATCAGATGTGCTTAGGGACATTTAAGAGATATTTAGGCCATTTTTACGTGTGTTTCCCAGTAAAAGTTGTAATCATTATGTTTAGCTTCCTGAATGGCCTCAGTTCAGAGAAATAGCATTTATCACTGTGCCACTGTGTTTCTACTTTATGAATTCAGAGGAATTCTGGGAGAGGGGAAGGTAATGGGGAAAATATGGTGGCTCAGTCCTCTCGGCCACTGTGTTAACATACAAAATCATGTATATCATCATTTCAGGACTTTGCAATGATGTCAGCACCTTGCTAACATTTTGGCAGTGAGTGATGTCATCGATCAGTGCCAAAAGGTGTTCATGGACATTGTTATTCTGTAAGAGAATGGGGAGGACAGTTGTGTGACGGAGGGTTCAGAAGAAGCTATGTAGTGTACGATGACCTGTAGCAGACAACAAAGCAGCCAAAATTGTTGGGGGGGGGGGGGGGGGGGGGCAGCAATGATGGAGGGTGTCTCAGACAAAATTTTCAGCGTTGGGTTTAAAAACGACGATTCCACTTCACCAGCAACTCTTCCAATTTTACAAATAAGAGTTGTTTGGTGACATCTGCTGATGTCTGAACTACAAGTCCCACCCAGCGTCTCTACCGGGCCATTCCCGAGTACATACCTCGGTTCAGGTACTCAGCTGGTCCCTGAAATAACTCTGAAATAGTCTTTTTGGGCCGGCCCGTTGAAATGAAGACATGTGGATAACACAAAGGTTTGACTGGACTGTATCTCTGAGGATTGATGATGCTTTCATCTGTTTATCAGTTTGAACCAAATGTTCTTGAACCAGAACTGGTTTATTCAGATAGAGATAGGTTCTAATCACTCTCAGTCCAGTGGAGATGTCCTTCATCTCCCTTTGAACCTTTAGTGAGAGTGGTTCTCGGGAAACTTGGAGCTGTTCTTGACCTGGGGCTAGATGTTCCTTAAAGTGAGCTGTCAGTTCATGGAGAATCTGTCACCCAGGTTAGAAACCGATCCAGAGCAGGGAACGTGAGCCCAGGCATCCCAGTGGGGCTCGGGTCAGAATGTAAACGGGTAATCTGATGCCATTGAAAGTCTTCTGTGCTGACACTGATGATATTTTGACCCTTTTTTCTTTGTAAATGTACCTTTTTTTCTCAAAATAACAAATCATATTTTTTTATTTTATTATTTTTATTCCTATTTTTTAATAACGTTTGAAAATCTGTCATTGAAACAAATTTTTAAAAATACACGTCATGTTGAAGAAGCGTTAGGAACCAGAACATGATCCAGACTCATTTTCTGCAGTTCAATCACAAAAGATAATGCATCTCTAAAATAAAAGGTTTAAGAGCAGAAAATGTGATCACGTTGAACTTTGTTCTGATTTGCTCTATTAAAGACAGCTGCCTGGTTACTGCTGCATGTTAATAAAATTAGATCTACAGCAAAACTTTTAAGTTTTTTGTTGTCTTTAGACTTATTATACAGTAACTTTCAGATTTTTGCATCTGGACTCAAGTGAATGGACTGATGACGATGTCAACACTTGCATTTCAATGACAATTAAAAGCTTACCCACAGTAGAGATCATTTTACTGTGGAAGTGTCCTGTGCAGCAGCGCTGGATGAAGGAGCTCTTACCTACCCCTGAGTTACCCAGAAATACCACCTTAAACACTCGATGAGGTCTAACATATTTGCTCTAAAATTAAGATAAAAAGGACCAAATTTAAAAATTTGCTTTAATATCTCAATGTTGTTAAAGTCTGTAATACTGATCATAAATAATATTTATTCCCACCTGTGTGTTCATCTGATCAACACTTTCATCCGTCCATGATGGGTGGAGTGTCTTGGATGGATCTGTAACCTCTTTCATTTTGGTCTGCTCAAACTCATCAGCAGAACTCGGCTGTCTTTAGAAGTGATGCATGAAAAAATGTGTTATCTTTTGTGCCCAACTGGGTCATTATTGAGAAAAATAAATGTATAAATGAATTGTACAAACCTTTGCTCTGGCTTGTCCTGCAGTAAGTAGCTACCTATGATTGAGCCTTTCTTCTGCAAAGACTTTGACACATCTGGACTCTAAAAGGTTTCGTGGGAAGTGGGAAAAAGAAATGAGCAGCATTAAGGTTTAATCTGGAAATAGTTTTCAGTAGAAGCTGCACTATGGTAGGAAACTAAAGCAGTTTCATTTGTAATTTTTCTTTTCCTCCTTTACACATTAAAAAAGCAGTCCGAGTTCAAATGTAAGGTTTATTCTGCTGCAGAGGAGCTCAGCATTGAAATGATCATGTACACTTATTTGTTTAAGCCTTCCAAGATGAAAAAAAAAGACAAGAATGCATGTTGGTAAATACGTATTTTCTAAGTAACATGGTGCAAAATCATGAGTGTACATATTTACAGAGAACATCTTTAGCAAAAATAGCTTATTTATTTTCTTCATTGAAAATAGATCCATGGAAATCCTGCATGGTCCAGTCCAGTTCACCTGACCTGTCTAAATTATTTTCTTTAAACTGAAACAGTACACAATAAATGTCTGTTCAGCACAATTCCAGAGAAATAGAAAAACCACACAGCAAGTTTGCAAATAATTAACCAAATAATGGCAGCTGCCCACATTAATATTTGTCCAGAGGGAGGATGGAGGATAGCAGAGTTCACGTTGGGTAGACCTGCTGTGTCCAGGAGCTACAGGGATCTTCACTGAAGTAAAAATGCAACGGCGAAGGAGAAAGGACAGAGCATCTGTGACTAACCCTCTTTGGAGTTTGCTGAGCATCTCTTTCATCTCGCAGCCTCCTGTTCATATCCCTGTAGCAAAAAGAAACGTTTATTTACAAAAAACATTCTCAGTGAGGCTCACCTTTACAATTTTATGGAGAGAAATGAGAGTCAGAATTGAGTGAAATTACACCAAACGACCAAAAACACGTTTTCCTCTTTCAGGAATTATGTAAGACTTTTTAGAAATCTGCAAAAGTGATGTGCTGTGATACAATGTAGGCAATGCGTCTCGTTTTATTTTAATTTTTTTTTCTAAGCCCGCCCCGTCGAGCTCCATGCATTATGAACTGAGCACTGGTCAGCACTAACCAATAGCTGTAGACTACCGCTAACGTGCAGACATCAGTCACAGAGCGTGTGATTTAAGGACAGAACCCAGCTGCTGCAGAGTTGACGACCTTTTTCGTGGACAAATAAGTATTTAAAATTTAAATATATGAACACACAACATACTGTGGGAGCATAATAATTGTAAAACAATGTGTTTTAGCTCTGTGTTGTTGGCTAGAGAAGCGCGTTCATGAACAAGAAGTGTTGCTTTCGGCCGTAGGGAAGTGGAAACCACGGATTAGTGCGATACATTTTTCAGCCACTAGATGGTGCAGTGAAATAACAATATACTGTTATCTCCTCTAATTTTAAGTGTTTGAATTTATGTAGAACTGCATAAAGACTTTAATTTTTTTAAGAAATGTAGAATATATGTACCAAGGTGGATAAGCGAGGGCCCGGGCGGGATTCGATTCCCAGACTCCCGGGTGAAAGTCATACGCTCTAACCAGTCAGCCAAAGGGACATCCCTTTGGCCAACTAGCCAGGGCGCATGATCTATCAGGACACTGTGACAGGACACTCACACTGCCACATATATATAAATACATTAAATATTTAAGTTCATACCAATATTATCAGGTTTGTAATATTCAGTAAATTCTCAAAAGACGAAGCCATGCATGTGCACTAAAACGAACGTGCTGTCAGCTGTGTTTTTTGGTGATTGGCCTTGCGGCAAAATACATCTTGGTATTTCTCTCAGTAAACGCTAAACTGGTCAACAAAGCAGAAAAAGTTCAAAGCAAAGCTGGTTCTGAATTATGTTTTTCCGCCAGAAGAGGACACCAATGAAATCATACAAGGTAAACATATAAATGAAATTTGAGTCATCATCATAATCCAACTGAGCTAATACAGGTACCAAAATTATATCTGTCTCTAAAGTAAAAAACATTTTTAAAAAGTACAAGTGTAGTCCTTGTAGGTTCAAATGAAGACATTTTGGTCCTCACCTGAGCTTTGTCAGCTCTAACTGGAATGTGCAACGTTTTAAGAGAACTAACATCACATGTAAAACATCTCTTCTCTCCACGTGAGTGTTACTCTGGTCCACTCGTCATGTGCTTCGGTCAGACGCAGGAAGGTGCAAATTAGACCGAAACCGTCGGGGGATTGGGTTCTGGGCTGTATTGTAGGGGCTGGAAAGGTGAAACATGATGCCTGCTTCTCTGTTTAATATCCGTCTTTCTAGTTTGACATGGATGGCGCCCTTTAGTCCTCGCTCAAACCGTCTATCGTCTCTGTCCAACTACCATCCTGGTGTCTCTTGTCCTTGAGTTGTATGGACTGCTTGATCTGGACCTGAGTAGGTGGTTCTCCTGTGTTGTGCCTTGCTCTTGTGTAACTGTTGTTTTGTTTTTCTACAAGAGACAATCCTCACCATACTGGATTGCATATATAACACCACTAAGCTTCTGTTTGGGCGTCTTGTCCTTTGGATGAACCCGTTTCTGTCTGAGAGTGTTATTAGAATTATCGTTCAGCAGGATGTTATTTTTAGAGAACGTTCTGCTCGGATGCTCAGAGACTCCTGCCACGTGTGGGATGACAACACTCCTGCACCTGCTGTCTTTGTCATGGTTTCCTGTGGCGGAGGCTTCTCCAGATGTCTTTGTTGGTTTAGCAAAAAAAAAAAAAAAACTGTTTGGTATCTGCTGATGTGGAGTGCTTCCTTGAATGTTTCTGCTGCTTTTCTTTCTCTTCCATCTTTGTGGGATTCTCAGCCCGATGGTGGAAAGTTCTGATTGACAAAGCTCCTCAGATGATCGAGAACTGTGGCAACAAACCAGACCACAGACTGTGGAAGATGAGATTCTCCAAAGACGCTGGCGATGCACGCCGTTAACGAGCATCACGGGGGAAGAATGAGGGGACAGCGTAAAAACGCATGGCAATGTAACCTGGACATGGAGATGAAGAGGATGGACTACATATGGCGCCAGACAGAGAAGCTGCCCCAGGACCGGTATAGCTAGAGTACGTTTACGTTCCAGGAGGATCTACAGGCTTAGATCCTCAGATGATAAGCTGAATGTCTTCAAGAAACTAAAGACGTCTAATATTTTGCAGGATTGCCCTGACCTGAATGACTGAGAACCTTCACCAGCATGCTTAAACATACCTTAATATCTCCAGTTGCCTTAGGAGACTTTCCTTCTCTTTCTTGATATTCCTTGAAACTTTCATCACATTCCTACAGTAAACCAAAGAGGAAAGACAATGTTAACACATGAGTAATCTCCTCTGGGTAAGGTTTCTAGGATATAGATAATAAACAAAACCCTCACGCACGGTCCCAAACCGTTGTTCCCTCCTACCTCTGTCGGTCCTTCTGTTCCTGAGCAGCACTCGTCTGCAGCACACTGAGTTGATGCAGAGCAGACTTCAGCTGCTCTCTGCTGCCCTCCACCTGCTCCTGTAACTGGATGTTGAGCTTCTGCAGCTGCTGGTTCTGCTCCTTGATGCTCAGCTGCTCACTGCTCAGCTGTCTGATTTTGATCTCAAGCTGAAACCAGAGTTAGACCTCACTGACACAAAACACTTCTCAGGAACAGCTTCACACACACACACCCGGACGCTCACCTCTTTCTGTTTGCTCAGCGAACTCTCCAAGTCCTGCTCCCGCATCCTCAGCTCCTCAGTAAGTCGTTGGCCTCTCTGCTTTTCTCTAAAACTGTCCTTGATGGGAAAACAAATTCAATATTGTACTGATCCCTTTGTCTGAGAGGAACAGCGATGATCTATCTGGTGTCTACCTGTTCCTGGGCCTGCCATTTCTCCCTCTCCTCTCTGATCTGGTTTTCCATTTCATCATATATGGAGCGGATCATCTGGTCATGTTCGCTCTCCCGTCTAAAACAGAACATCAATTTAAATGGTGTACACAGTTCACACATCATCATATAAGTAAGGAGATTTAGCTGACCTGCGAAGAGCTTGCTCCAGATTGTCCCTTTCTCTGATGGTGTCCTGTAGATGGGACACAGCATGGACCAGGACATACTCCAGGGACGTCAGGAGCTCTGGTCTGCCTCTCTGGAGCTCACACCACAGAGAGCAAAGCTCCTGCTGACTGTCTCACAATAGAAAACCAAACATATTATACCAGTTTATTTAGAAATTGCACGGCACCTAACCAAAGTGTTGCACAAAACGAGTCAAAGGCTCAGACACGACAACAGGAACATGGTGTAGAAACTAAGGAATTAGCTAAAACGCATAAAAAGCAGAGCATAAATATACAAGTTAAAGATAGCAGTCAAAGAGAACAAGTAAAAGCACTATGTAAGGAAATTAAAGAGAAAGAACTGTTAAAACCAGCTAAAAACGACACTAATAAAACCAAAAGGGCTAAGAAATATTGCAAAGTCCAACTAACAGAGTAACTGATTCATAATAATCTAATCGAGAAAAGGAATAATAGTGCTAGGATGTGCTGACTGGAGAGACGAGGCCCCTGTCATTTCTGCAATTTTTGCTGAAAACAGCTTAATATGAACCTCGAGCCCTCAGCAGATAAGATTTTCTGACATACTGGAATGACAAAGTTAAGAAATACAATACAAGGAGAAAACCTTGAGTCATCTGCTTCAAAGTGGGCTTGATCAATACTTTGCTAGGCTTTCTGAAGATGTTCCAATGTTTTCTCTGGACTTTGATGGTTTACTTCCTTTCATTTTCTTCTTCTCTTTTGTTTGCTAAGTCACTTAACCCTCCCACTGTCCTAATGGGTGACCCCGCGAGGAAAGTTGACCATTTAGCAGGGTTGATGGTTTATCACTTGGGTCCACGTGGCAGGGGCGAGGAGTGAGCACCACCTCACCCCTGCCACGTGGACCTCAAGGGATAAACCATCAACCCTGCTCAATGGTCAACTTTCCTCGTGGGGTCACACCCATGAAGACAGTGGGAGGATTAAAGGGGCCATATCACGGAAAATCCACTTTTTGGAGCTTTTTTAGCATGTTCTCAAGAAAATAATCTGCAGATCCATTTTTGGCTGCATTTATGCATTTTCCTGTTTCAGCTGCAAACTTAGAATTTTATTTTGAAATTCCAGAAATGACCTAATGTATAACTTATATGTCACTCCATCTTCCTGCTCCCAACATCAGGCCCTGTTCATCCCCCGAAAGCTAGTCTCTGGTCTGAAACTTGTCCCCCATGGCCAGCTAAGGATGTGTGGCTTAGGTGACAAGTGTCATGTAACAAACTTGGTAGCCTAGTGGTAAATGCATTGGGCTGGACACCTTAACCACTGGACTACCAACGCCAATACTGTAACCAACTGGACAAAGACACTGTTTTAGACACATTTTGTTGGAGCGAGCTTGGACGGAGTTTCACTGAAACAAAGCGTTTTATTTCGGGTGTAAATTCAGGCTGACAAAATAACTTGTATTTAAGATAAATAATAATAAAAATAATAATAATGCATTGAACTTATATAGCACTTTTCAAGACCCCCAAAGACGCTTTCACACACGCTCACATTCACACACTGCTAGTGATGGTAAGCTACTTGTAGCCACAGCCGCCCTGGGGAGGTCTGACAGAGGCGAGGCTGCCATTTGGCGCCGTCGGCCCCTCTGACCACCACTAACACAGGCAAGTTGGGTGAAGTGTCTTGCCCAAGGACACAACAGCAGGATACCCCTGGCGGGAGCTGGAATCGAACCCATGACCATGAGGCAACCGGCTCTACCACCTGAGCTACTACTGCCCCAATGACACCTCAGTAGTGCATGATCTGGAACATTTAACTCAATCCGAGGTCCAAAACCTCAATTATCCTACTCACTGGCACTCCTTTGTGTACACACACGTTAGAAGTCTGCACAAGACTCAACACAACAGAAAGGTGGGAACTCATGAGTATTTATGCGACTCTGCGTGTGAGCTAGAAGCACACCATTAAAACACCTTACTCTTTGAAAAGTTTGTCTGCTCCAAGCTCCATCAGAACATTGATCAACCTAACAGCAGTAGGGTCCTGGAACCCCTCCAGTTCCCCTCCATCCTCCTCCACTTCTTCTGGAACCAGCTCAACCGTCTCCTCCAACCCCATCAGCCCACCTGCACCACACAGAGGACAGCACAGAAACCAGAGGACATGTAAATAAAGAACAGAAGATTGTCATCGTTGTTGTTTATTACTATAAACACACCAAGTCCTGTGTTGAACTCTAGGGGAGTGAGGAAGCCATTGTTCTCTCGGTCCAGACTTTCAAACACGGTTTCCAGCTGTTCGGGCGACAGTGGCAGCTCACCATCTAGTCTCTGACCAGAACACAGAAAAGATCAAGTTCAGCACTGTGAAAATTAGCATGCATGTTGCTAACAGAATAGATGCACACCTGCATATCCCGCTTTGTGATGAACCCTTTTCTCTCTTTGTCGCACAGAAGAAAGAGCTCTTTGGCTTTGCCCATGGTCTCAGCCTGTGGGCTTAACGGGACTGCCTCTCTGGGGCGCGGTGAAGCCACCGGACTACGTCTCTGACCCATCCTGGGACTTCCGCTGGGCAGGGCGGGCAGGCTCCGCAGCCTGGGGCTCACTGGTACTGCTTCACCGCTGCCTTGACCCACCAGCACTTCTCCATCATTCAACCACTGAGACATTCCTGTGCAAAAACATGAAATGTTTGATTTATTGTATTTAAAACACAGTCCACTGTCATGAATGCAGTGACGTTTCTTATCACTAGTCTTAAATGCCAGAGTACGTGTGATGAGAAGCCAACTGTAGAGCAACTCCTTTGCCAAACATGAGCTGCAGAACAAACTGAGACACTGCACATGTACTTATTCCAGCTCCAGGTATCTAGTATGAACAGGTCTTTAATTCTTAGATACTACTGATGTGAGGCGTGTCAGAATAGTCACCTTCAAAGATCACATTTTGCAGCCTTCACTGTTTATACAGATTAAGAATAATTAATCATTGAAAGTGCACCAGGATGTGCAAAAGATAAAAACCGGATGGTGTCATATGAGAAGTATTATGTGTCCCTTAAGGGGAGGGCTTATTGCTCTTGGACAGGAGATGCAAATTAAACATTTGCAGTTGTTTGCATCCTCTGGGCTGCAACAATCACAAAACAGATTTTAGCTTTAAGAGAAAACTCCTATCAACGTATCTAAATTAGCATTTTGATTTATGTGACAGGTAAACGCGTCAGAGGGGAGGTCTAACCCGAGAGGTCAATTTTAAATTGTTAAGATAATGGCAAAAGATATATTTATTATGAATCTAATAGGAAAACAATGTGTTATTGAATCTTCACATGCTCCAAAAATAGAAGTCCAGCTGAGAACAACATGAAACATTCCCAGGCCTTCCTCTCCTAACTCCTGCTATCTCTAAAGACATAAACTATATATAAAAAAAAAAAAAAAAAAAACACTGGCTGATAATGGTAGTAAATTACCTAGCTGATGATCTGGGATGCCGTCAAATTTTTAAAACACGGGGTGATATACTACAATGTCAGATAAGACTTATGTACACAATGGGTGTTAAGGATTTTGAGTGTCAGCTCCCAATAAGCCAACAGTCAAAGGTCAAATAAACTCCAATTTACACAGGATATTAAGCAATGTCAGTGTGGAGCATTCAGGGAAAGTGTTAAAGTCACCTACATGCAGCAGGTTAAATAAAAAGTCAGTTAACCATTAAAGAGTCAACAGGTTCTGAATCACTACTTTTAACATATGTTACTCAGAAAAATTGTGACACTTCTGTTAAAACTTCAACATGGCTGGAACGTGAATATGTGCGAATTGTAATTATAGGTGTAGATTATTTTAAAGGCAAACTGGACCTTTTTATCACATTAAAAACAACGTGCACTTTAAAGAGTAGTGGTCAAACAGAGCAAACCAAAAAACAGCAGCATTACATTTTAATTCAAACAAAAGTCCCTCACAAAGGGCAATTTAGGTACTGGTCCGGTATCTAAACGGGGGTAAAAGTGTATTTCTGAGTTAACTTATCTGAATTCCAGCGGAGAGAAGTTTGGGAGAGTTTGATCACTCACCAGTCGCGCACCGACAGCAGTCTTGTACCTTTGATCAGCCTCCTCTCATTTAGTTTCGCTAATACTTCTTTCTACCCATAGGGGGCAAGCGAGGGAGTTTCATTTTTACCGTAATACTTACTGTATCGTGGAAACAGATTTGAAGGATTATCATTTAACGGGCTTTAATTCACTTGTTTTAATAATATTAATTAAATAAATACTATAATAAGCAAAACTAAAATAAAATACACGTAAACTGTATCTATTTTGGCTGTGTTTGAAGTGAAGTCAGAGAAATTGTGAATTTGTCATTACGGTAAAAGTAGCGTTACCATGGAACTACGAAAATGCACGCTTTAGCGCTAAAAATGGCGATGGGCGCTGTAAGGGCTGTAAACAGCTAGCGTTTAGACCGACGTAAACGTAGAAATATTTCAGAAAAAGTTATTTGTGCCTCGGGGGAATTAATTTCCTTTCTGCGTTGTTTTCTGGTGAGTATGACTCGATTTCCCAAGCTTTTGTAAACAATAGTGAGATGTAGCAAGGAGAGTGTTTAGCTTGAATTCAGTACTAAATGTCGAGACAAGCCATTTAAAAGCTCATTATCTGATTTGAAGATGATCGCTAGACTCACACTGAATAACGTGAGATATTTAGAGATGAACAGAAGATGAGACAAAAACAAAACAAGAGATTGTTGTGCCCGTTAGGTCAACTCTATAATCCCAGCATTGACCTGTACATGGCTGCATGTGTAACAGCACGAATACGTTGACCTGACATGGATGGGTTTACTTCTTTAGCTGTCTGAGGCGGAGGATAAATTACATGAACTCCCCGTAACACTGGAGATGGCTACAGAGCTGAGAGATTATGTGCTGCCTCGGAGGTGAACGTTTTAGCTGCGCGTTTGTTCTACATCTTCTGTTTTCTTCTCGCAGGCGACGCTGTCAAGGAGATTTTTACCATCAAGGATGTCAGAATGCAGCGCACACGCACTGTTCTTGTGATCTATTGGACAAACCTCAGTCATCATAAATATTTTTCATCGTGGACAAACAAAAATGATGTTTCTTGACAGGAAAAACCAAAAACTGGAATTCAAGCAGCTTTAAAACCAAATTATGGAAACAACCACCATCAGTGTGCAGTATGTGGATGGATCATTTGTGACTTTCCCCGTGGACTGCCTTTTACACTGAAGAATGTAGGTAGATGAAGGTGACCTAACAGATCTGTGTCACTACCAACCTGTAGTGGTAAGGGAGGACCGAGGAGACTCTCCCTGAAGATGCTCCAAACTGGAAACTACTCCCTGGTGCTGCTGATCCAACTGGTTCTGTTGGCCTATGATCTCTTTGTCAACTCCTTCAGTGAACTTTTAAGGGGGGAAGCTGTCATCCAGCTCGTGCTTTTTATGTGAGTCGCAGAGCAAAATGCTTTGATATAGAACTAATTTCACGTGAAAATACTGAACACATTCTAGACATGTTTTACCTCAGTAATGTTTTTTAAACCTTTTCATGAAAATAATTTCAAAAACACACACTAGGCATGATTAATTGATATCTGAAAGACAAATTTATTATGTCATGCTGTTTCAGAATTATTCTATTGAGCATTTTTCCATCGATTTGATTTTAGGTTGTTTTAGAAATTTCCAGTAATCATTCCATACCACTGACTCAGGCTTACAAAATTATGTCATTTAAACGAAAATTTGGAAGATTTACACTCTGTATTTGTCCCAGCTAGGGTGTACTTTGCTAAAAGTGTTTGGCATATTAGACTCAAACTCTACAAATTTGATGATTTATTTGATTTTGGATGTTTAAGAAAGCAAGCAGTCTCTTCATACATGAAAACGGTTTAAATCTTAAGAATTAGTTAAAAACTGAAATGCATACAGATTTTTAAGATACCAGAAAACTACATTAGCTTATCAACACAAATTTTGCACAAGATTAAGGGCGGTTATATTTTAAACTATAGAAAGGTCCTGCAAGGTATCTCTAACTGAAACAACCTTTTATTAAACCCTTTTGTGGTTTTAATCTGTTTATATTTTCCTGATCTTTGAATTACACCATGTCACTTGGACGACAGCAGCAGAGGGGTTAAATCCCGCCCTGTAATTGGAGGGTTGGAGGTCAGAGCCCTGTCTGTTGCAGCCATTGTGTGGTGGTGGTTGGAGGGACCGGTGGTGCCTGTGTTCAGCAGCATCACCTGTCAGTGTGCCGCAGGGAAGCTGTGGCTACAATGTAGTTCATCACCAGTGTGTGAATGACTGATGTGAAGCGCCTTGGGTGGGTTGTAGAACCGTAGAAAGCACTATATTAAGTACAGCCCATTTACCAAATTGCCCCAGAAATTATTTCTAACTCAAATATACATTTGTCTAACAAATAACCTCTTCTGAAACCATTTGCAGCATCCAAGACATCGCCGTCTTGTTCAGCATCATCATCATCCTCCTGATGATGTTCAACACCTACGTGTTCCAGGTCGGCCTCGTATCTTTGCTGCTGGAGAGATTCAGGGCTCTGCTCATGTTCTCCACTCTATACCTGACTCTAAGCATCTGTCTCCATTGCTGGGTGATGGTACGCTCTAACAGCTGTTTGCAAACGCAAACCCTTAAATTATCCATGTCGCATTTTTTTAAATCTTTGACGTTTATTCTGTGTTCGTCATAGAATCTGAGATGGCTCGAGTCAAACCGTTTTGTTTGGACCGATGGCCTCCTAGTTCTCTTCGTTTTCCAGAGAACAGGTAAATCACTACAAATAAGTGGATTAGTTCAATTTTACATCATAAATAAGCCCACCATAGTACTAACTACCTCTGTCTACAGCGGCGGTGCTGTACTACTACTTATACAAGCGCACAGCAGAGTTCATGGGAGACCCGAGGCTGTACGAGGACTCTCTTTGGCTACGTGATGCGTTTGCAAGAGCTCGTCAGTGATGAAGGGACGGTTTAAAGAAACAAGGAAAAGAATGGACCAGACCGCTTCATCAGCTACTCATTTATTCACATTTTACTCTGAGGTGAAGTCTTAAAAGGTTTTGTTTACTGGTTTCTCATAGACAAACAGATGGCTTGTTAAATGGTTTAAACTGGCAGGGAAGCCAAGGATGTAGTATTGTTTAATCAGGATTGAGTCTGGTAATCTCTGAGGCCTTTTAAAACAATTGGGAACTGCAGACCTAAAACTGAAGAATCTTAAAGGGTTTAGAAGAACATTTATATGAGGATGTACCCTGCCTTGGTGTGTAATCTTTTTTTCTGCTCTGAACTCAGTAGTCCAATTTGAAAGTTTTATTTTTCTCCAAGAAAGACGAGTTTGGTTAATCTGCCTTATGAAAACGTTAGCATGTGTTTACATGCTAAATCTCATTTTTACAAGCCAATTTTTCACATTTCAGTTAGATTTTGGATGTTGTTCAATGTTTTTATTAAATAATCTTATCTAATCACTGTGTAATCCTTCGTCACTGGGATAGTCTGTATTATCCTGAGCCAAGGTGAGACAGGTGGCTCTATTTTTAACACAAAGATTAATCAGGGATTGAGGTTTCAGGCGCTACTAGTCAAACACGCTACAAATAGCCCAGTGACAAAACAACAGTCTATTCTCAGTTAAGATGAAGCCGACTTCAGTCCTGGAACAAACATTAGGGTTAAAGAAAGACACCAGAAGTTGTACAAATCCCCTTTACTTGTGACATAATCAATATTCAGAGTCCATATTGTCAGTGCCATCCAATTATATCCAAAATCCTGTGTGTCATCAGTGATGTCCTGTACTGTTGGAATGGTTGTATTGTAAGTGCGTAACCTGAAACAGCAAAGTGGAAAACAGACCAGCTTTAGTATCGTGACATGTTGCAGAGCTGCGTAAGGCAGGCTGTTCAACGTACCCTCATACGTAGATCCCCACCCACAGCAACAGGAACAGCACACCGAAGCCCATGAAAAGTGAAGCCACAAGGGAGATCAGCAGCTCCTTATAGACATCCCTTGTGTATTTTGTTGACGTCACTTCATAACTGATATAAAGTTGAGGCACACACAAGACAAAGGGTACAAGACCAAAACTTCTGTCTCATTCAAATCTACTGTCACTTAGATTCATATTAATTGATTTACTGAGTGCTTCAGACTTAAAACATGTGCTAGAAATATTTTATAGCAATACAATTTTAGCCCTCTTTCAATAGAAAACTTAAGCAGTACTATTCCCTTAGGCGTTCAAATAATGCATCATTGTACAAAAGAAAACCAGGCTGTAAATGTTCAGATTAATATTTTAAGACTATTTTATTAAAACCCTTACAGGAAACATCATTTTATCCTTGGTTTGTTTAGTCTTAAAAGTTTTATATGTCAAAACTGAAGTAAAGAGACATAAATTTATATTTCCACCAAAGCAGAAATTTTATTTTTTCCAGTTCATAATGAACCAGATATTCTGTTATTTATTTAATCTTTATCTAACCAAGTAGCCATTGCGATTAAAAACCTCTTTTTTTAAAGGGACACCTGGTCAAGATGGGCGGCAGCAAGCATCCCACAAAGTTACAGAAAAAGTGTTAAAACACAAAACACAGTATACATAGTTAAAAAATCAACTAAAAGTCAGAAGCAATCTAAATGAAAGTTACATGTCACGGAGCTGGCATCAAGATTTCTTAGTTTGTATTTAAAAACAACGAAATTAACTCATTTTCCAGTGGGCCTGCAGCTCATTCCAAGCTGACGGTGCTAAGTGGACAAAAGCTCTTTTGCCAAGTTGGGATAGAAAGCAACAAGGAATCTTGCAGACGAAGGGAATAGTGACCAGCAATTTTCATTTTAAAAAGGGAACATATGTAGGAGGGCAGCAGTCCAAGTCGAGTATTGCCTTATATATAAATCTGTATAAGTGAGCCTTCCTCCTGCTGGTCAAAACAGGCCATCCTACCAGAGAATATAACTCACAGTGATGAGTCAGAAATTTGCAGTTAGTAATGAACCTAAGAGCAGCACGGCACACGGAGTTATGCGATCAAAGACATTTAGCAGAAGCATTCATATATAAAATATCTCCATAATCAAGCACAGGAACAATGTTGCAGCAACAAGTCGTTTCTTACTTTTCTAAACCGCTTATTTAGAAAATAAAAACGCAGTTACAACTTCAGCTTCTTCACAAGATTCTCTACATGAGAATTCAAGGTGAGTGAATCATCAATCAAGAAACCCAGATATTTGTAAATCTGAACCAATGTCATTTCTTTACCCTCAAGAGTAGTAACTGAATGTATTGCTTAGGCCCACATCCACATGTATGAAATCTTTATTAGGACATAGTGCTTTCCTAAAATTTGTTTATTAGACACTTTTATTCAAAGCAACTTTCAAGTACCTAACCAACATGAATGCGTGTATGGTACCTGTGGGAGGAAACGGAAGAAATCCCAAACACATCCATGCATGGACACAATATTCAAACCCCACGAAGAAAGGCCACAGGCGGGACTTGAGCCTGCAACCTTCTCTCTGGAAGGCAATGCATACAACTGCTTCACCATGCAGCCCTGAAGGCTCTTTGTTAATCTTTTAAACAGTTTGGGATGCACACAAAAGTGCAATAATGATGTTATGAGAAATGACAGCTGCCATAGACCCTCATCAACATCAGATTGTGGCGTTTGTCAGATGATACCGCAAGTGTACACGGTCATACAGCAGTAGCTCACCATTCTCTAATTTTCAAATACCAGTGAAAGGATACACGAAAAACCAGGCGGTGAAGAACATGCCAATGGCCAGCAGCACCACGGTGAGGTGGGGGAACACTGCTGGGTTCACCGGGCTGGTGTATCTGGTCATGGCCTCGAGTTCCTGCAGTTACAGAAAACAGAAGATACAATGAGAACACACGGAGTTTATTGATTTTTCAGAAAAGTGTGGAGTTTAGTTAGATCTGCAACTAATTTTGTTTAGTAAATGCAGCCAGTCACTAAACGAGTTCACAAAGAACTAACGTATGTTAGCATACTCTCACACAGAAAACGAGTCAATTTCGAAACGTAATTTGACACGAACAGTTAAATCCGCCAAATATACAAATGATGACGTTATATAAACAATGTAAGCGTAAGTAATTCGTTACCATCTTCTGAAGACGCCAAAGTCCAACAGCACAGCTAACGTCCAAAATGAAAAGGCCACGTACTGGTAACTTTTTCCTGGTTTTTTTCTTGACGCACAACTGACGTCGAGAGGGTGGGTTTTCGTGTTCCCTCCGTTTAGTCTTTCAGGCTAAAGTGCCTTCAATTAACGCTCTCATTCGTCTCACTTATGTGCTAGTATTAAACCATATACTGTACATACGTTTACAGATGCGTTTCTTCTACATTCTTTGTGTCAATTTGTATTAAACTTCATGTTATTCACGCACGGATGAGTCGAAAATCAGGGTTATAATCAGGAGTTACCTCCTTATTTCCAGTCTTTGACTGCCATCTAGTGGACAGAATGAAGTGTATTTTCTTTCATCAAAAAATAGACAAATTCACTGTGCAATGACAACCAATTTTTAATTCATGCAATTAAAGTATTACAGAAAAAAAGGACAGAAAGTTTGAAAATGCATCAATAAATTGGCTTATGAGTGATAATATTACTGAAGCCTGAGTTTTAAGTATTTATTGTCTCTAAATTGAAATAAAATTGCAAATGTGCATCTAGATATTCTCTTGCGCTTATCAGTTATTTCTTGACTCCAAAAGCTAAAAGTTAATATATTATTGATAAAAAAAGTCAATAGAAATAAACAATACTGCACATCAAATATAAAGGATGCAGAACAGTTACATGTAATGTACCAGGGTATCTGACTCCACTTTGATGCATGGGATAAAACAAATGCAATTCATATGTACAATGAATAAAAGTGCTATTGTGATTTATTTATGCTAGCTGGTGCACTTTAAATAAGCTAAAACAGTACAGTGTAAGGCAAAAGTATCATACAGGGTTTTCATTTCAATATAAGAAGAATAAGAAGAATACGCTTTATTGCCAGTGCTCCAGCAACCCAGAGCATAGGAACTTGACTCCGCAAACACAACCTGACCAAGGTCAAACACACACACACACACACACACACACACACACACACACACACACACACACACACACACACACACACACACACACACACACACACACACTTGTAGACAAAAACAGGTACAGGCAGTCACCAGAGCAGCCATAATGGCGCTAATTTCATTATAAATGCTATAATCTTGTGGGATGGCTGTTCTTCCTGTATATTAGTTTTATTTGAGTTCAGATTACTTCTAAACAATGGCACAAGTTGAATATGGATTTATTAAAAATTTGTATCAATGCATTGTACTTGATATAAGAAGAACATGCTTTTTAAACAAGAAAATACAAAAATAAAACATTACACAAATCAGTAATATTAAAAGTGTTATTGTTGCATAGGTTTAGTGCTGTAGAAACAGAGGTAATTTTAAAAACATCAAAAGAAATGCATGAAATAGAAAGTGTAAAATTTTCATGTTGACATCCGAATAAATCAAGTTTGTTAAAAAAAAAAGATCAAAAATAGATTTTCTCTCTATGCTGTGCTGTATCATTTTGGATAGATGATTGGGCCTGCACCTGAAATGATATTTCATGCTTTACCAGCATTGTCCAGTTAACAGGGTACAGTGTGAGCTATTCCAGTGTATTTTGAAATATCATCAGTGTAGGACTTGATGCTTTTCCAGTAAGATACACCTTTATTACCAGGGATTTCTTCACTTGTCCAGTCTTAATGTTTGTTTTAGTAATTACTAATAACTGGGTTTGGCTCTGGAGTAGTAACCTTTCAGAAATGCAAAGGAGCAATGTGCACACAGTCTGTCTAATTTTATGTTTTATTCTAATTCCAATTTAGGTGTTGCATGAAGATGCACAAAGCTCCTGCAGAAACCAAAGATTGCACTACTGAGGTATATTTAATATAGGAGAGATTTAGTGGAAGGCCTCCTTTTCAGTGTATAAGTCTACTGTTACAGGCAGCGGTTTCAGTGTGCACCTAGTATCACAAAATAAACGTGTGTGCAATGTCTCATCCTTGCAAGTAATTATGGCTTTCATAAAAGATGGAAGACATAGTGATCAATAACAAAGGGAGCTATAGAATTATATACAATGGGTTTACAGTGGAAATTAACAGTGTCAGCTGCAGTAATCTGAAATATTCCAGTGTGTTATAATCCAGTGATTACAAGAAAAAAAGAGACATCAATGCAAATATTTTTGAGGGGAATACAGTTTGGACAGTAAATACTTTCCTCTATGAATATCTTTAAAATAATGTACAATAAAAAAATAAAAATAAAAAAAAAGCCTGCACAACACTGTACAACTGGAGTCAGTCACATCTGGGAATATACAATGAAGTGTGAAGATAGCAGGACATGTCATCTTCCTCCTCACACACAGCTGCTTTGAATGATGAAATGGTAATCAGAGTACGATGAGATATTTCCCTCTGTGGCACACGTGACTTCACTCTGTCAACAAATAATGAATACAAATGTTACCATCAAACCGTACTGTCGATCAAAGAGGACAGAGTCTCAGATTTTAGACTTACGGACTGAGAGACTCTGAAGTGGTAAGTGATCTCCCTGAAGGATGACACAGACACTGACCAGAGGTGATGAGTGCCCTAAGAAAGGAGCAGAAGCAGCAAAAGACTCAAAACCGTGGAACAAAAATTATAATAGAATCTAATCCTATGTACCTTTGCTGCTGAGCTGTTATCAGTTTGGAGCTCCGTCTCTGTGTGGCTGGGACATAAACGTCTTTTGGTGGCTCCGCACTGTTGCATCCACACACTCTTCATAGAGCTGAAAAGTACATTTATTATTATTTATTAGTGAAGTTATTTGGAATTTACTGCAGAAAAAAATGAGAACAGCTGTTTTTGCAGCAGTTTCAGTTTTCCAGTTTTATTTCCCTTTATACCAGTTAAATCAGTGCATCTTTTAAATGTGATTGAAACCTTCTTTAGAGTCTAAGCTGAGCAATGTTACAATTATTTTTTTAAAAGCTTGGGTCAGCTGCTGTGCTTTGACTTAAAAATTAATGTATTTAGACATATAATAGCTCCATGATAATGTACTAGTTAAAATTTCACTCTATTTAAAATGTAGTTTATATCTAATCCCATGACTCTATTCAGGAAATTCTGACATTTTACAGACCATCACAGCTTCATCACCTGTAAACACAATTTTACCCATGTGTGCACAATGTCACTTCCAATGAGAGAATGAATTCAATTCAATTCATTTCAATTCAATTCAATTCAATTCAATTCAATTCAAAGAAATTCAATTAAAAGAAATTCAAAGACATTCAAAGAAATTTAAATGTTATTATCAGGAGAGGGAAATATATAAATTAAGCAAATAATTAAAATAAAAAAGAAAGCACATAACCTAAAAATAAAGTTGTGTGATAAGATTACTTTTAAAATAAAAAAGTTTGATTTTAATAGGTTTAAACTGATTAAATAATAATCACCCATACTTAAAGGCATACAATGCAACTTTTTCATATTTTTAAATTATTTTCTTGAGCCAGTATGTTGCCCTTCACAGGGTTAATGAAACAACACTCAGACCCCTGCTGTCCTCTGTGGCCAGAATATTGCACTTGCAACTTCAGAGTGACAGGCCGCCACCTGTTAGACTTAATAAAGTGGAGCTGACACATGTGGCACTGCAGTCTGCATCCAGCATGTTTCCCGCATGTTTTAGATCGTGAACAGTGAACACAGCTCATTTGTTTGATTTAGACATGAATCGCACCTCTAGAAACTAATGAAGGTTGAGGAGACCTTTTACCTTTTAGATTAAGGTGTTAAAAAGTGAGAAGAGCTTCAGTTTTGGTTTCACTAAACGGACGTTAGGGGGTGCTAAAAGCAAGCCAAACTGCCTAGCATCCTTTTAAAATAAAAAGTACACAAATAGGCAATTATGTGTAGACGTACTAATGCATACAAAGTCAAATGCACTTAAATGCTAGTCACTAGAACTACGACAAATTACAATATAAATAGAAAATTGAATTTACTATGAACTGGTGTGTCTTATTCGTAGTAACTTTCACTTAAATGCATTTTCTGTTGTATTAGTAACTCTATCACATTGTCTCATGTATTTATTATTTTAAATGCAATCGGTTTGCATGCTTTTTTCAAGTCCAATTAACTACTCAGAATTTACAGTGTAATTCAACAGTTACAGCATTTTTTAGATGGCTTCACATCAACATCTTGCACCAAAATAGCTGTGTTTTACTTAAATAAACATACAAAATCTCAAACTAAAATGAATGTAGAAAAATGATCAATGCACCATTAAATTGAGTTTCTCTTCATTTTAGATTACTACCTAACTATTTGACTGTAGTTTTATTTTTAAAATCCAACTACAGAGACACGACCCAAAGTATGTGCTGATTTAAATGTGTACATGGTACAGTATGTATTATGCAAAGTCATGTTTATACTCACATCATGTGTAATGTAATTTGTGAGATGGAGACATTTCTTTGTCCATGAAGTGATATCGTATAGCTGGAAATCACACAAAGAAAACACGCATGAACACAGAAATGTTAATGTTCTAAATGAAAACTCTAACAGAAAAAAGCTTTCTGCTCTTAAAGAGTTAAAATCATTACATACTTTTTTAGAAATCTCATGAAAGAAGGACTGGATGAAGCTTTAAATTGAAATTTTCAACCAGCAGCTCAGATTTAGAGCAGGTCTAATTGCGTACCTGCAGGTGTTCGCTGTTGCACAACTTTGTGCAGAGATGTCTTGGTTTGTTTCCACAACGGAAACACTAGTGAGTAAAGGAGCATTTGTTGTTCCTGCAAAAGAGAACAAAAATTACTAAAAGAACTAAATGAGTAGTATTTGTGTTGTTTTTGTGCGTGTCGAGTTTGGATTCGGCAGGAAGCGGGTGGGCCAGCTTTGTTTGTGGAGTTACCCTTTGCACTTAGGCTCCGTTGTCTGCGTGGTACTGGCGGCTGCCCCTGAGGGAAACGATTGGTGGTTCCTGCCCCTTCTGGGTCTGTGGAGACAGGCCTTTTGGACTTGGAAAAGTACATGGGTGCGGATGTGTGACTGAGGCGATTTCTGTTGTGTCCGTCTTTGTCCATTGGCCTGGACTTTGCCTTCTTAATAATGGTGCCTGGTGTGGGAACCAGACTACTTAAACCTAAAGAGGACAGATGATTTATCACAACAGATGGCCCACACACTCAATAAAAGAAGAAAAGAGCTCAGACTAGCAGATTATCTTTACCAGGTGTGGTTTGGTTGTTATTCAGCGTTGAAGCAGTTGCTGACTGGTTGTTTAGAGCTGTGGTTGAACAGCATGCTGCAAGAGTTTAGAGGTAAAAACAGAATATTATCACATCTGGTTTAAATTATACATTTAAATAATTTTATCCTCATTAAACTGAGTAATTCATGAACTTTCCAACCCAATCCTAAAGAGAAGTTAGACTCTACTCACCTGGTGAAGGTGTGGTAGAGAGTGGGGTGTATGGACTCCTGCGGGGGGATCCCAGAGCGGCTCTTGACCTGCAACAGGTTACACAAAACGATCCACTTGAATTAATTTAAAGATGTTGGAGTTTATAAGAAAACCTAAAGAACAAGACAGAGAAAAGCCATGAAAATATAAAGTTGGAAAAACAGAGTACCATTTGCAGTCAGGAGGACAGACAATGACAGTGGCAGAGAAGATGGGCATCCAAGAGATGTAAAGAACACAGGAAGGAACAAAGCTACAGGACAGATTTGGTAGGATTATTGAAACGTCAGAAGTCACTGCTGTAGAGTGTTTTTACAACCAAACAACACATACCCATCTTTCTCTGTGACTTCTCCTCTGTGGTGAAGTGTGAGGACATAAAGCACAGACATTGAAATGACGCTGTGGACAAACACAAGGCAGGACATTAACATCATTCATATTTCAGAGGTAACAGGTCGCACTCTCTCCTTAAAACCGTCTTCATACCTGAAGGCCATCACAATGACCAGAGCCAGGATGGCCCCTTGCATGAACCTCTGACTGATGCAGCCCTGATCCAGAGGTGAGCTCTGCAGCAGGACAATTACAGTCACATCTGTACATCCCACAGTCAACAAAACCTAAAAACACAGCAACACCACAGACCTTGCTCCCTGGTTTAACTGTCTTTTTCTTGAGTGGGCCACTTCCTGTTCTGCTAAAATAACTTCCTGATTGGCTAAACAGGCAAGAAAAACACAAGGAACGTACATGTTTTATCGTTGTTTTTACATATTTTAGATCTCATAATCAGATGGGGTTTTCATTTGTTTTCTCTTACCTCACAGTGCCTCCACTCACGGAGCTCTTCATGCTGTCAAGTCGACGCAGTTTGGCCAGTTTGCGACTCCATCGCTCCAGTTCGTCTATTCGAGTCTCCAGGTTGTCAGTCAGCTTGCAGAGCTCCTTCACAGCTCCGACATTCTCCATAAAGATTCGCTCCTTTGAAATCAAAACACTCAATCAATGCCATCAGACTTTAACAGCATAAAGAGATCAGAGCAGATGAGTGTGTGCGTTTACTACCTTATTGACAACTAACAAGTTGGGGATAGTTTCTCCATTGGCACACACCACATCACCCCCCTCCTTCACTGCTTCAGGTAAAATCTCTTGAACCTCTTGAGCAATCACACCTGCAGAGGTGGAAAAAGAACAACAAATAAGTGATAAAAATGGACTGAAACCATACCAGAGAGTTCAGAATCATACACAGAGTTGGGTCTGACTAAACAGAGGTTATTCATGCAGCTGTTACCAGTCTCTGCAGTGTCCTCTATGCCCACCGTGGCAGCAAACTCAGGCTTGTATTGGTAATGGACCAACCTCATCTGAGAAATTCGTTTTAAATTGTCCGTAGTGTTGACCTAATGACAGAATGAGGACATCTGTGAGAACACAGTGGATTTTAGACATAGAAATGTGGTAATAAGAATAGCCACTTTACCAAAGTTGTTTTGTCCATTTTCTTAAATATTGTTAAAATATAATCTGCAAATTTTTTTTATTTGATGTTCAAATAAAAGCAAAACTACCTCAAATGTTGAGTCAGAAATGTATGGTCTGCACTTGGTTTAAAGTTAAATTAAAGTCCTACTAGCTGTCACACACACTGGTTTGGTGGTTTAACCTCCCAATCCAACCCATCAATGCTGAGTGTTAACCGAGGAGGCAGTGAGTCCCACTGTTTTTTTTTAAAGTCTTTGGTATGACCTGACCAGGTCATGTGATTTCAAAGTCCCAGGGCGGACACTCATAACTCTAGATCACTGAGGTGGTTGTGTTTGTTTCTCTAAAAAAAATTGGACTAAAAGTAAAACCCACAGTGAAAAGATGCTTTTATTCCAAGGAAATGGTTGATCGTTGTTCACTTTAACACTGTCACAGAAATACTTCAATAACTACCATGATTCAGTTGCTTAAATGTAACTTAATTTATATCTCAAAAAGCAAATAAATGTTACAGACAACACACAGGCCTGGACTGCTTGAAGCCACCCTCGTGGTGGTCATTCAAAAAGGTAACTTGAAGTTTCAGAGTTTCACTTTTAATATCCTCTGCTTGGCCCTCCACTCAGTATATATGTATAAACAGCATAACGTGAGAATAATAATTGTAAAACGCCCAGCTAGAGTTGTGCATTCACAAATGCATCCAGCTGTAATCATCAAGTAGCGCAGGGCTATTCAAGTTCGGGCCTCGAGGGCCGGTATCCAGCATGTTTTAGTGGTTTCTCTGGTTCAACACACTAGATTCAGTGGTTGAGTCACCTGTGCAGCAGCTCATCAGGCTCAACAGAAGCCTGTTAATCACCTGCTGATTGAAATCAGGTGTGTTGAAGCAGGGTTAAAACTAAAACGTGCTGGATATCGGCCCTCGAGGCCCGGAATTGAATGGTTCTGAAGTAGGGAGCGGGGCTTAAGGTGTGTTGCATTTTTCTGCCTCTAGATGGTGTCCTCTGACAAAAAACTCCAGGTTTCTGCTGCAGGCCAAGTGAAGTGACAAAGATTAATATACTGAAACTACACTAATTACCTAACAAAACAAATTCCCAATTTGCCAAAAATGAAAGAAAATTGTCACGCAGTTTTTTCCCAACTGTTTAAAAATCATTGCTGTCTTGAAATGTTTATGAAGCTTCAAAAATCCTGTTAACGAGTGATGAAACAACAACATGAAGCATAGTTTCAGTGCACTGTTCCAAGTTTACAGATGACACAATTCAAAAACACACTCTTTAATGCTTGGACACACACACACACACACACACACACACACACACACACACACACACACACACACACACACACACACACACACACACACACACACACACACACACACACACACACACACACACACACACACACACATCCTGACCTCTTGGACATTTTCTTTTGCTCTGATGTCAGACGGATGGACCAGGGAGCCCATGACTTTCAGGTTGCCATGGACAACGAGGGCCTCGTCTGGACGGTCGGTGTTGATTCCGACTCTGCCGTGGTGGTACACCGAGTCTGGCAGCTGCCCTCGCTGCCACAGCACCTCGCTGTCACTTTCAAACTGGCCTGGATTGGATGCCTATGACACAGAACCAAAAAAGGAGCACAAAATCTGACTCAGATATTAAAACTTTATAGCAAAATTCAAATTCAATGTTTAAAGATATCAAAGTAGGCTTTTTTTCGCTTTCTTGACAAAAAAATCCTTTGAAAATTAATTTAATGATCATATCCCAAACTGACATCATCATCATAGCACATCATAGAAACCCTTTTCCATAGCTGTTTTGGTTTCTTCCTAACTTTGACACTGAGGTAATTCAGATTTATCATAAAAAAGATTAAATATTCTGAGCCTGAAAACAAGATTCCTTAACACATTTATGGTAATTATAACACCATCATCTTACAAAAAGCTTATGATCTCTAAACGTATACATCAAACGGTCTTAGAAATGACAGATTTGGATAGGATGAGATTATAAAAGGCAGACAGAGTAAAGTGTCACATTCACACAGGATATGATTGTTGTAGGAAGGGGACAGACATGGCCAGACGTTACCCTGACGATGATCCTCTCAGAGACATGAGCAGCCACAGTGTAGCTCTGACTGTGGGACTGTGCATGCAGCGCCACCACCAGCATGAAATACCTGCAGAGATGAAGTGATCAGGATTGTGAAGTTAGAACTTTGCAAAAGTTCTAAAGGTGAGCGAAAGTTTTTTTTCTGCATGTTTTTCACCTCTGGTCTGGATTTGGTTTGCCCTTCTTTCTCATGTTATTTGCTGTAGTCTCACTGAAGTGGAGTCTCCCCACTGTGACTTTTGTGACCTGCTCTGATGGCAATGTGACGCTGGGAGAAACAATGTTCATGATGACAAGATGACAAAAACGTGCTCGTTTCTGAGTTATTTGAAAAGCTTGGACTCACAGAACCGGCTTGAAGGGCCTTTTGCTGCGGTCGGACTGGGACTGCTCCACACTGATGGACTGATTCATAGCTTCCACCTGCCAATGAAACAACACCACTAAATACGTCCGAGAGATAAAAATCTCCACAGCCAGTCAAGACAGCTACATCTGTCTCTACACAACAAGTCTGGTATTATTTGGGGAAATACTTGAGATTTCTCGCTTTGGTGGTACATGGATTTTTGCTCTGTGCTCTGCTTTCATCCCACAAACTAAAAATATCTACATTGGATTCATTTGTGAATCTGAGAAGCCCCTTTCTAAAGTGTGAGCGTGTGCATGAATTGTGTGACCTGTTGGTTGTGTAAGTTATATTTGGTATAATTACACAATAAGTTCTGATCATTTTCTACTTTGTTTAGTTCATGCTTCTTTAAGGCCATGTCTTTCATAATTTTCCCCTCTTTGGTAATCTTCCTAAAATTTCTTTTTTTTTTCATCCATCCAACGTCTCCTTTTTGTTTTATTCTCCTGTTGGAGAGGGGGCAGTCATCCTTGCAACTCAGTGATGTACCTCCACGCTTTATGTGCTTCCTGTGGGGATTTCTGATCCTGGCAGCCATTACAAAATGCATCTCTATCTGTGAAGATGAATTTTGTTATACACTGAAGCTTGAGCCCATCTAACTTTTATTCTGATTCTGTTCTTGCGTATTTACAAAAATTAAATTCAAGCACTTTCAAGGTGTGTTTTAACGATTTTTCCATCACCTTATGTAGGCAATGATTGATGCACATATGAACAGCACCTGCAGGTTCAAAATGATTATTTTTCTTAAACCTTACAGTCACGGTTTCAAACAATATTAAAAGATTAAGTATTTTTAAATCCTTGAAAATGCCACATTAAAATTCAAGCACTTTCAAGGATTTAAAGCACCTATAAGTCAGCATATTATGTTTAGCTTTGTGATTAAAACAAATGGTCATGGCTCTCCCCAAAGGTCCCCACTATGTCATGCCTGCTCCGTAACGCAGAGCGCCACTGGTTGTGTAAGATCACATCTCCATAAAGCTTTCAGTTTTTGTAAAGTATCACAAGTTCCACAGCATTTCCACCACCAGCCCAAAAGATCAAACTAAACTTTGAAATGTGTGTGTGTGTGTGTGTGTGTGTGTGTGTGTGTGTGTGTGTGTGTGTGTGTGTGTGTGTGCAGCTTGTTTCCTTCACCTTTACTCCATGAAGTTTGAGGTAAAAGCAGTCGATGGGCTGCAGGCCTTCATTTGTCTTGATGTACTTGGGGTCTCCGAGCATTCCGACGTAGACGGTGACCTGGAAGTGGTTTTTCTTCTGGCACACAAACGCATCATCAGCCAAGGAGAAGTTGAAGCCTTTGTCAGCATCAACTCGGTAGGTTGGCATTGGGCTAAACATGGAAGACAACAGCAGAATAATGTAAAAGGAAAGATTAGCTCAGTTTTGTTATTTGTTTGCAGGTAAAATTATACAATTAACACAATTTAATAAAACTTTAGATGCTTAATTAGTCTGCTAACTGTTGGTCAATGACACCTTCATCATATTTTTGTGATATTATTTGTAAGGGTTACAGAGAACCGTAGAACCCTTAGAGATGACATTCTAAAAAACGTAGAGAATCATTTTTATTTTGGCGTTGCATGCTCAGATCTGCTCAACCAGGTGGTTTTGATAACATCTGAAAGGTCTTGTGAGTTCATTTTAACCTTCCTCCTTATCTATTTTGGCACTACAAAAAGCACAAGAAGGTGATTGCTAACTTTTTCCCTTCACCCTCTCCTCACGTTGTGTCTCTAAGCTGAAACCCTGCACACATTCACTCCCACGTACAGCTCACCACTGAGGAATTTTCTAGAACTCCGCAACTCATCTATTGCTTTTCCATTGCTGCTGCAGACTTTGTTGAATTACACATTTAGTTCAATTTAAACCCAAAATCAAATCCACCCACAGGTCTTTGCAGTTGGCATCATACAGCGGGGTCCACTTGTTCTGCTGGTGAGGTTGCCACTTGATGCACTGGTAGTTTGGGTCCAGGAAAGAGTTGTCCACATCCTGCATCAATCCTGTGGCATATCATTTGAATTAGCTGCTATTAAGGTGAGAAATAGTGGATGTAAAATTGATGTTTTCTTTTTCTTTTTACGTGTTAAACGTTAGTAAGAGCAGGTGAGGGTGAGGTGGAGAAGAAAAGAAAGATGCCTGCCTACCTGGTTCTTGTTTGATGATACCTGTGAGGATTTGGGAATTCAAGGTGCTGTTGGGAGAGTCAGAGTGCTTCCTCTTCTTAGCTTGATGAGCAGGGATGCTGCTGTGTGAGAAAACAGTCAAACGTCACCACTGGTGTTTTAGTAAAAAATGGACCACCCCCATCCCTGCACTTCTCCATGACTCACTCGTCTCCCTGAGGATGCTGCAGCAGCTGATGGAGCATCTGGGTCTGCTGCACATCTCCACTACCGCTCGTGGCAGGTCCAATCGGGTACTGTGATATCACGGGCTCCGGCTTCAGGTACATGTCCCGATGCATGCTGGGATAATGCCCATGAGGTGGGAGCGGTGGCGTCGGAGCCATGTGACACATGTTCTCTGGAGTCATGGTCCTGATCATGTGAGGATCTGGGAAAGAAAGGACAGAAATGTTGTCTCCTTTTCTTGTTCAGCAGTAATTTTGTCAGACATTTCATCTGAATTTATTTTTTGTTGTTTATCATTCAATTAACTCATTCAGGCACAACACTGCACAGTGAGGCAGTAGTCAAAAAGCTCCGGAGTAACCAGTGACTCCACCCCCTGGCCAATTGGCAACCAACAGGTCCAATGGCGAACCGGCTCAGCCCTTGGAACCACAATGGAGCAGGGACTGAAAATCAGAGGGAAAGCAGGGGGGGGGGGGGGGGGGGGGGAGATAACAAACCATGCTGTCGTAAAAAAAAACAGCTAGACTGAACCAAAGCTTCCCAAGTCACGTGGAGTAGGGCGGTTGGAAAAGGCCTAGGTTGTCATGGTCTGTGTCTGCCCCTTCCTCATGTGTCTCCTTGTGTCCTCCATTTGTTCTCTAGGTGCTCCTTTTGTGTCCTCTAGCACCCTCGTGTGTCATGTCTGCGTCTTCCTCATGTGTCTTCTGGTTTTCCCCATTTGCCCCTAGATCTCCAGCCTTCTAGGTTTCTCTTAAGTCATTTCCTTTAGTGACAGCCTTTCAGGATTTAGTATGTTTTTCCCATCAGTGTTTATTATTTTTCTTCCCCTCCCTTTGAATGGTAGTTAGGTTTCCTGTTATTTTGTATTAGGTTTTATTCTTAGGTCAAGTTAGTTTCTCCCCTGATTAGTCACTGCTTTCACATGGTCCTCCTCCCACACCCCACACACCTGCAGCTCATCTCCCTCTCATCTTCCCTGTGTATTTAAGCCCTGTCTTGTCTTTGTCTTGTGTCGGTCCATTGTTGTTTGTAGTTCTGTCAGTTTCGTCCCTCTGTGTTTATTCCAGAGTTTTTGATCCCCAGATATTTATCTGGTTTTTGGATTTTTGGCTTCCAGCTTGGATATACTTGGTTTTTGGCTCACCTTAAAATAAAGGACTTTTACTTAATCATCATCCCTGCCTCGTGTCATCCTGGGTACTGCATCTTGGGACCACCAACACCGTTTCATGACATAGGTAGTTTTCCGGGAGCAATACTAAGAGTAACACGGACAGGTGCAGCTCGGCCCGACCACTGCTCCCAAGGGCACTGATATGTATTTTCCTTCTACTTTCTCCCCTATTTTTACTCCCTGTTCCGGTGAGGTACCTGGCAAGGCATCATGACTCTGGCCACTGATTGACTAGGGGTGGACTAACTGGTTGCTCTGAAGTTTTGTTGCCTTCTGTTTCACTGCCTGCAGCCATTTCCTGGTTCAGTCTGACAAAAAGCCATAAAACTGAGCAAATTGTCCAGCAACACCACCATTTTTCAGCTGAGTGTTGTTTCTGAGGCGCATCCAAGTTACCTTACACTCTGATCACCTCGTGCTATTTTGTCATTAGTAAAAATCGCGCACCTCAATTGTCATTTGCTGTTTTTAAAAAAAATAAACAACAGAGAAGGGTCTCTTACCATTCACCTGTTGAGGAGAATATGGCTCTGAGCTGGAATCAGGTGGAGATTCTGGTAGAGTTCTGGAATAAATGACACCATAACGCATGTTACACCTTTAAACTCACGATGTGTTCCACTGTTGTCTAAAGCTTTTACAAGGAAACTTGCACTCAACTGCATCACATCTTCACTTGGAGATCTAATTTGACTCTCTTTGTTATTAGTTCTTCTCTCCTGTTTCTCAGCTTTTGGTTTTTATATTAATTACGTGACAAACCTGCAGCAGGATTGTGTCCTTTTTTGCTCTATTCTAGGCAGTAATCTGTGCCACAACTTAACATCTATGGCTGCGTTATTAACAATTTTATTTTATATAATTTAGAAAAAAACATTCACAAGTAATCATCTACCTACAGTACTCCTCACCCTGGAGCGTAGTGGCCCCTGTGTTCAGGCTTGATGTGAGCCTGTTGCTGCTGTTGCCCCAGACAGGGGTAGCCGTGTCGGAGGCTCACAGCTGGACCCTGGGGGTAGATGTTCTGACAGCTGGAGGGCCCAGGAGGGGGCGCTCCTTGGCGTAATGGGATAGGGGGGCTCACACCACAAGCCAATCCTCCAGAGGAAGACACTCCTGCCTGTGGAGATGAGTAATTTGGTCCCGGGGTGCTGTGGACCTCTGTGAAACAGCTGTTAAGAAAAAAAAATGGATTAGGTTTATCAGAAACAACAAATTCCTTTGTAAGACATGATCTGGTTTGGTTGGCGTGGGTTGTTTTGACGTTTCTGTTAGTCTGGAGTCCCTACTGACATGTCAGTGCTATCGTCCTCCTTGCTGATGTACTCTTCCAGGATACTGGTGTCGATGTTGGCTGGCTCCAGAGAACTGGTAATATCATGACCTGTGGTGAAAGGAGGGTTGGAAAGGTGGGGGGGATGGAGAGCATCTGGGGATTAGCAACAGGAATCTGTCAGCAGCTCCACTCCGTAAAACAACGACCCGATTTCAACACAAACCGGTGTTGCAACAATTCCTTTGAAAGATTTATCTAATAGAATAACAACATTTGTTTAATGGATGTGTTTCAAACAATGACTGTGATTGGCTTACAGAGAATTTCAAGATGAAGGTTTCAGGAATCACTATTAGTCAAAAGGACACGGCCTTAATCACATGAAAGCAGGAATCACTCCAGCTGATGAATACTTTTGTTGCTGCAGCTGCATTTCCCTCATTTAGACAAATCAAACAAAAAAAAAGGTTAAGACATGAATCTTGCTTCTGTGTAAGAGCTATAAATAACCACTATCGTAGACAGCTCCATTAATTTTTCTGTTTTAAGAAGCTGAGTTTATTGATTCCTGACGGGAATGATAAGCAGCCTTATTTTAGAAACCTACTGTCACTAGTTTTGAGTGACTCGTTTGTTTAGATTGATAGAAAAATATGTGTAGAATTTTTAACGTCTGGATGCACTGGAAGGGCTTTTGTTGATATTTACTCTATTTACACAGAATTCCACATAAAGATCCACTCCTCGGGTAACTTTCTGCAGCAGGTGGTACTTATTCATTACTTTTAAATATAAGCACTTCTCAAAGTAGCTTAAATCTCCTTTTGGGCAAATTATTTAAATGAGACGTTTCTAAACTTTTATCCTTCCTAAAATTCTCAGAGGTAACTTTCAGATCCCCATTTCTCATTTTCAGCCTTTGATAAGCAAAGCCGCCCAAATCCCAAACATATGACCCCACTTAATCTTTAAAACGCAGACACACAAAACATGCACCTGCTTATATAAAAAAGCACACTCTGAACATTTAGCAAACATATTTCTAAAGATGCCTGATGTTGGAAACGTGATGAGAGAGAATCAGAGGAAAGGAAAAGCAAAAAGAGAAGAGAGTAAAGACTTGGGCAGGCAACCCCAGTTTTTCAGCCACCCCAACACACACACACACACACACACACGCGCGCGCACTTATTCACTCACCCTCTGATAGATTAGGAAGCTGGGAATGTGAGGAATTTAAGTGTTAGGGTTTGAAACTATTTCACCTTTTCCCCCTTTTTTAAATAATCTGCCAACTGCCACTAGAGACCAAACCAAAATGTCACTCAGTTATCTGTTGCAGCTTCTCTTAAACTCCCCCAAAGATTTCTACTGTTTGCCATAAAAATGTTGAACGACATGATCTCACAAATATTTAGCAGACAGTTCTCAGAGGATGGCTGAATAAACATCACAAACCAAAAGCCCCCATCCCAGCCCAATTAAATGAGATTTACTGTTTAACGTGATATTCTCCTGTTGCTATGTGGATGGATAAAAAAAACATCTCCCTTTACAGATAATGAACAGCTGGGTAATGTCTCCTGATGCGTGGCAGTGCAAGAGAAACAAAAAAGAAAAAGGCAGGATGGTTTTGCTTAAATAAGATCCAGATGTGCACCCCACCCAAAGAGGTAGTAAATTAAAGCTGGCAGGCCAGATAAGAGAAAACAGAGAGATATGGTGAAGAGAGGAGGGAAGATGGATGGGGGCTGAGGAGAAAAAGGCAGAATAAAAGTTAGACAGCTGAGGATAGAAAGACAAAGAAACAGAGACTTTGACTACTCTGTGTCCAACAGAGTTCTGAGTGGCACATGTAGGCTTCATAAACATGCTGAAGTCCTGTAAACTCATAACTGGATACCACCATTCAGCCAGAGCAGTTAAAATCTTTAGCAGAAAGTTGATTTGGGATTTATTAAAGGCACACTGATATAATTTTCAGAAACTAAATTAGCTATATTTGTTCATAGACGCAATCATTTAGGATAAAATCAGCATCAGGGACTTAAGAAATTGCTGACCCAGCATGCCACATCCAAAACAACCAACAAAAATGAATATTTATCACCCAATGGGAGAGCTAAAACATGACGTGTTAGTAATTCACAACACAAACTCTAAAACTATCCAAACAGCGCGCCAGATCTAAGCACAGCGTTATTTTTAAGATTTGCCCAAAAATGAGCAAAACTCCGCGATTTCTTAACATCGTGATCTTAGTTGAAAACTCTAAAGCAACTGGTGGTATGTATTCTTGATATCATTTAGGTGTGTAACACTCGTTTAATACATTTGCAGTGGTCTCTAATTGGAATGAAAGTCTGGCAAGTCCCATTTGGGGGGCAAGAAACACTTGCATCCACCCCTCTGCTTTTCCTTCCCTATTTCTAGGAACTAGAAGTGGGTCACATCTCAGCTGAGCTTCAGACGGCAGGATTTGGAATATTTTTTCATGATATTTGGACATTTCTTCTAAGATTGGATAACAGCAACACAACTCTACCACTGACTTGCAGCATTGATGTTTTATCTCCACAAATAACACAAGTCTGAGGAGTTCTGCTGTGTGGTGGTGCTGCTAATGCTGACGGTTAGCTTCTACTAGCCGAGACGTTCTCTGCTGTTTCCTGGACGCTAAACCAACAGCAGCCTTCCTCGTTGCAAGTCAAGATGGGTGAGTCCATGAATGTTAAGTGACGGTGTGGCGTAGATCTGTCAGGATCCTGAAGTTTCATCGTCTGTTTCCTGTCAGAAGCTAATGAAGCAGATATGTGTAGGAAGTTATTTTCATGTTCAACCTGAATAGAAATATTGATTTAAAAAAGGGGGTTTCAGTGTTCCACACATTTAAATCTGCAGGGAGACTTTATGAGAATTTGTTTGAAACAAGATAATGGACAAAAGCATTTAAACACAACAAAAACGGTCAAAAGCACTGAATTTCATATGAGATTTAAGTGTAGATGTGCTTTTTATTTTAGCTTTAGTTGTTTTAGTCCAAAGTTTCTCCCTATTTCTAATTATTAATCTCCAATTGATTTTTACCAACTTGCCATTTTTAGTCAATGACCTTTCTCAAGAGATTATTGCATATTTGATGCCAAGAGGTTTTCAGTTTAGTCTGTCTTTTAATTATTTATGTTTGTTTGAAGGACATTTAAATCTTCTAATTTCTAATAGTCCAACAATAATTTTAATACATTTGCTGTGAGATTATAATATTTGATTTAAGCACCATTAAACACAAACATTTAGGCTATTCTGTCTAACTGAAAGTGAATCAACGTAACTAAACCATAAAAAGTCAAATCTAGTTTAAAACAGACCAGTTATAGACCTTGATCTCTGTGTTTTCAGCAGAGGGGAGCTGGATCAAATGGTGACAGAAAATCCAAACGTGCATTAAAATCTAACTGGATTTGTTCTTTTTAGGGAGGTCTAAGATCATTGCATAAAGTTTTCACTCTAGCCCATAAATCACCTGCTGTTTATCAGACGCATAATCAGGTCACACTGTTTGTCTCTGAGATTATCTGGTGAGGAGGACAAACTAAAGGGCACACTCAACTTTTATGTGTGTTTATATAGTAGAAATCTGATCAGTTTGTTTTGGCGAAGATGAGGGGACCCACAAATCCAACGACTGTAACCTCTGGATCATCTGGATTCGTAGAGAACCGAATGTGTAGATTTATCTGTCCTCGATGTTTTTCTCTGTCCAGCTGTGCTCAGAGAGGAACAGTGAAATGATTGTCGATACACAGTTGCCTTTGGATAGATTAAGGGTTGCCAGTGGTGTGTGTGTGTGTGTGTTTGAGTGTGTGTGTGTGAGTGTGTGTGTGTATGTGTGTACATGCCTCTTTTTCAATAGCTTGTTTGTCACACAGAGGACGGACTGTGTGTGTTCCTATTAAACATGATTTGACTGATATCATTCAAGAAAACACACAGCTTTACCTTTCTCTGCGCAGAGCTCGTGTGGCTCAGGATCTTTGAGTTTGGCTTCACACAAATCATGTAATGGATCATGTCGTCGTCAGTTTCTAAAGTTAAAGTCCCATTAGCTGTCACACACGGGTGAAATTTGTTCTCTGCATTTGACCCATCCCCTGGGGAGCGAGGAGCTGCAGATACGGCCACGCTTGGGAACAATTTGGTGGTTTAACCCCCCAACCCAACCGCTTAATGCAGAGTGTCAAACGCAGGAGGCATTGAGTCCCATTTTTAAAGTCATTGGTATGACCTGACTGTGGATTTGTACCCATGATCTCCCGGTCTCAGGGCAAACACTCATACCACTAAGCCACTGAGCAGGATCTACAGCAGAGCTCTTAATCTTTAGCCTTGCAGACCGGGGGGTAATTGCACGCAACACAGAACGCAATATAGTGCATGACATAACATGAGATATCAAGAGAGTTTTTTATTCCTATACCAGATGATTCCCGGACCATTACAGGTCCTCGTGCCAATGGTTGAAGATTGAAATGTATTATTTAGTATCAGTTTAATTTAGTTTATCCCTGCAAAGATACTATTTAGGTTCCTTAACTAATGTTTTTCCTACAAAGTCACAGGACAAACATAAATGTTTCATTTGAGCAACATTTCTTTCTTCATGGATGATCTGGCATGTAAGGGTTAATAATTAATACCTTCAGTAAAAGTAAAAGTACCGTGGAACAAAGTCCAAACAATTATCAATCTCTTAAAAACCTGGCAGAACAGACTTCAGACACACATCACAATCAGCTTCATTATTACAATTAAATCAAAAGGACCGCTAGATGTATTCATTTTTAAAAAAATCACTGTTTTAACTGGCTTCCTTAATTGGACCAAACCCAAGTATGAATATGATCTAAGGTCATTAAACGTCTGCAAGCGTACATCTGAACTGATTTGGAAAATGCAGCTCAGTCAAAAAACACACTAAACTCAGGGCAAGAAGCAGAGGAGAATTTTTCTAACTTTGAGCATTACAGGTGAAAGTGCTGCATGTCACTACGATAAAAATATTAATAAGCAATCTGAACAAAATAGCTCATCTTCAACTAAAGAATCACAACTACAGAAGCAGAGCTGACAGAACAACAGATACCTGCACGGAGCCAAAGCATGATGGAGATCTCAAGATGACAACACCTGAAACAAAAGATGGAGAGGAGCAAATTCTGTCTATTCCTCACATGTTTCCCCACTCGGGCCGAAGGACTTTTCTCTGCAGACCTGAGAGCTGCAGATCAGTGTGACAAAGATGTGTGTATTATTTCTCACATTCCCAAGTGTGAATGCTATTGTGTATGTATGTGTGTGTATGTGAGAGTGGTTTAATAAGGATTATTTCCCAGTCATGAGAAAGGGCTGTACCAGGCCACCACACACAGCTCTTGTCGTGCACAAGCACTGGTAGCACCGGCGGACCTGGCTTTGGGAGATTACAGGAGCAACAAGCTGTTGGACTGGAGAGAAACACACTTATTTGAAGGCCGAGCTGTAAACAATCAAAGAAAAGTAACAGAAAAAAAGCCTTCAAAAGATTTCTGTGACCTGCACACAAACATCTCTCACTTTACCTGCGGATTAATCAGCTGAAGAGAGCAGTCCAGCAGAGCCTGGCTGCTCAGAAACAATGCATTCCTCTAACAAAAACAACTTGGCCATAAATCAGAGGAACCAGTTAAACCTTGTCTGATTCACACAGGTTTTCCATGATGGAACCACACCATCCATTATTCGCTGTGGGAGTATGGCTGCAGGAATTCTCATATCTGCTGATGGTGATTTAAACCACTGACACGCTTGCTGCTGCTCACCTGACTCACCTCAGAAGGTAATATCCCAAAATAGAAAAGTAGATTTCTAATAAGTCAGTAGGTAGATTCAATGATTTTTGCACATAAACTTAAAGGTGTGTAAAATTAGTTTAATCAATACGTTTGCACTGGTCTCTGGTAGGAATGGATGCCTTGCAAGTCGCACTCGGGGCAACAAAGCCCAGAAGTGCCTCCATCAGCACAGACAAGTCTGCTACAGTAGAGAGTGGCCCAACACAACACGTTTTGGAGTCTTATTTCCTGATATTTGGACATCTCACCTCGGATTGGATAAAACAACACGACTCTACCACTGAATTGCAACGTTGATGTTTTACCTCCACAAATAACACAAACTTGGAGGAACTTCTGCCACGTGGTAGTGCTGCTAATGCTAATGGCTAGCGTCTACTATTTGGGACGTTCTCTGATTACTGGACTTTAAACAAAAACAGCCTTTTCCGTTTTGAGTCAAGATAGAATCACATGGCTGTATGGCTGTATCCCAGTGTTTATGAAGCCAACATGGCTGAAGGATGATGTGTTTTAATTCTTTCTTTCTGCACTGGTCTTTGTTTCCCAGTGACTCAGAGAAGAGAATGTCAACTTTTTAAAGGGATTCTGGGTTCCTTTCTCCACTCCGGGTCTGCAGTATCTCACCTCCTCACCCCGCCTGCTCACTGTCACTCTAATGGAGCTGGAGCGAGAGGCCAAAGACCTGAAGAGAAACCCCAGTCTCACCTCATCGTGTTTTAACAGCCACCAGGGCTATGCCAGGAATCTACATTAACACATGCATATTTCACAAATCCCATTAAAGCAACCTTCCACCAGAGCTGAAATCCATCATGTGTCTGAAGGAATGAGTATTTTGTTCAGGAGGGGGTTGGAGGAATTCATGAACTGATTATTTATCATCTACTATATGAAAACATAACTTAAAGTCACTGACATAACGTTGATCTACCAACTAAGACCAGTTAAGATAAGGGGTAGAAATACAAGGAGAAAAGGTGCAGCCAGTGTGCACCTTCTCATGGACAAGTTGACATTTTGGTCCAAGTGGCTGAAATAAAGCCAGAGTAAGAACATCTCTCTAACTCCCAAAGCAAGAATGTAAACACTTTAAATTCCTGTGGAGGATCCTCTGACAGTCATGGATAGTTGTGTATGTTTAAGTGACTGTTTACCATAATAAAGTGTACTCACACTTCTTCTGACACACTTTATTACAAATAAGAACTCAGCATAATAAAATGGCTGTTCTTTGAGCTGCATGAGAAAATCGTTTAATTTGATTGTAATAACACCATATGTTTTATTCATTGTTTCACAATAAACTTGCAAGTGGCATCATATATCTGGATTTGAATGAGACTCCACCAAAAATACTTACTTTTACTGACCTGCGATATTTTTTAACAGAACTTTGCAGTTTATTCTGAATTCCTGCTTTTATTAGTAAAATTATATACTATTATATATATATATATATGTGTGTGTGTGTGTGTGTGTGTGTGTGTGTGTGTGTGTGTATGTATGTATGTATATGTAATTATAACGCCACCAATGTATATGAAAACACACAAACCAGCTTGTTTTAACTAGTTTGTTTAATTAGATAATCCTTAATTGGATCACTTTCCCTTAGTGAAGTCAACTAAAGTCGAGATGTTTCCATGATCAAATGAAATGGGGGTATTGAGCATAAAGTTAATGTGATAAATGAATAAATACATTCTTACCTTCAAAGAACCTCTGTAACGCTTCTGTTTCATCTACCACGTCCATCCTAGCGGGTCCCACATAAAAACTCCATCAAAGTCTCCCCTTTTCCGAACGAAACCAATTCGGATGGGGGAAACTTTCACATAAGCATGACGGATTTCAGATTTTATTGACCTTATCTTGTTTTTTTCTCACGGATTTCTCCCTCTGATTCCTCTTTCTGAAGCAAAATCAGCCACTCGAATGTGATGTGTCAAAGAATATTTGTTTAAAACTAAAATCAGCTAAAGCGCAGAGAAAAGACTAAAGACGCGTGTCAAAGCGTTCCTTGAGCCGCAACTTCACTCCACTTCTCCCAAACGTCATAATAAACTTCGTTTCCTCTCTCTCAACAAAGGAGAAGTGAGTAAATCGAAGATGAAACGCAAAAAAACGAGGAAATACACGTGCGTAAAACGTGTTTGGAGTAGACTCCGGGAGTGAAGCGCGCCGTGGTGGTTGCTGCCTCTCCCTCACACAGGATGTGGAGCAGCAGAGAGACGGAGGAGAGGAGCGGAGGCAGGTGAGGGATGATGAGTGCCCGCGCTGCTGCAGAAAAAGTCCCATCAGGACTCTGACTTCACCTTAGACTGTTTATTTAAGAATCGCACAACAGATGTCCGACTGTGTGCTGCTGAGTTTTCATAATTAATAATAATAATAAAAACATTTCATGAATAAAATATTCTATCCTAAATGTCAAATACCAAATATATCTACAGACTTAAGGTGTCGGTGTTGTTTAATGCTTCTAAAAACAAACATGATTCATGTTATTTAGCGTCCAACAGGTAGAAAACATATTGGATTTCTGCTTGCAGCTGCCTTAAGGAAGAAGTAAATCACTACAAATGCTGCACAAATGAAGAGCAGCGTGCACTAAATTGCTTTAGAAAGGACAAAGCTTCTTAATTCAGTCCCAAAGCAACAATAAAAACATATCAAATAAAACAACAAAATATTCAATGAAATAAATGAAACCAAATAGTTAAAAGCATATAGATGTAAAATTATGCTAAATAAAGGGATATTACATGGAAGATGTAAACAAAATATAAATAGATATGATATTAGACATAAAAACACTTATACGATCATAATGAGATTAAAAGTGTAGTAAAATATGCTAAATGTAAAAAATATGCCACAAAAACAATCCACAAACCACCCTTTGTACATTTATATATTTTGTCTCTGTTTCATCATTTTAAGATTTTTCTAATGATCTGACATTTGTCTGCCCTCATTCAGGGATTTTTTCCCCTCTGTGGTAACCCCATGATTTAAAACCTCTGTGGGATTCAAATTTTAAAGTTGTATTATGGAGAGGCTTTCCGAATGCCTTCAACCTAAACAACCATACAGCAACAGGAGGATCGTGTCAAAGCCTCCTGGCAGGAGGATCTAAAGAAATGATCCATTTCTCTCAAACCTTATCAGCTGCATCCAACGCCCCCTCTCTTCTTATAACAATGCCACTGTGTGCAGCCCCCACAGCCTGGACACCCACCCCCCTTCACCCACATGTGAGATGCTGTTGTGTTGTCCTGTCCCCCCCACACACACACAGCTGGAGCATCTCGCTGTCCACCCCTCCACCCCTCTGCTTTTCCTTCATTCAACCCTAACAACGTCTCTGTTCTTCCCACCACACTATGCAGATTGTTTGAGAGGACAAGTGAGAAAGAGAAACAGATAGGAGCTGCAGAGGACAATGAAACAGCTGGCTATGTCAGAGCAGTTCATTTTTGCTTTTCTGTATTTGTTATCTCATATAGCTGTGTGACTCTAGGCATGTAAGTGTGTGCTGTTGCCATGTGCATAATGAAATCAAATAAGAGTTTCCTACAATACTCATAATTTATGCATGAGTTTTTGTTTGTTCTCAAAAATATATATGTGTGTGTGTGTGTGTGTGTGTGTGTGTGTGTGTGTGTTAGCTATTTCACACGTTAAAAATGTGTGTTTAGTGTTTTATATCAATTTTTAGGACTAGGACCTGGCTGCAGACATCAGCTGGCGTATCACCGGAAAGAACTTTCAAGTGAGAACAAGATGGCGTGCCATTACTTCAACCGGAAAATCGACGAGCGGGGTTCCGGGAAGATGGCGTTCTGTTAGGACGTGCTGATGAGCTTGGATACTACAGCCCTTGAAAAATAACTGATATTAACTTAAAAGCTCTGTGAAAACTCATGATTCCTGTTCAAATGTAACCCACAAAATGATGAAGCCTAGGAAAACACAGCCTGCAAAGATTCCTTTTCAGTCAACGGAGAAGGAGGAGGAACACAGCTACGCTTCACCCATGGATGTTGCTAGCATAGGGAAGCGAGGCAGGGAAACGCCGGAAAAACCCTGAATGAGAAGAAGACTAAAGGTACGACTGAAGAGTGTAAAAATGAGATGACGTTAGACGCTATTTTAAAAGCCATTGACTCGCTTGGTAGACGTTTAGATGACCGCATGGAGGACATGCACTCACAAATGCATAGCACCAAGCTAACAGCTATTACTAAGACAGTGCAACTCAACTGGGAAGATCTAAAAGAATACAAAGATAAAGTCAAAGATCTGGAGAAACATGTGGAAACACTCAAAAAGAAAATTAAGACATAAAGAGTCGTCTTCTGGAATCAGAAAGGTACAGAAGAAGGTGGTCTCTGATTGGGAGGAAAGAAAAATCAAACGAAAACGTAAGAGAGGATATTGTCAAAATTCTGGGGAGAATTATGCCAGAAATGCTGCAGAAAATGGATGATGTAGTAGACGTGGTGCATAGGATGGGAAAACCCATGGAAGGAAAACATCGCCACATCATCATCCTCTTTGCAAAAAGACACATCAGAGACAACATCTGGAGGAGAACCAAAGCATTGTCAGTCTGCAAAGAGGAAGGAATCCGCTTTGCTGAGCATCTGACCCGGGAGGACTGGCAATCCAGGCAGGCGCTGTGGCCCAAAATTGACCAGCCTAGAAAGGAGGGGAAGACGGCGGGCTTCAGAGGTCAACACAGCTTCATCAACAGAAAACGGATAACAGGATAATGAACTACAAAGGTGAAAATGACATTTTGTTCGGAGCACTCAGAATAAGGGTAGAAAGGAGGCCTACAGGGCGTGGCTGGTCTGTGGGTCTCCGGAGGCAGCAGACAGGTACCGGATAGCCAAGCGGGGTGCAGCAGTGGCAGTTGCCGAGGCAAAATCTTGGGCGTGGGAGGAGATTGGTGAGGCCATGGAGAAAGACTATCGATCGGCTCCAAAGAGGTTCTGGCAAACTGTCCGGCGCCTCAGGAGAAGGAGGCAGCAACTTGCTCACACTGTTTACAGTGGGGATGGGGAGCTGCTGACTTCAACTGGGGTTATAGTCGGACAGTGGAAGGAATACTTTGAGGAGCTCCTCAATCCCACCTACGCATATTCCGAGGAGGAACCAGAGCCGGGAGACCTGGGGATGGACTGTCCAATCTGAGGGGCAGAAGTTGCTGAGGTAGTCAAACAACTACACAACGGCAGAGCCCCGGGGACGGATGAGATTCGTCCTGGGTATCTCAAGGCTATGGATGTTGTAGGGCTGTCGTGGTTGACACGTCTCTGCAACATTGCGTGTTCATCAGGGGCAGTTCCTGTGGGGAGGCAGACCGCGGTGGTGGTCCCCATCTTTAAGAAGGTTGACCTGAGGGTGTGTTCCATCTATAGGGGGATCACACTCCTCAGCCTCCCTGGAAAGGTCTACTCCAAGGTACTGGAGAGGCGGGTCCGATCGATAGTTGAATCTCAGATTGAGGAGGAGCAATGTGGTTTTCGTCCTGGCCGTGGAACTGTGGACCAGCTCTATACCCTTGCAAGGGTGATGGAGGGGGCATGGGAGTTTGCCCAACCAATCCACATGTGTTTTGTGGATTTGGAGAAGGCTTATGACCGTGTCCCCAGGGGCACCCTGTGGGGGACGCTCCAGCACTATGGTGTGGGTGGCTTTCTGTTAAGGGCCATTCAGTCCCTTTACCAGAGGAGCGTGAGTTTGGTCCGCATAGCCGGTAGTAAGTCGAACCTGTTCCCGGTGAGGGTTGGACTCCGCCAGGGCTGCCCTTTGTCACCGGTTCTGTTCATCACCTTTATGGACAGAATTTCTAGGCGCAGCCGTGGTGTAGAGTGTGTCGAGTTTGGTGGCAGGAGAATCTCGTCTCTGCTTTTTGCGGATGATGTGGTCCTCCTAGCTTCATCCAGCTCTGACCTTCAGCTCTTGCTGGGTAGGTTCGCGGCCGAGTGTGAAGCGGCTGGGATGAGGATCAGCACCTCCAAATCTGAGACCATGGATCTTGACCGGAAAAGGGTGGCTTGCCAACTCTGGGTCGGGAGAGAGGTCCTACCTCAAGTGGAGGAGTTTAAGTATCTTGGGGTCTTGTTCACGAGTGAGGGTAGGAGGGATCGGGAGATCGACAGGCGGATTGGTTCGGCGTCTGCAATGATGCGGACGCTGAGCCGATCTGTCGTGGTGAAGAGGGAGCTGAGCCAGAATAGGCTCTTGATTTACCGGTCGATCTACATCCCAATCCTCACCTATGGTCATGAGCTTTGGGTAATGACTGAAAAAACAAGATCGCGGATACAAGCGGCCGATATGAGTTTCCTCCATAGGGCGGCCAGGCTCAGCCTTAAGCCTGGTTTATGCTTCTCCATCAGCTCCGCAAGGGACAGACACGCACGGATTGACGGAAGCGTTTTGCTCTCATACTTCTCCGTCTCCTGGAGAGTGTTGCAAAGCAATTGTCCACCAGGACAACAGAGGGCGTAGCGCTGTTCTGTGGTATCCTGTCATGTATCGGTCCAAGATAATGTGTTTATATTGTGTTTTTTGTGTATATAAGAGACTTTTAACACGGACATATTTGTCTCTCCTTCTCCCACCTCTTCATGCGCTCCCCACCTCTAAACCCATGTTTCCTGTCATTTCGATCCACAAATAAAACGTTTGCTGCGCATCTTTTCACTCCTCCAGTCACGGGAGAATTAAACGTTCATATTTTTAGAGTTTTTTCGCAAGGTATTCTTCAAGCTTCTCCGTGTCTGCCGCTAGTTATCCTCGGCTCTCTTTGCAATGGCGGCGCTGTAAACAACAGCGGCGTCCTGAGCAATCACAAGCTTGCATAATCCGTCTCGTTCGACGGATGTTTAAAAAAGTGGGCTCGACTCCGTACATACTTGCGTGCCTGCCGGAGCCCTATGCAAGGACGGATAATGGCATTGTGTGTCTCCGCACTGACGCAGATGGAGAAGCATAAATCAGGCTTCAGAGATAGGGTGAGGAGCTCGGACATTCGGGAGGGACTCTGAGTAGAACCGCTGCTCCTCCGGATTGAAAGAAGTCAGTTGAGGTGGTTTGGGCATCTGGTCAGGATGCCTCCTGGACACCTCCCTGGGGAGGTGTTTCGGGCATGTCCTGCTGGCAGGAGGCCCCGGGTCGACCCAGGACACGTTGGTGAGGTTACATCTCTAATCTGGT